TTTGGGGCTGTCGCTGGGCAACACAGACTTTCAACTCCCTCCAAAGATTTTCTATGGGGTTGAGATCTGGAGACTGGCTAGGCCACTCCAGGACCTTGAAATGCTTCTTACGAAGCCACTCCTTCGTTGCCCGGGCGGTGGGTTTGGGATCATTGTCATGCTGAAAGACCCAGCCACGTTTCATCTTCAATGCCCTTGCTGATGGAAGGAGGTTTTCACTCAAAATCTCACGATACATGGCCCCATTCATTCTTTCCTTTACACGTATCAGTCGTCCTGGTCCCTTTGCAGAAAAACAGCCCCAAAGCATGATGTTTCCACCCCCATGCTTCACAGTAGGTATGGTGTTATTTGGATGCAACTCAGCATTCTTTGTCCTCCAAACACGACGAGTTGAGTTTTTACCAAAAAGTTATATTTTGGTTTCATCTGACCATATGACATTCTCCCAATCCTCTTCTGGATCATCCAAATGCACTCTAGCAAACTTCAGACGGGCCTGGACATGTACTGGCTTAAGCAAGGGGACACGTCTGGCACTGCAGGATTTGAGTCCCTGGCAGCGTAGTGTGTTACTGATGGTAGGCTTTGTTACTTTGGTCCCAGCTCTCTGCAGGTCATTCACTAGGTCCTACCGTGTGGTTCTGGGATTTTTGCTCACCGTTCTTGTGATCATTTTGACCCCACAGGGTGAGATCTTGCGTGGAGCCCCAGATCGAGGGAGATTATCAGTGGTCTTGTATGTCTTCCATTTCCTAATAATTGCTCCCACAGTTGATTTCTTCAAACCAAGCTGCTTACCTATTGCAGATTCAGTCTTCCCAGCCTGGTGCAGGTCTACAATTTTGTTTCTGGTGTCCTTTGACAGCTCTTTGGTCTTGGCCATAGTGGAGTTTGGAGTGTGACTGTTTGAGGTTGTGGACAGGTGTCTTTTATACTGATAACAAGTTCAAACAGGTGCCATTAATACAGGTAACGAGTGGAGGACAGAGGAGCCTCTTAAAGAAGAAGTTACAGGTCTGTGAGAGCCAGAAATCTTGTTTGTTTGTAGGTGACCAAATACTTATTTTCCACCATAATTTTCAAATAAATTCATTAAAAATCCTACAATGTGATTTTCTGGAATTTATTTCCTCAATTTGTCTGTCATAGTTGACGTGTACCTATGATGAAAATTACAGGCCTCTCTCATATTTTTAAGTGGGAGAACTTGCACAATTGGTGGCTGACTAAATACTTTTTTTTCCCCACTGTATGAGATTTCTGTTTTTTTAATTTTTCTAATAATTTCGAAAAAACTGTTTTTGCTTTGTCATTATGGGGTATTGTCATTTTAGAATAAGGCTGTAACGTAACACAATTTGGAAAAAATCAAGGGGTCTGAATACTTTCCAAATGTACTGTAGATTGCAAAATAGTTGGGAAGAGATTTTTGATGTACCGATTCCGTGTGGTTTACACAAAATAACGCTGGATTCAAAACTTAAGAGTTTTTCCATTTAAATTATTATACAAATTTCTTGCAACCAATAGAATGTTATTTATTTATTTATATATATATATATATATATGGGGGATACAACCACTCCAGCTCTGCAGATTTTGCTGCGAAGAGACAGAATCATTACATCATCTGTTTTGGTACTGTCCATATGTAGCTTGTTTTTGGTCGCAGGTTCAGGAATGGGTGAAGAATTGCAACATTTACCTGGTGCTATCTCTGCAAATAGCACTGCTGGGTGATTTAAAAAGTCATAGTCAATCGATCAATAATATAATCATACTCTTAGCAAAAATGTTAATTTTAAAATCTGTAGAAACTGTGAAAATTGAAAGGTTCATAACTTTTGTGTGAAACAGCACAGCTGAAAAATATGTGGCAAATAGAAATCAAAACTGGATGGTGTTCAGAGATAGATTCGAGGGGTTGAGTGGAGCTGAAGGGTGTGACCAAAAATAACAAGATAACTAATGTAAAATATACTGTGTCCGTAAAATGTATATAGTTTCAGAACTTTTGTGAAACGGCACAGTTGAAAAAATATATGGCAAATAGAAATCAAAACTGGATGGTGTTCAGAGATAGATGGGAGGGGTTGAGGGTAGCTGAAGGATGGGACTAAAAACAAACAAAAGATAACTATTGTAAAATATACTGTGTTCGTATTATTCTACAATGTAGAAAATAGTAAAAATAAAGAAAAACCCTTGAATGAGTAGGTGTGTCCAAACTCTTGACTGGTACTGTCCAAACTTTTGACTGGTACACTACCAGTCAAAAGTTTGGACACACCTACTCATTCAAGGGTTTTTCTTTATTTTTACTATTTTCTACATTGTAGAATAATACTGAAGACATCAAAACTATGAAATAACACATATGGAATCATGTAAACTCAGCAAAAAAAGAATTCGTAAAATTCCAAATAACTTCACAGATCTTCATTGTAAAGGGTTTAAACACTGTTTCCCATGCTTGTTCAATGAACCATAAACAATTAATGAACATGCACCTGTGGAACGGTCGTTAAGACACTAACAGCTTACAGATGGTAGACAATTAAGGTCACAGTTATGAAAACATAGGACACTAAAGGGGCCTTTCTACTGACTCTGAAAAACACCAAAGGAAAGATGCCCAGGGTCCCTGCTCATCAGCGTGAACGTGCCTTAGGCATGCTGCAAGTAGGCATGAGGACTGCAGATGTGGCCAGGGCAATACATTTCAATGTCCTAAGACAGCGCTACAGGGAGACAGGACGGACAGCTGATCGTCCTCGCAGTGGCAGACCATGTGTAACAACACCTGCACAGGATCGGTACATCTGAACATCACACCTGCAGGACAGGTACAGGATGGCAACAACAACTGCCCGAGTTACACCAGGAACGCACAATCCCTCCATCAGTGCTCAGACTGTCCGCAATAGGCTGAGAGAGAGGCTGGACTGAGGGCTTGTAGGCCTGTTGTAAGGCAGGTCCTCACCAGACATCACCGGCAACAACGTCGCCTATAGGCACAAACCCTCCATCGCTGGACCAGACAGGACTGGCAAAAAGTGCTCTTCACTGACGAGTCGCAGTTTTGTCTCATCGGGGGTGATGGTCGGATTCGCGTTTATCATCGAAGGAATGAGCGTTACACCGAGGCCTGTACTCTGGAGCGGGATCGATTTGGAGGTGGAGGGTCCGTCTTGGTCTGGGGTGGTGTGTCACAGCATCATCGGACTGAGCTTGTTGTCATTGCAGGCAACCACAACGCTGTGCATTACAGGGAAGACATCCTCCTCCCTCATGTGGTACCCTTCCTGCAGGCTCATCCTGACATGACCCTCCAGCATGACAATGCCACCAGCCATACTGCTCGTTCTGTGCGTGATTTCCTGCAAGACAGGAATGTCAGTGTTCTGCCATGGCCAGCGAAGAGCCCGGATCTCAATCCCATTGAGCACGCCTGGGACCTGTTGGATCGGAGGGTGAGGGCTAGGGCCATTCCCCCCAGAAATGTCAGGGAACTTGCAGGTGCCTTGGTGGAAGAGTGGGGTAACATCTCACAGCAAGAACTGGCAAATCTGGTGCAGTCCATGAGGAGGAGATGCACTGCAGTACTTAATGCAGCTGGTGGCCACACCAGATACTGACTGTTACTTTTGATTTTGACCCCCCCCCCCAATATATGCTGAGTACTTGTTGGCTGCTTTTCCTTCACTCTGCCGTCCGACTCATCCCAAACCATCTCAATTGGGTTGAGGTCGGGGGATTGTGGAGGCCAGGTCATCTGATACAGCACTCCATTACTCTATAGCCCTTACACAGCCTGGAGGTGTGCTGAATCATTGTCCTGTTGAAAAACAAATGATAGTCCCACTAAGCCCAAACCAGATGGGATGGCGTATCACTGCAGAATGCTGTGGTAGCCATGCTGGTTAAGTGTGCCTTGAATTATAAATAGATCACAGACAGTGTCACCAGCAAAGCACCCCCACACCATAACACCTCCTCCTCCATGCTTTACGGTGGGAAATACACATGCAGAGATCATCCTTCACCCACACCGCATCTCACAAAGCCACGGTGATTTGAACTCCAGACCAAAGGTCACATCTCCATCAGTCTAATGTCCATTGCTCGTGTTTCTTGGCCCAAGCAAGTCTCTTCTTATTATTGTTGTCCTTTAGTAGTGGTTTCTTTGCAGCAATTCGACCATGAAGGCCTGATTCACACAGTCCCCTCTGAACAGTTGATGTTGAGATGTGTCTGTTACTTGAACTCTGAAGCATTTATTTGGTCTGCAATTTATGAGGCTGGTAACTCTGGGTCTTTCATTCCTGTGGCAGTCCTCATGAAAGCCAGTTTCATCATAGCGCTTGATGGTTTTTGCGACTGCACTTGAAGACACTTTCAAAGTACTTGAAATGTTCCGTATTGACTGACCTTCATGTCTTAAAGAAATTATGGACTGTCGTTTCTCTTTGCTTATTTGAGCTGTTCAAGAGGGCACACCTGTTAATTGAAATGCATTCCAGGTGACTACCTCATGAAGCTGGTTGAGAGAATGCCAAGCGTGTGCAAAGCTGTCATCAAGGCAAAGGGTGGCTATTTGAAGAATCTCAAATATATTTGGATTTGTTTAACACTTCTTTGGTTACTACATGATTCCATATGTGTTATTTCATTGTGTTGATGTCTTCACTATTATTCTACAATGTAAAAATAAAGAAAAACCCTTGAATGAGTAGGTGTGTCCAAACATTTGTCTGGTACTGTGTGTGTATATATAACAAATATATGGGGGATTGGAAATTATGCAGACAATTACATTAATGGAAGCCATAATCTATCTGCAATATTAAAGCTGATCTACCCTCAAAAAATAGAAATAATAATAATTGTCATATACCAGAATAATTCTGCACATTTGGATTTTCACCCGTTAGCATGTTGCTGGTCTCTCTGCAGTGTTCTGCTGTCCCTTTCTGGTGGCCTGCATGGGTCCTCACATTGAAGGTGGATGACATTGCATTCCCAGTTTCACTGCGGGTACCATACATGTGGACAGGAGCATAGGCAAAGCCCTGGGGCTGCATGGATGATGGAATAGGGCAAGGGTAAGACGCAACACTGTGAGTTGGGCTGTTGATCCGTACATAATGTGGGGATGATGGAGTTGGGCAAGGGTAAGAGGCAACACTGTGAGTTGGGCTGTTGATCCGTACATAATGTGGAGGGATCACATCAGGGGAACCCTGGTAGCAGCGATGGTCTGAGGGTTCGAAGGTAGGGGCCGTAGGCATGACTGGCATGTAGGCACCACTCATTGGGCAGATGGTTTGAAACGAGCTGGCACCACCCATATATACGTGATGGGAGCTGAAACAGGGCCCAAAGTTCTGGTACATTGGCAAGTTGGTCTGGTCAGGGTTGTAGTCTTGCCCACAGCCAATCACAATCCTAGATCCTCCTGGGAAAGCCACAGCTGTTGGCATCCCGGCCATAGTCTCAGGGCGTGCCAGGTGGCAGAGTCTCCAGGTGCTACCACATGCTTCAGGTGTAACATACTGGCACTCTGGCATGGCTCCAGTAGGTGCTGTGTCACATGGCCTTTGTGAATCTACAGGATGATAATAGAGGAGATTTGTTAAGGGGGTTACTGACAATAACAACACAAAGAGGGTGATGAACTACAATTGGTACATTTGGGTAGGTATGATCAAAAAGAGCATACTACAGTTGAAGTCGGAAGTTTACATACACCTTAGCCAAAGACATTTAAACTCAGTTTTTCACAATTCCTGACATTTAATCCTAGTAAAAATTCCCTGTCTTAGGTCAGTTAGGATCACCACTTTATTTTAAGAATGTGAAATGTCAGAATAATAGTAGAGAGAATTATTTATTTAAGCTTTTATTTCTTTTATCACATTCCCAGTGTGTCAGAAGTTTACATACACTCAATTAGTATTTGGTAGCATTGCCTTTAAATTGTTTAACTTGGGTCAAACGTGTCGGGTAGCGTTCCACAAGCTTCCCACAATAAGTTGGGTGAATTTTGGCCCATTCCTCCTGACAGAGCTGGTGTAACTGAATCCAGTTTGTAGGCCTCCTTACTCGCACACACTTTTTCAGTTCTGCCAACACATTTTCTATAGGATTGAGGTCAGGGCTTTGTGATGGCCACTCCAATACCTTGACTTTGTTGTCCTTAAGCCATTTTGCCACAACTTTACGTTCAAAGTACATTCATCTCTAGGAGACAGAATGTGTCTCCTTCTTGAGCAGTATGACGGCTGATTTCTTTTCATTTTCCCATGATGTCAAGCAAAGAGGCACTGAGTTTGAAGGTAGGCCTTGAAATACATCCACAGGTACACCTCCAATTGACTCAAATGATGTCAATTAGCCTATCAGAAGCTTCTAACGCCATGACATCATTTTCTGGAATTTTCCAAGCTGTTTAAAGGCAGTCAACTTAGTGTATGTAAACTTCTGACCCAATGGAATTGTGATACATTGAATTGTAAGTGAAATAATTGTCTGTAAACAATTGTTGGAAAAATTACTTGTGTCATGCACAAAGTAGATGTCCTAACCGACTTGCCAAAACGATAGTTTGTTAACAAGAAATGTGTGGATTGGTTGAAAAACAAGTTTTAATGACTCCAACCTAAGTGTATGTAAACCTCCGACTTCAACTGTATATTGTCCTTTTACAACCAATCATTATTCAACTTACATGCTTCTCTGGACCAGCTGTGAATGAACTGGGGTTGTTGTGGTTGAACATACATATGTGGCACTCCCATAATGCTTTGGGAGACCAGTGGAATCATATAGGGTGTTCTTCTGTTCTCCTCATTCACATGGAATGCTTCTGCATTCCGACCAGTGCACTGATGCAGGTGGGCAACCGTGGCCTGGGGGAATGAAGGGGGTCTTGTTTCCTCCTGGGCCAATATTGAGGGATAAAGCAGAGTGGCTGTTGTTTTCTGTGGAGCTGTTACATAGGGGTTTGGTAAAGTGGCTGCTCTTGGTGCGGCCATGGTTGGCACAATAGGAGGGCTAAGCAATGGGAGTGCTCCAGTTTCATGAGCAATGGAAATAGGCGGGAGCACCAAACTGGGTGTATTAGCCCCCTGTCCAGCTGAAATTGGAGGATACACCAAACTAGGAACACTTATTTCTTCTGCTGGTGAAACACGTGGTGGCATGAAGGTGGCTCCAGTTGTTACCTGTGGTGTTGGAGGATACACCAAACTGGGGACACTTGCTTCTTGTGGAGCTGAAATATGTTGGCACACAGGAGTGTTCACCACACTTGTATCCTTTGTCTCCAGTGGTGCTGAGATGGGTGGTCCCATAACATTGAAGCCTGTCATCTCATCTGACACCTTGGGTAAAACACCAAAGTTCACCCCTTTCATTTTATCCACTATCATCTCATTCATGTAGGGGTTGTACCCGTTCACATCAGGTACTGCACTGGGGAAACATCCATCCTGAAGTGCTGAGTTGACGGGCCTCATAATACCAGGGGCTATTATATCATCTGACACCCTGGTTGAAACATCTACATTCACCCGGTTCATTTGATCCACTATCATTTCATTGATGTATGGGTTGTAGGCATTTGGATCAGGTAATGCTGTATTTATGTCCATGTGCTTGTAAACAGAATTGTCTCCAGGTGAAAGTGGATTCCAACCAGGTTGGGTTAAGAGATCCCTATTTCCATCACCAGAAAGCTGTGTCCTCAGTCAGCACTAGGGGCGTGACCAATTGGGTGGCTGGCTGATCTTTGACCACCTGCGATGGGGCTGTAGGCGGCGTGAAACAGGGTGTGCTTTCAGGCTGGGTGTTACCTGGGGCACCAGTGGCGTCACCACAAGCTGCTGCTGTTTGAGCATTCCTCATTTTCTTACTGACTGATGAGACTCTCTGAAACACTATGGTCTTTGGGACCTTATCTGACTGCACCACAATCATGTACTCGCAGGGCACAGAAGGTGTCCTAATCAGAACAGCATTAGATATGTGATAGATCTCACTCAGTGGGACCCTCTCGAAGAAAGCTGACTTGGTTCGCCGGCACTGGTCTGGAGCAGCAGAGTTGATATCACAGGTAGCCGTCATGCAGTCATTGATGGATTTCCTGCAGAAGACGACTACATCTTCGGCCTGCTCTGTTGAGATGGGGTGAGGGGACACGTTAGAGGTAACTGCCTGCAGACTTCTCTGGAGGCCAGAGTCATTGAGGTATTGGCTTGCCAGGGAGGTTGCTTCTGCAGCTTCTTCTGAGCCTGATAGACCAGGCAACATTGTGACAGTGTACAGAATGTCCTGGCTGTGGACCCAGGGCTGCTCAGCATCCTGCTCCTCCACTCCTGGAATACTGGGAAGAGTTGGGAAAATCCCGGCCGGAGGGTAAATTCCAAATGTTTGGACATATTGACCACCAGGAGAGACTGCTGTGGCACTTTCATTCTGAACTGCCAGCGGAGCAATCACAGCTCCAATGCCATGACTTGAGAACTTAGGCACTATAAGAGAAAAATAAATATAAGGGTAACGGTATTTGATTGACTTTGAATTTACAAAACCAGGAGATTTGTAATAGTCACATGATTAATGATTTGTGCTGCCATGGACTTTCCATCTTTACTACAGTAGGCTACTCTTCTGGTACCTGTTTTGATACTTGGGCATGGCCTTATCATTATGATATATTATCTAGTTAGGCCTACCTTTAGTTGCATTGAATTCTCTCACAAGGTCGTTGATGGCAAGAGTTGGATTTTCTGTACACAACATAGCAATGAAACCTGTTACTTCAGTTTTCTCAACATATTTCATGACATTTGTTTTTAAAAAATGAGTTATTCTCAACAAACATGTGTACCTGTCCTGAAGTGCAATAGCTCTACGAAGTAAAATGTAGCAAACTGTGAGATGGAATCTGGCCGTCTTTCCACCACTGACCGACCGAGGCCTTCCAAAAGAGTCCTCAAGCCCGGAGGCACTTTGACTTTGGCAGAATATCTGTAGGACATCTTTAACGGAGGATCACCTCGTTGAGAGAATTCTCCTGAAGGGAAATATTAAATCAATTAAATGAATCAAATATATCGGCCTATTACTTGATATAAGGAACACATCAGCTTCTGAGCATATTTCATTTTAATTTCTAAGTGCAACTATTCCATGTAGGTTGTCTGTGTTTGTCTGAAAAGTAGGCCTAGGTTACTTACTCTGCGAAAAAACGTCCTATTTTCTATTCCCGTATTCCAAATGCAAAGAAATATGTTGTCACATGAATTTATCAAGAGGTAACAATGTAATACATCAGTAAAAAATTAGGCAGTTCGTCATAATAACGGGCGTGGCGCACACGTGGGAATGTCATTATTAGGCTATGCATCAGAGCTTTAGATCACAATGCGTTCCATCTGAAGTTGCCCCCTCCACCTCCATATGGTGCCAACTAATCAAAGAAACGGTTCTGTTTTTCATATTGACATAAATTAAGCCACAAGACCGATGTTATCAGCATAAAAGTGAAACAGCGCATTCGAAATGCAGGTTTAATTGACAACACTTTATTGAAGTTTGTAGAGCTCTGACAACACCACATAGGAACACTTTCCTGTTACAATGGAACCATCTCCATTCACATCATCCTCCACAACCCCACAACAAAGTGGATAGAGCACTTTTCTAAGAAAGGAATATCCCCGTTTTTTTTGTATACATATAATGACATTTAACTCATTATTACATGTCATTATAAGACACTTTGCTCTTACAGCTGTGAACTTACTTTATATCCTCACTTACTGGTCACACACTCAGTAGTCAAAACGTATACATCACACCACATCTTACATCCCTTTACACAATCATAGGAGGAGATGGGAGGTCAGTGACTGACTTTAGTGTAGATAAAACAATGTGCTCATACACAACCTTGAACATGAAAAAGAGTCCCACTTTATCCAGAACATAGTATATTGAAGCCGTTTATATAGACGTTTCAGAAATAATTCATAAGAATATGCCATGCTATATGAAGGGTGGCAAGGGGTTATTCCACATTTGACAAGCACAAGATGCAAAGACCATTTATATCCCTCTTCATGTATACTGAACAAAAATATAAATGCAACAATTTCAAAGATTTTACTGAGTTACAGTTCATAGAAGGAAATGTCAATTGAAATAAATTCAATAGGCCCTAATCTATGGATTTCACATGACTGGGCAGGGGCGTAGCCATAGGCCCACCCACTTGGGAGCCAGGTCCACCCACTGAGTTTTTTTTTCTCCCCCCAACAGGGCTTTTTTACAGACAGAAATACTCCTCAGCACCCTCCCCCTCCTCAGACGATCCCGCAGGTGAAGAGGCCAGATGTGGAGGTCCTGGGCTGGTGTGGTTACACATGGTCTGCGGTTGTGAGGCCGGTTGGATGTACTGCCAAATTCTCTAAAACGACATTGGAGGCGGCTTACGGTAGCGAAATTAACATTCAATTATCTGGCAACACCTCTGTTGGACATTCCAATTGCATGTTCTCTCAAAACTTGAGACATCTGTGGCATTGTGTTGTGTGACAAAACTGCACATTTTAGAGTGGCCTTTTATTGTCCCCAGCACAAGGTGCACCTGTGTAATGATCATGCTGTTTAATCAGCTTCTTGATATGCCACACCTGTCAGGTGGATGGTTTATCTTGGCAAAGGGGAAATGCTCACTAACAGGGATGTAAACAAATTTGTGCACAAAATATGAGAGAAATAAGCTTTTTGTACGTATGGAACAGTTCTGGTATATTTTATTTCAGCTCATGAAAAATGGGACCAACACTTTACATGTTGCGTTTATATTTTTGTTCAGTATAGTATGATTTAAAGATTGTTTATATCATCCTTCATGTAGTTTGAATTAAAGAGAGTTTATCACCCTCATGTAGTATGAATTTGCTAATAAATGATTTGTGCTATGTAGTGCTTGTGTTAAGCCTTTATAATTTGTTGTTTGTTTTAAAGTGGGACACAAGTATGTGACAGCTAATCAAACTTCCAGTGTAAAACGAGCAGACTATTTTTGCTTTTTATTGCTTGGTGACCATACCTCAGAGTGATTATAAAAAGAGTGATACAATACCTTGTTTTAGAGTGTCTTGAATGGTTCACTCATCATCAGTGTGGCCTGATGCTAGAAAAGCCTGATCATACTAAAATGACAGAATATCAAACTTTAATGTGCAGTTTGAATAACTTAAAGCCTACTGTGGTCATTACAATGCCTGAAGTTAATAGGACCTTGTTGCATTTAGTTAAAAACCAGAGTAAATATGAATATAAATGTGTTTTGTGCCCTGATAAGGGTGTTGTTATCCAAAGTATCTCAGGAAAACAACGTTTTTGAAAATAAGCTTTCAGGTCCCTGGGTCACTAATACCATGCATAGTGTGCAGATCAATGCCCACTGCTTAGAAACAAAAATAAATAATGTTAATCTATAACATTGTTTGGACATTGTATTGTGCTAAAATGTCACAATACATTTTACTTGTAAGCTATAATGTGAATGTCAGAAAAAATGTAATAGCAATTTCATACTATTCTGGATTCAAGGTACCGGACTTCAATATGAAAAGTTTTTACTGCATGGTATGGTACACATTCCATGGCACGCTGCGTGATACAATACTAAAAGGTAGCAGGCCACAAAGTTCTTGTTCAATCATTTTTAGAGCTGTTGTCACTTTGTGACTTCACTAACACTTTCTCATCACAGAAAAATTATCTATTGATCAAAATGTTTGTTGGCAGCATGACAAGCAAAATTTAGTTATTTAATAAAGGACACATTTCTAAGAAACCAGAGGAGAGAAGATAACTGTATGGATATTGGTCAATGAGAGGGTACTACAGCAGCAACAACTAATACGTTCTCGAACCTTTGTAAGACTACAATTTGACCACTTGATTTAGGGTTATACTCAAACTAACAACTCTTGTACGTGTCTTCCCAAGAATATGACAAGAACAAAAAGACAAAGTTACCTACTGTTAACTGTACTATTACTACCTATGGTCAAGAAAACCTGAAATGGGAATAAGGTGTGCCTCTTCAAGAAGTTACTTGTATCCTATGTATGGTCCACAGAATGGAAGGAAGGGTTGCAAGATAAAAAAAAAACAAATACACTAGATTAAGAAGAAAATTGGTATTGACTATGAAATTGTTGGTTTATTCTATTTGGATGTGTGTATAAGAAAATAAAAAAAATATTTTGTCTGATTAGACTGTCATACTGTGGTTTTGAATGACTTTCAATGTATAATGAAAGCCATGCTTCCCGTATCATCGATTGCACAGCTGGAGGCTGAGTTATTATTACATCAGTGGTCGGCGGGTCTTTGAGGTACCACTTCCTTCAGCGAGGCCATGGCTGAGTGGATGCGCACGTGAAGTCTGTTCTCAAAGTCATAGCCTGCATAATCCTCCTGTGGCAGACCAGAGAACACAATGATGAGCTCACAATCAGAATGGACTGTTAAGACAGGTTGTTGGTACCAGTAAATTCAAACAGGAAATCCCTAACTATTCATATACATGTAATCTGATAACTGTACCTTTGCCTGAAGCAGAAATGCTCTCCCTTTTCCCACCGTCTGGATAGAAACACAATGCAAAAAAACCATCTCATTAGTTTATTGAGATAAATACCTTAATTAAATGTTGACAACAAACACACATATGCACAGATTGTCTGAGTTGAGATATCCTCACCTCTGGCTGGGCAAGCAGGACACATCCAAGCTCATAGCAGGAATATGGCTGCACATAAGAGTTGGTCTGTCGACCAAACTCATCTCTGGCTGCTAGCTGGAATGACTAGATGGGAGGAGAAAGACCAAAGGAAAATCTAATTATATAATAATTCAGCACAAATACATAGATAATGAATAACTAATAAGTGCTTAATTGCTTGTACTGGTATATGATAATATAATGACAGTACAATAATGTGCTCAGGTACAAATGATCTAATTACCTGGATAGCATCTTTATTATTTCCATGGCATTTGTGGATGGAACCAAGAAGGAGGTTTTTCAGAGCCCTGCACGATGCGTCATCCACACTCTGTAACACTACAAAGAGAGGGAACGATGTCTTAAACACAGAAATTGTGAAAAACTTCACAATGTGTTAGTACAGTGGTAAGCACCCCACTGTGTCATAAGAAACTCCTTGACTAAGAGATTCAGTCTTCTCTCTATGAAGCATTTAAGAATTTCATATTTTTTTAAATAGTGTAATAGAAAGCTTACGCCTGTTGTATTGCTGTTTAGATATGATGACATGTAAAGGATGTATGAAGGTTGGGAAAAGCTCCAGCCCTTACCCTGATTCATTAGCTGCAGTTTGGAGGAAGAACAGTTGGGCAGAGCCTTCCACAGGTACAGCACCTCTATGACTCCCAGAATGCACAGCTCTCTGGTGGGAGACATCTTCCTCAGTCTCTCCGCCTGCAGTACGGTGGGGCAGAGAGGCCAAGGCAGAGAATGGGAGAGGGTTCATGGTTATTAGTTTCACAAAGTGTGGATAAAGATATGTTCAATACATTTGGATGAAAATGACCCACCCGCTTGAGGGCAAACTGCTCAATCTGGTTGTTCTTTCTCTTGAACAGTTTCTGGACATCTTTGAAGACACACTTGGCACCATCCAAGTCCCCTGCAGCTCCCTGACATACTTTACAGGGGGGTTTAGAGTGTGAGAACTTTGTTTAGATGAAGATTAAATAATGATGATGACCGATCAATGCTCCACAGGTTCCTGGAGCAGTGGCTCTCTCACCTCCAGTCAGGTAGGCATAGTAACACTGTGACCACCGGGACTCATTCTTCAGCCTCTCAAACGACCTGAATGCATCCTCAAAGTTCATCTCTATCATACTGCACCAGCCTGAAGTCAAGACAAGACAAATGGGTACAACAGAGGGATTTGTCTCTCAGTGACTGTAAACAGTACATGATGAGTGTCTGGGTGCTCATTTCAAGGTTGGCATGCATGTATGTGAGGGAAACAAGTACCGATTTCATAGAGACACACGTGCTGAATCTCTCTTTGGTCTGATGCGAGCTCTAGTGCATCATGGAAGGACACCAGAGCATTGTTAATTTGGCACTGGAGATAGATGAGATAGAGATAGCACACAACTCATCACTTGACACAATTACGAGCTACAACAACTTACTGTCCTGTACTGTACAACACTAAACGGCAACATACTGTTATTTAACCTTCAGATGACCCCATGCTCACCTCTAACCTCTGAACCCGTCCTTTAAAGAACATGAAGAGGGAGGAATTGGGGTAGACCACAGCCTTCCTCTGCAGAATGGCCTTGGCTTCCTCCAGGCCTGCCTGAGTGTCAGAACCATCCAGAGCAAAGAAGGGCAGCACTACTGTGTGGTACCACAGGAGGGCCAATCTGGGCAGGGGAGAGAGAGATGCAAACGATTTGTTTGAATGACAATTTAAGATGTTTTTAATAAATATTGATTACAGTACATTCGACTTTGTTAAGATAGTTAACATGCAACCAGGTTTACTTTCTTGTCAAATTAGAGCTTTGTCGTATAGAACAAAATTGAACCCCACTGCAGTAATTTGGTAAAACACCATCTACATTTCATAAATAGCAAATGGTAGTTTCTGTCTCAGGGCCCTTTTTCACCACTAGACATTAAGCTTGGGCATGATTATTGCTATTCTTAGATCTACTAGTCATTATAAGTCGCCATTCAACTGCCACTGACAGCATGCAACTGTACTCAATATGTCCCCAATTCTCTATGACTTCAAATTTTACATTTACATCAAACACTTGTCCCTGGTTCCCTGTATTATACACTAAATAAATACACTATGATTATAATATGCCATTATGATACTCTATGAGATATGACAAAACAGATGGCCATGTATGAAACAGGAGGAACAAGAACTGTGCCAAGAGCTGGGAAAGAGATGAGCTGAAACACGTCAGCAGAAGCTGATCATGCAGAGTAACACAACGCATCACCCCAAATCAAATCAACATCAAGACCTGTGCTCTGCTTTTCTTTCAAATGATGACATATCTACAGTGCCTTCAGAATGTATTCACCCCCCCTTTACTTTCCACATTTTGTTGTGTTACAGCCTGAATTTAAAATGGATTACATTGTGATTTTGTGTCACTGATCTACACACAATACCCCATAATGTCAAAGTGGAATTTTGTTTGTAGAAAATGTTAGAAATGTATAAGAAATGAAAAGCTAAAATGTCTTGAGTCAATAAGTATTCAACACCTTTGTTATGGCAAGCCTAAATAAGTTCAGGAGTAAAAATGTGCTTAACAAATCACATAATAAATTGCATGAATAGTGGTTAAGATTATTTTTTAATGACTACCCCATCTCTGTACCCTACACATACAATTATCTGTAAGGTCCCTCAATCGAGTAGTCCATTTCAAGCACAGATTCAACCACAAAGACCAAGGAGGTTTTTCAATGCATCGCAAAGAAGGGCACCGATTGGTAGATGTGAAAAAAATATCCCTTTGAGCATGGTGAAGTTATTAATTAGGCTTTGGATGGTGTACACCCAGTCACTACAAAGATACAGGCTTCCTTCCTAACTCAGTTGCCGGAGAGGAAGAAAACCGCTCAAGGACTTCACCATGAGGCCAAAGGTGATTTAAAAAAAGTTAAAGAGTTTAATGGTTGTGATATGAGAAAACAGGATGGATCAACAACATTGTAGTTACTCCACAATACTCACCTAAATGACAGAGTGAAAATAAGGATTCCTGTACAGAACAAAAAATAATCTAAAACATGCATCCTTAAGTAATACTGCAAAAATTTGGCAAATAAATGAACTTTTTGTCCTGAATACAAAGCGTTATGTTTGGGGCAAATCCATCACAACACATCACTGAGTACCACGCTTTATATTTCAAGCATGGTGGTGGCTATATCATGTTATGGGTATGCTTGTCAACGGCAAGGACTAGGGAGTTTTTTTTGGGATAAAAATAAACAGAATACAGCTATAAGCACAGGCAAAATCCTAGAGGACAACCTGGTTCAGTCTGCTTTCCAACAGACACTGGGAGACGAATTCACCTTTCAGCAGGAAAATAACTGAAAACACAAGGCCAAATCTACACTGGAGTTGCTTACCAAGAGGACATTGAATGTTCCTGAATGGCCTACAGTAGTTACAGTTTTCACTTAAAATCGGCTTGAAAATCTATGGCAAGACTTGAAAATGGCGGTCAAGCAATGATCAACAATTAACTTGACAGAGTTTGAAGAATTGTTTTAAAGAATAATGGGCAAATATTGTACAATCCAGGTGTGCAAAGCTCTTAGAGACAAAAGCTCTTAGAGATTCTTAGAGAAAGGAGCTTCTACAAAGTATTGACCCAGGGGTGTGAATACTTATGTAAATTCGATATTTCTGTATTTAATTTTCAATAAATTTGCAATAATGTCTAAAAACATGTTTTCACTTTGTCATTATGGGGTATTGTGTGTAGATGGGTGAGAAAGATGAAAAAAAAGTAACACAACAAAATGTGGAATAAGTCAAGGGGTATGAATACTTTCTGAAGGCACTGTACATATATCAGCTCATTCAAGCAGTAAAAAGAACTCTGACAGTGACCTGAACAATATGAACATAATCACTTTCCTTCTCCCTTTGCTTGAATGTAATTCCCTTCAGTTACTACACTGAACAAAAATATAAACACAACATGTAAAGTGTTGGTCCCATGTTTCATGAGCTGATATAAAAGATCCCAGAAATTTTCCATACGCACAAAAATATTATTTATCTCAAATTTTGTGCACACATTTATTTACATCCCTGTTAGTGAGCATTTCTTCTTTGCCAAGATAATCCATCCACCTGACAGGTGTGGCATATCAATAAGCTGATTAAACAGCATGATTACTACACAGGTGAACACTATGCAGGCCTCACAACCGCAGACCACGTGTAAACACGCCAGCCCAGGACCTCCACATCCGGCTTTCTCACCTGCTCGATCGTCTGAGACCAGCCACCCGGACAGCTGATGAAACTGTGGGTTTGCACAACCAAAGAACTTCTGCACAAACTGTCAGAAACTGTCTCATGGAAGCTCATCTGCGTGCTCGTCGTCCTCACCAGAGTCTTGACCTGACTGCAGTTTGTCGTCGTAACCGACTTCAGTGGGCAAATGCTCACCTTCGATGGCCACTGGTACGCTGGAGAAGTGTGCTCTTCACGGATGAAACCCGGTTTCAACTGTACCGAGCAGATGGCAGACAGCATCTATGGCGTCGTGTGGGCGAGCGGTTTGCTGATGTCAATGTTGTGAACAGAGTGCCCCATGGTGGTGGCTGGGTTATGGTATGGGCAGGCATAAACAACGGACAAAAAACACAATTGCATTTTATCTATGGCAATTTGAATGCACAGAGATACCGTGATGAGATCCTGAGGCCCATTGTCGTGCCATTCATCCGCCGCCATCACCTCATGTAACAGCATGATAATGCACGGCCCCATGTCGCTGAAAATGTCCCAGTTCTTCCATGGCCTGCATACTCACCAGAAAATGTCACCCATTGAGCATGTTTGGGATGCTCTGGATCGACGTGTACGACAGCGTGTTCCAGTTCCCGCCAATATCCATCAACTTAGCACAGCCATTGAAGAGGACTGGGACAACATTCCACAGGCCACAATCAACAACCTGATCAACTCTATGCGAAGGAGATGTGTCGCGCTGGATGAGGCAAATGGTGCTCACACGAGATACTGACTGGTTTACTGATCCATGCCCCTACCTTTTCTTTAAAGGTATCTGTGACCAACAGATGCATATCTGTATTCCCAGTCATGTGAAATCCATAGATTAGGGCCTAATTAATGTATTTCAATTGGCTGATTTCCTTATATGAACTGTAACTCAGTAAAACCTTTGAAATTGTTGTTGGGTTTATATTTTTGTTTAGTGTAGTAAGTCTCTCTCTCTCTCTCTCCGCTCTCTCGTCCTCTAAGAAGTGATGTAATACTCCTACTCACGTAGCTAGCGGGGCCTTCATGTCCTTACTCTCACTGGCATACATGAGGGAGGACAAACCCTGGAGACGGTCGCCAGGGAACCCCAGCAGATTGATGATCTTGAGTAGGTGCGGTGGTACCATGGAGATGCAGAGGTGAAAGAGGCCGTAGCCGAAGCTGACGGAGCCCTTGAGCCGGTCCAGGGCCTCTGCAGTCACAGCGCCCTCCACTGGGACGTTGTGATTGGCCTGGTCTGAGGACATGTCCTCCTCATGGGAGGAAAAGCGCCTCACACAGGTCTGCTGCAACTGACTGATGTCACTGTGGCACTTATTGTACATCTTCCAGGCCTTACGGAGTATCCAGCCTCCTTTGATGTAAGCTGTTGAGGAAAATATACTGTAAGAGGCAGTCCAGTAGAGATGGAGAATCAAATCCAGTTAACTCTCATGAATCCTATTTTACTTGCAGATGTTCCCCAAAATCAGTAGACTGGTATTAATCATATTGCATTATCGTTGTTATTGAATTATTGTGGATTCAACAAATGATACATTACATGAGAGCTCCTGCTTGACGAAGGAGAGCACAGCGAGGTAGACCTGGCAGTCGGCCACAATGATCTGTCGCTGCAGGCGGTCCACAACCACGACCCCTGACCTCTGGGACTCCAACTGACAGACAGAAACACACAGCAGTCTGGTCATTCTCTGATCAACTCTCAACTAAACCCTCAGCCAGTCTAGCTATGTAATGAAGAAGCCCCCTGTGTTGATCATAAACAGGTCTCCATTCTATTCCTTCATTCTATTTCAGAGAGTTACACTAATTATATTTAGTGTGGGTTTGATATGATATCATAGTTGCCAATATCAAGCTCAATATAGAAGATTGTTAACAAAGATATATTGTTTCCATCTTGGCTTTGATTACTGATACTGATATGCATGCTACATGACCAATGTTGGGATATCCTAAACATAAATGCTCCATGTAAATAAAACATCTCTGTCTGTCTGCCTGCCTGCCTGCCCTGCCTATCTGTCTGTAATCAGTCGTCCACTCACGCTCTTCTTGATTTTGTTCCTGATTGTCTCTATGACGCCAGCGTTGTCACTCTCACACAGCTTCTCCGTGGTCCTCAGGTCGTCACACGCCGTCTGCATCTTCTCCTCCTCAAAGGTCATCATGGCATTCTGCAACATCACACGCACACAACAACAAACACATTTGAGCTTTTCAGCTAACACTGGCACAGTGAAAACACTCATGCAATGAATTAAAACAATAAGGACCAGGTTTACTTAATAATAGGACCAGATGTAGTTTTCATTGGGGTGTATTGGCAACAAGTGTGTTGTAATCGGACTGAAGGAGGGTTATAAGACAGGGGTTACACAATGGTTTCACAAAGCAGGCTCAGTACAAAAAGCCCTTTCTAGGCCACAGCACATGGAACACAGTGACATTGGCACGGACCCTGGAACTAATCCTGTATATAGCTTACTTACTTTCTCATGTTCTACTTATTTCAATTTCTCATGTGTTTTTGTTCTACTTTATTTTATAGTACTACTGATATTGATTACTGCATTGTTGGGAAAGAGCTTGCAAGAAAGGCATTTCACTGTACTTGTGCATATGACAAAACTTGAAATTTGAACTTCGGGACCCTATTGTGTGTATCTGTGTGTTACACGGTGACATCAGGATTGTATCTGTGTGTTACGTGTGAGAGCCACACTGTTTCGTCAATAATATCTTTGTTCAGTTGCCTTTTATCACACTGTCAGTCAGAGAACAACATTTACTTTAATATGTAACTGGAACGTTTCCAGAATCACAGAGAGGAAGTCATGAAATAAATCTACTGATTAGTAGATACATACAGAATGCAATGTATGCCTCCATCCTTGTAAATATGTGGTTTGCTTTTCAGATTCTTTAAATGCTTTTTCATTAGTGCAACTATGAGGCCCTCTATGCATCAGTGGTCCTTTACTGATGCATTATCCTTCCAGGCGTTTTTTGCATTGGAGGGCAGAGGAGAATGACGTCATCTCTCGCTTCATGGTGCTCCAACTCTGACATGAGGGGCAGTGACAGGGGAATGTTTTGTGACCATGTTGCGGAAAATCTCTGTCTCCTTCTCTCTTTCTCCCGACTGACCAATAGGGCGACAAACACATCACTTCAGAAAGAGTGATAGTCTCCACAGCAAAATTATTTTGATGAGCTGAAGATGCATCCATTATCGTAATGGCTAAAATGAGGGGAAATGGACAATAGTGGTCTTGACACATCTAACTCACTCAATGCACTGTATGGTGTAATGTCACACACTAACATTGTTAGGATGATTCATTTCATTTGCCCTGTTTCTCTTAGCTTGCATGCTTGTGGTGATGTCATGAGAGAAAATGTCAGTAGAGGTAGGATGTGATCCATCACCAGGGAAACAACCAAGGGGTCATGGCAACCAAGGGGTCATGGCAACACATCTGTCCTGCAGCCAAGATGCAGTTTGAGGAAACTCACCAGGAAGCTGACAAAACTGGCCCCAAAGCTCATCAGTGGACTGTGAGTCCTGAAGGGAGAGGACAACATAGAGTTAATGGAAGGGAGCGATAGACACATTAAGGATGGAAAGTATGGCGAAGATGACTAAAATAATATAATACTTACAAAGTGAGAGAGCGATAGAGACAGTTACTTCTGCCTAATACCAAACATAATTCAAGAAAGCAGGGGAAATAGTAGCCAGTGAGTGTTGAGTATTGACTAAGAGGAAAAGGTATGTTACTAAGGATAACTAACTAAAGGTAAACAAGATCATAATTGATGATCAAAAATCATTCATCAAATTGTTATAAAAATAACCATGAACATCTTAGTCACTATTAGAACCAGATATGTTTTCCCACATAGTACTTTACAGAAAGGGACATTCAGTCCTTTCCTCTGTGTTTCAGCATCATCAGCGACTCATGGAGGGAGAAAGGCTTGATTAACCAGGGAGCTAAAATTAGCACAGTAAGTGGCAGTTTCTCCTGTTGGCACTGGATTGCTGTGAGTGCAGTGCACTATCCTTCCATTTCTCAGTCACCATTACCCCTTCAACTGTTGTTTGGAATGTCAGGGCCAAGCTGTAGTGCATAGCCTACTATTTAATGTTTGGGGGGGGGGGGGGGGGGGGGGGCTATGAAGGGGGATAGTTTGAAGAGACAAGGCCAGATTTAAATGTAGACTTTCATTAGCCTATATTGTACACTCCCTGCCTGTTTCATTACAGTATTTTACACCAACTCATTAGCATTTACCTGCTGCTTTAAGAGTGAATAATAAATAATCATAGTCACAGGTGCAAACAGGCTAATAATTTAAAAGAAAACTATGCCTAACCATGTTTGGCACCAGTGTGTTCTACCAAAGAGAACAAATGGTCTTTGTGTTTTGGACTTTAGTTGGACAGTGTGTTTGGGGAATTACTAATGCAATTGGCCACTGAGATTGTAATACTTTAATGGTACCAAAGCCTTGTATAGGCCTATAATATAAATAGCCTGTATGGCTCTGATGGGTACGATCTCTAAGGAAATATGCTGAGCTCTTTTGTTATATCAATATTTCTGTCCAACCTTCAATTTGTTGGGGGGGGGGGGGTACATTTGCATAAACTTCCATGTGAATATTGAATAATGACTCAAGGTTATCTGTCATGATTAGATTGGTAAAGCAATATGATGCACCTACATATGATCATATAATAGGCTCTGTTTTATGAAAATATATTACCTGTATTTTCTGAAAAGCTCGTCGCTCTCCTTGAATCCGTTGTTGAGAAGCATGTTGATACCTTGAAGAGCGAGCTCAGCATCGTCTATTTGCTCAGCTTTCTCCTCTACCTGCTGCTGCTGGGAGTGCTCGGGGCCCGCCATTGTTTATGCCTATCGTCTGCTTGATATAATTAATAAATTCAATACAGGCCAAAATGTTGTTCCAAAATGATTATTCCCTGTAGACTATCCCACCTTGGTTATTGATGATGCCACTGTGCCGACATATCCTTACAAATGAGGTGAGAGACGCTCCTTTCGAACAAAATTCTGAAGTTGTCACACCGGTGCAGCAATAAAACCTCTTCAGAAGGCGACGCAAATCGGCCACAGCTAAATTAATCCTCGGCGCGCATCCGAGCTTCGTGCAAATGCACCCTTTACATGCTATTTCTATGATTAAAATAGGTATAAATTCATTCAGAAATAGCTGTTCTTCCTCGTAATTTACAATCTGCTAGCTGGTCGTCATCATATTTGCAATGCACACAATGAATGTATTTTCAGCCTTGCTGTGTTTTATGCTATTACATAACAAGAAGAAAGGGCTGTTTAGCTTTTTTGTCTGCCCCACGCAATGATTGTCGTCAGTCGAAAAACTGATTGTCGTCATAACGTATAGCGCATCTCTAGTAGGAGGTTTCAAAGATGAAGCCTGCTGTGATAAATCAGCAACCTGCCATCGTACTGTCTGCTGGCTCAGCATACACTGCCTGCTGCCTATTTCCTCAGTACACCTTCCTATGTCCTGCTCTGTCTCCAGTTCTCAGAGCAAATTTGATGACACCAACAACCTTTCACATCACAGCCAGCCAATAGGCGCGAGCATCAGAACAACAGCAGTGAACTGTCACATCCAATGGTCACATCAGATCAAAGGATACACACACCTCACAATCCTCAGCATTGAAAGGCAGTGGCGTGTATTCATGGATGCCAAGGGAAGCCAGGTTTCCCCCAAAAATGGACAATATATATATATACAATACCAGTCAAAAGGTTGGACACACCTACTCATTCCAGGGTTTTTCTTTATTTTTACTATTTTCTACATTGTAGAATAATAGTGAAGACATCAAAACTATGAAATAACACATATGGAATCATGTAGTAACCAAAAAAGTGTTAAACAAATCAAATTATATTTTATTTTTGAGATTCTTCAAAGTAGCCACCGTTTGACTTGATGACAGCTTTGCACACTCTTGGCATTCTCTCAACCAGCTTCATGAGGTAGTCACCTGGAATGCATTTCAATTAACAGGTGTGCCCTGTTAAAAGTTAATTTGTGGAATTTCTTTCCTTCTTAATGCGTTTGAGCCAATCAGTTGGGTTGTGACAAGGTAGGGGTGGTATATAGAAGATAGCCCTATTTGGTAAAAGACCAAGTCCATATTATGGCAATAACACCTCAAATAAGCAAAGAGAAATGACAGTCCATCATTACTTTAAGAATGAAGGTCAGTCAATCTGGAAAATGTCAAGAACTTTCAAAGTTTCTTCAAGTGCAGTCGCAAAAACCATCAAGCGCTATGATGAAACTGGCTCTCATGAGGACCGCCACAGAAAAGGAAGACCCAGAGTTTCCTCTGCTGCAGAGGATAAGTTCATTAGAGTTTCCAGCCTCAGAAATTGCAGCCCAAATAAATGCTTCACAGAGTTCAAGTAACAGACACATCTCAACATCAACTGTCCAGAGGAGACTGCATGAATCAGGCCTTCATGGTCGAATTGCTGCAAAGAAACCACTACTAAAGGACACCAATAAGAAGAAGAGACTTGCTTTGGCCAAGAAACACAAACTGTAACTCAGTAAAATCTTTGAAATTGTTGCATGTTGCGTTTATATTTTTGTTCAGTATAGAAAGAAATCAGTAGCTCGCGACATGTTTAATTTTTTAAAAGTACACTATATATACAAAAGTATGTGGACACCTTTTCAACTTAGTGGATTTGGCTATTTCTTAACGCTACAGCATACAATGACATTCTAGACGATTCTGTGCTTCCAACATTGTGGCAACAGTTTGGGGAAGGCCCTTTCCTGTTTCAGCATGACAATGCCCCCGTGCAGAAAGTGAGGTCCATACAGAAATTGTTTGTTGAGATCGGTGTGGAAGAACTTGACTGGCCTGCACAGAGGCCTGACCACAACCCCATCGAACACCTTTGGGATGAATAGGAACGCCGAATGCGAGCAAGGCCTAATCGCCCAACATCAGTTCCCGATCTCACTGATGCTCTTGTAGCTGAATGGAAGCAAGTCCCCGCAGCAATGTTCCAACATCTAATGGAAAGCCTTTCCAGAAGAGCGGAGGCTGTTATAGCAGCAAAGGGGGAACCAACTCCATATTAATGCCCATGATTTTGGAATGAGATGTTCGATGAGCAGGTGTCCACATACTTTTAGTCATGTAGTGTAGCTCTCATGCTAGAAAAGGTTGGAGACCCCTGGTTTAGAATAAGATACTGTATTTAATTAAAATATATATATTATGTATCCACCATTTTGATGTTCCTTTTTTCCTGGCTTGCGAGCACAGACGGGTGCTGCAGTGAGATATGTGACAAGGGTGTGTCCCCAACTATGAGGACAATATAAACAAACCAAAAGGATCCTGCATATTGATATTAGAATTTCATTATGTTTTATTTGATGTGCAAGATTGAGATACAGAGCGGATAGAGAGAGAGAGGATGTTGTCTGGACTCTGCAGTCCATGGTCACAGTATGAGCTAAGTCCAGACGTGCATTAGACACACATTAATGCACCCTGCATGAATAAATGATGTGTGCCAAGCCAGGGGGTCCTAGCTTTGTGCAGAACTAACCTCAGTAGACTACAGCAGTCAGCCTGGAAGGAGAGCCTAGAACCCCATAATAACATCTTCTTCTTCCTAGTCTTAATGATGACTATATGGCCAATTGGATTTTACTACTCACTAGTACATACATTTTGTCTGCAGTCCTATCATAATATCGAGAAACTGTTCAGGTGAAAATTGTTCAGGCTGAAGTTTGGTATTGGTTTTAACAAGCATTTGGTTAAACTTAAACTTTTAGTATATTGTAACAGCTTGTGCAATTGTAATTTTTGTTATACTGCAGCGAGTACAGTGATCAATGTCAGACATGGTTTTTGAAATAATATCAATTCTATTTTAGCCTCACTAGGGATGACATTTGTGTGCCAGCTCATCTTGATGAAGATATTTTTCCTGTTAATTCATAGAATACATCAAAGTCACTCTCACTGTAATTGAAAACGTGTTAATTTTCAATTCAGGAAACATTTTGAAAACATTGCCTTAAACCCAAAAAGAGTGTGAATGACCTCGTAAAGCCAGCAACACAGTAATAACACCACTGCAGTATCCGCCAGTATTATAAATTGTTAATGCACAAAGTGCACACAGAGGTGAGTGTCTTTCTATTACATATAGTGAGCTCCAAAAGTATTGAGACAGTGAAATTTTTTGTTTGTTTTGTATCTGTACTCCAGCACATTGGATTTGAAATGAACAATGTAATTAGGTCAGATTTAATTTGAGGGTATTTTCATCCATATCGGTATTTTCATCCATATCTGGTGAACCGTTTAGAAATTACAGCACTTTTTGTACAAAGTCCCCCCATTTTAGGGGACCAAAAGTATTGGGACACATTCACTTATATGTGTATTAAACTAGTCAAAATTTAGTATTTGGTCCCATATTCCTAGCATGCAATTAAGCTTGTGACTACAAACTTTTTGGATGCACTTTGGTTGTATTTCAGATGATTTTGTGCCCAATAGAAATTAATGGTAAATAATGTATTGTCACTTTTATTGTAAATAAGAATAGAATATGTTTCTAAACACGTCTACATTAATATGGATGCTACCATGATTACAGATAGTCCTGAATGAATCATTAATAATGATGAGTGAGAAAGTTACAGAAGCACAAATATCCACATTCATGTAGAAGTGTTTAGAAACATATTATATTCTTATTTACAATAAAAGCGACACCAAAATGTTCTGGTTCACCAACCAGAACATTGTTCACTATGAAATGGCATATACAGCCAATCACACTCTTCTTTGGAAGAGAGCCACCCTAAGAGAGATACAGATGGACATCATTTAGACAGGCAGCCCAATTCTGATACTTTTTTCACTAATTGGTATTTTAACCAATCATATCAGCTTTGAAAAATATCTCATGTGAAAAGATCTGATGTGATTGGTCAAAAGACCAATTAGTGGAAACAATATTATAATTGGACTGCCTGGGAACACATCCTAATTTTCCAGGACGTAGATATAGATTATGTCATAGTAAATACGGTAATTATGCACCAGATACAAACTAACAGGACAATCATTCATGATGAACGAATGTAAGCACCTATAACCCTCACATTGTGTTGTGTCTGATTTGTTTAGAAGCCATTACCACTTGTGTGTCTGCTTGCTCACCTGAGCTCCAGAGGTTTTGGAAGCGGGGTCACTGCCCAGGTAGACCCGGTTCTACAGGGCTAAGGAACCCTCTGCAGGCAGAATACCATCAGGCACATGGAAACCATCCAAGAGCAGGTGGAAAGTGTTCTTCCCCACACTGACCATTACCTGCACACCAGTGGAGGCTGCTGAGGGGAGGGCGGCTCACAATAATGGCTGGAATGGCGTAAATGGAATGGCATCAAACACATGGAAACCATGTGTTTGTTGTATTTGATACCATTCCACCTATTCTACTCCAACCAACCTCCTTGCTGCACACAGACAGGCCATACAGGTGGTTATCAACTACTTTACACTTGTATATCTCTAAGCTGTGGCTGTGAGGTACAATGTACATCTTGCACTATTTAGAATGACCCGAAAACCAACAATGATTATTCCACCAATGACTTCATTAAATTATCCTAATATCAAGACCTGCTACCTCAAGTAATTAGACAGCTTACTGTGTGCCATCTTCCATCGTTGCTCTTCTTCTTGTGGTGGATGACTCTATCCTTCCCTATTGACAGTTTGTCAGGTGCGATGTTGTAACTAGCGGCCCCTGTTAGATGGTAGGCCTGGGGGTCAGGCACTGTGGGCAGTCTGCATTACATTTACATTTGAGTCATTTAGCAGACGCTCTTATCCAGAGCGACTTACAGTTAGTGAGTGCATACATTTTCATACTGGCCCCCTGTGGGAAACGAACCCACAACCCTGGCGTTGCAAGCGCCATGCTCTACCAACTGAGCTACAGGGGACTGCACTCAGTATGTACAGCACCAGATCCCTTCAGACAGGGAGAGGGGGGTGGGAGAGAGGATACACGTTAGTAATGTATCAATAAGGTAATACTTTCCATTAAGTTGCTCTATACTTTTGTAGTTACTTTATAATTAAGCAATAAGGCACAAGGGGGTGTGGTATATGGCCAATATACCATGGCTAAGGGCTGTTCTTAGGCGCGACGCAACTGGCCATATACCACAAACACAATTGGCCATATATCACAAATCCCAGAGGGGCCTTATTGCTATTATAAACTGGTTACCAACATAATTACCCATGGTATATGGTCTGATATACCAATGCTTTCAGCCAATCAGCATCCAGGAGCCAAACTACTCAGTTTATAATTATTATTATAATACATAATTATAAGGTGACAAAACAAAACTATCATTACTGATACGAATAATAAAGGACCAGTTCACTGCAGCATTACAAGCCTGTATAAGATATTTATATTTATTATTTATATTTATATTTAGAGAAGATTTGATTTTGTGCTCTAGTTATCTCTTGGCTATTTTAGACGTTTTTGCTGGAAGACCAAACCAGAGTTACACCACTGTCGCTTGAGTGAGAGCCTAAAACCTTTCAGGAAAATGAAAAGAGCCAACATATTCCTTATTGTACACTTTTACCATGAGTTGCCTGATGGTAAACATACACATAAATCAACTTTGGGAAATATCCCTATATTCACAGTATTTTTTTTTTTTTTGGGGGGGGGGGGGGGGGGGGGGGGGCTCTCTTGAAGGCCTGCTGGCTCCCGTATGACCTGAGGAGGGGGCTGTAGTCTGCACATCCCCAGGATCACATCTCCCTTCTGGGTGAACGAGCTGAAGTCAGCAGGAATAAAGGTCTCTTCAGGCCTATGTCAGAGCACAAACAGATGACAGAAAGCACAGCAACAGTTCTTTACTTTCCATAACTGCCTAAATGAATTAGAGAACGCACTGTAGCTAATAATCATTGAATTGGAACGACCACAATGTTGAATCATAATATAATCTCATAGAAGTTTTGTTTTTCCAATTTTTACCGTGATAACTATTTTGTAATTACAGTGTGAATAGTGTCATGTTGTACTTTTCAGAAAGTAATTTTCTAATCTAGAATAAGAACCTTTGAATCGGACCTTCTGATATGAAGGTTAGTCAGGCAGCTCCTGAAGGTCTCTCCTCCCAACAATACCTGCTGTTCATTGGGATTGACTTGAGGGGGATCGATGCTGGCCCAAGACTCTGTTATCAACCCTCAACTCCAATCTGAGGAAATCACAGAAGTTTTGATTTATACACTTTATTGCAATTTCAGAATTTCAGATAAGAAACAGCTTGACAAATGAAACTAAAAATGTCTTACCGTGTGCCATTCCTTAATGCAGTCAAGTAGTGCCGTCTTCCATCAAGGCATTGTCATCAAAGTTAAACACCACATAGCCATCAACCAGTGAGAGCAGGAATCCATGACGCTGATCAATAAAGAAATTGTGTAATGACAGTGTTTACAAAAAGTATACAATTCTGAAGCATAACTGTTAAATTCGTTTTGTTAACTCATTTTGATACTCTTGCTAGTGTTTGAGTTTAAAATATGACACATCGAGAGCTGCCTTTGGAATGGAGGGACTGTGACGTTATCTCTGAAGGAAAATGGATGACATGGATAATTGCATAATTGAGAGAACATTCCAGGAAAATGCATGTATCCCTTGCAAGAGGATATTATGGCAGAAAGCCCATTGACAGAGTTTTGTACCTTTCTCTCAATGATGCTGGTAGACCCCCAATGTAGAAAGTCCTGAAACGTTCTTTCTTGTAGTCCATTTTGACAATCTCTGTTTCTTCTCCATGTACAACATGTACTTCAAATTGTGTATCCATGACAATTGTAAATAGTAAATTCTAAGGGAGAAAGCAGAAGTAAACAAAAAAAGTTGATGCAGACAAACTAAGCCTTTCTGGGTGAACTGTGCACAGCAAGTCTCTGTTACTAACTTACATTGAGTGAAACTTTCCCAGTACTCTTGGCTTTGAGGACTTGGTTGTCTTGTCTTCTCTGCAGCACAAGATAACCTCTCTCCACAATAACACAAGTGTACGAATCCTATGAAATACAACAACATTCATGAAGACGTTTACACTACACACACCAACCATAAAATCTCAATAAGGATTTAATCTATTCATGTTCAACTGCAATACCTTGAAGTTCCTGTGTCTACTTGATGATTAGCAAACTTAGGCATGACATGCCAGCAACAAACGTTGACACTACACATCCAAGTACAGTTGAAGTCTGAAGTTTACATACACATTAGCCAAATACATTTAAACCCAGTTTGTCACAATTCCTGACATTTAATCCTAGTAAAAATTCACTGTCTTAGGTCAGTTAGGTCACCACTTTATTTTAAGATTGTGATATGTCAGAATAATAGTAGAGAGAATGATTTATTTCCACTTTTATTTATTTCATCACATTCCCAGTGGGTCAGAAGTTTACATACACTCAATTAGTATTTGGTAGCATTGCCTTTACATTGTTTAACTTGGGTCAAATGTTTCGGGTAGCCTTCCACAAGCTTCCCACAATAAGTTGGGCGAATTTTGGCCCATTCCTCCTGACAGAGCTGGTTTAACTGAGTCAGGTTTGTAGACCTCCTTGCTTGCACACGCTTTTTCAGTTCTGCCCACACATTTTCTGTAGGATTGAGGTCAGGGCTTTGTGATGGCCACTCCAATACCTTGACTTTGTTGTCCTTAAGCCATTTTGCCTAAACTTTGGAAGTATGCTTGGGGTCATTGTCCATTTGGAAGACCCATTTGCGACCAAGCTTTAACTTCCTGACTGATGTCTTGAGATGTTGCTTCAATATATCCACATAATTTTGCTTCCTCATGATGCCATCTATTTTGTGAAGTGCACCAGTCCCTCCTGCAGCAAAGCACCCCCACAGCATGATGCTGCCACCCCCGTGCTTCACGATTGGGATGGTGTTCTTCGGCTTGCAAGCAACCCCCTTTTTCCTCCAAACATAACTATGGTCATTATGGCCAAACAGTTCTATTTTTGTTTCATCAGACCAGAGGACATTTCTCCAAAAAGTATAATATTTGTCCCCATGAGCAGTTGCAAACCGTAGTCTGGCTTTTTTATGGCGGTTTTGGAGCATTGGCTTCTTCCTTGCTGAGCGGCCTTTCAGGTTATGTCGATATAGGACTCGTTTACTGTGGATATAGATACTTTTGTACCTGTTTCCTCCAGCATCTTCACAAGGTCCTTTGCTGTTGTTCTGGGATTGATTTGTACTTTTCGCACCAAAGTACGTTCATCTCTAGGAGACAGAACGCGTCTCCTTCCTGAGCGGTATGACGGCTGCGTGGTCCCATGGTGTTTATACTTGCGTACTATTGTTTGTACAGATGAACGTGGTACCTTCAGGCATTTTGAAATTGCTCCCAAGGATGACCCAGATTTCTAAAAAAAAAAATTCTGAGGTATTGGTTGATTTCTTTTGATTTTCCCATGATGTCAAGCAAAGAGGCACTGAGTTTGAAGGTAGGCCTTGAAATACATCCACAGGTACACCTCCAATTGACTCAAATGAGATATCAATTAGCCTATCAGAAGCTTCTAAAGCCATGACATAATTTTCTGGAATTTTCCAAGCTGTTTAAAGGTACAGTCAACAGTGAATTATAAGTGAAATAATCTGTCTGTAAACAATTGTTGGAAAAATTACTTGTGTCATGCACAAAGTAGATGTCCTAACCGACTTCCCAAAACTATAGTTTGTTAACAAGAAATTTGTGGAGTGGCTGAAAAATGAGTTTTAATGACTCCAACCTAAGTGTATGTAAACTTCCGACTTCAACTGTATATCTGACCAAATTATGAAAGACAAGCATTGTAATTTTGAATTCCGTAAAGTGTGGAAGAGGTGAAAAAAGTATTATTGTCGATCAACAATGACAAGCCACCGGGGGCTGACAACTTGGATGGAAAATTACTGAGGATAATAGCGGACGATATTGCCACTCCTATTTGATATATCTTCAATTTAAGCCTACTGGAAAGTGTGTGCCCTTAGGCCTGGAGGGAAGCAAAAGTTATTCCCCTACCTAAGAATAGTAAAGCCCCCTTTACTGGCTCAAATAGCCGACCAATCAGCCTGTTACCAACCCTTAGTAAACTTTTGGAAAAAATGGTGTTTGACCAGATAAAATGCTATTTTACAGAAAACAAATTGACAACAGACGTTCAGCATGCTTACAGGGAAGTACATTCAACAAGCACAGCACTTACACAAATGACTGATGATTGGCTGAGAGAAATTGATGATAAAACGGGGCTGTTTTGTTAGACTTCAGTGCGGCTTTTGACATTATCGATCATAGTCTGTTGCTAGAAAAACGTATGTGTTATGGCTTTACACCCCCCTGCTATATTGTGGATAAAGAGTTACCTGTCTAACAGAACACAGAGGGTGTTCTTTAATGGAAGCCTCTCCAACAAAATCCAGGTAGAATCAGGAATTCCCCAGGGCAGCTGTCTAGGCCCCTTACTTTTTTCAAGCTTTACTAACAACATGAGTAAAGCCAGTGTGTCTATGTATGTGGATGACTCAACACTATACACGTCAGCTACCACAGCGACTGAAATGACAGCAACACTTAACAAAGAGCTGCAGTTAGTTTCAGAATGGGTGGCAAGGAATAAGTTAGTCCTAAATATTTCAAAAACTAAAAGCATTGTATTTGGGACAAATCATTCACTAAACCCTAAATCTCAACTAAATCTTGTAATGAATAATGTGGAAATTGAGCAAGTTGAGAAGACTAAATTGCTTGGAGTAACCCTGGATTGTAAACTGTCATGATCAAAACATATTGATACAACAGTAGCTAGGATGGGGAGAAGTCTGTCTATAATAAAGCGCTGCTCTGCATTCTTAACAGCTCAGGCAGGTCCTACCGGCCCTAGTTTTGTCGCACCTGGACTACTGTTCAGTCGTGTGGTCAGGTGCCACAAAGAGGGAAAATTGCAATTGGCTCAGAACAGGGCAGCACGGCTGGCCCTTGGATGTACACAGAGAGCTAACATTAATAATATGCAGTCAATCTCGCCTGGCTCAAAGTGGAGGAGAGATAGACTTCATCACTACTTGTATTTGTGAGAGTTGACATGTTGAATGCACCGAGCTGTCTGTTTGAACTACTGGCACACAGCTCGGACACCCATGCATATCCCACAAGACATGCCACCAGAGGTCTCTTCACAGTCCCCAAGTCTATGGGAGGCGCACAATACTACAGTACATAGAGCCATGACTACATGGAACTTTATTCCACATCAAATAACTCATGCCAGCAGTAAAATCTGATTTAAAAAACAGAAAGAAATCCACTTAATGGAACAGCAGGGACTGTGCAGCAACACAAACATTGACACATGCATACAAACACATGATAACATACGCCCTATACACACGTACACATGGATTTTGTTTTATAGATACAGTGGGGAGAACAAGTATTTGATACACTGCCGATTTTGGAGGTTTTCCTACTTATAAAGCATGTAGAGGTCTGTAATTTTTATCATAGGTACACTTCAACTGTGAGAGACGGAATCTTAAACAAAAATCCAGAAAATCACATTGTATGATTTTTAAGTAATTAATTTGCATTTTATTGCATGACATAAGTATTTGATACATCAACAAAGTACTGAATAAAGGGTCTGAATACGTATGTAAATACAGTGGGGGAAAAAGTATTTAGTCAGCCATCAATTGTGCAAGTTCTCCCACTTAAAAAGATGAGAGAGGCCTGTAATTTTCATCATAGGTACACGTCAACTATGACAGACAAAATGAGAAGAAAAAAAATCCAGAAAATCACATTGTAGGATTTTTAATGAATTTATTTGCAAATTATGGTGGAAAATAAGTATTTGGTCAATAACAAAAGTTTCTCAATAGTTTGTTATATACCCTTTGTTGGCAATGACACAGGTCAAACGTTTTCTGTAAGTCTTCACAAGGTTTTCACACACTGTGGCTGGTATTTTGGCCATTTCCTCCATGCAGATCTCCTCTAGAACAGTGATGTTTTGGGGCTGTCGCTGGGCAACATGGACTTTCAACTCCCTCCAAAGATTTTCTATGGGGTTGAGATCTGGAGACTGGCTAGGCCACTCCAGGACCTTGAAATGCTTCTTACGAAGCCACTCCTTCGTTGCCCGGGCGGTGTGTTTGGGATCATTGTCATGCTGAAAGACCCAGCCACGTTTCATCTTCAATGCCCTTGCTGATGGAAGGAGGTTTTCCCTCAAAATCTCACGATACATGGCCCCATTCATTCTTTCCTTTACACGGATCAGTCGTCCTGGTCCCTTTGCAGAAAAACAGCCCCAAAGCATGATGTTTCCACCCCCATGCTTCACAGTAGGTATGGTGTTCTTTGGATGCAACTCAGCATTCTTTGTCCTCCAAACATGACGAGTTGAGTTTTTACCAAAAAGTTCTATTTTGGTTTCATCTGACCATATGACATTCTCCCAATCCTCTTCTGGATCATCCAAATGCACTCTAGCAAACTTCAGACGGGCCTGGACATGTACTGGCTTAAGCAGGGGGACACGTCTGGCACTGCAGGATTTGAGTCCCTGGCGGCGTAGTGTGTTACTGATGGTAGGCTTTGTTACTTTGGTCCCAGCTCTCTGCAGGTCATTCACTAGGTCCCCCCGTGTGGTTCTGGGATTTTTGCTCACCGTTCTTGTGATCATTTTGACCCCACGGGGTGAGATCTTGCGTGGAGCCCCAGATCGAGGGAGATTATCAGTGGTCTTGTATGTCTTCCATTTCCTAATAATTGCTCCCACAGTTGATTTCTTCAAACCAAGCTGCTTACCTATTGCAGATTCAGTCTTCCCAGCGTGGTGCAGGTCTACAATTGTGTTTCTAGTGTCCTTTGACAGCTCTTTGGTCTTGGCCATAGTGGAGTTTGGAGTGTGACTGTTTGAGGTTGTGGACAGGTGTCTTTTATACTGATAACAAGTTCAAACAGGTGCCATTAATACAGGTAACGAGTGGAGGACAGAGGAGCCTCTTAAAGAAGAAGTTACAGGTCTATGAGAGCCAGAAATCTTGCTTGTTTGTAGGTGACCAAATACTTATTTTCCACCATAATTTGCAAATAAATTCATTAAAAATCCTACAATGTGATTTTCTGGATTTTTTTTCCTCAATTTGTCTGTCATAGTTGACGTGTACCTATGATGAAAATTACAGGCCTCTCTCATATTTTTAAGTGGGAGAACTTGCACAATTGGTGGCTGACTAAATACTTTTTTCCCCCACTGTAAGTATTTGATCACCTACCAACCAGTAAGAATTCCGGCTCTCACAGACCTGTTAGTTTTTTTTTAAGAAGCCCTCCTGTTCTCCACTCATTACCTGTATTAACTGCACCTGTTTGAACTCGTTACCTGTATAAAATACACCTGTCCACACACTCAATCAAACAGACTCCAACCTCTCCACAATGGCCAAGACCAGAGAGCTGTGAAAGGACATCAGGGTTAAAATTGTAGACCTGCACAAGGCTGGGATGGGCTACAGGACAATAGGCAAGCAGCTTGGTGAGAAGGCAACAACTGTTGGCGCAATTATTAGAAAATGGAAGAAGTTCAAGATGACGGTCAATCACCCTCGGTCTGGGGCTCCATGCAAGATCTCACCTCGTGGGGCATCAATGATCATGAGGAAGGTGAGGGATCAGCCCAGAACTACACGGCAGGACCTGGTCAATGACCTGAAAAGAGCTGGGACCACAGTCTCAAAGAAAACCATTAGTAACACACTACGCCGTCATGGATTAAAATCCTGCAGCGCACGCAAGGTCCCCCTGCTCAAGCCAGCGCATGTCCAGGCCTGTCTGAAGTTTGCCAATGACCATCTGGATGATCCAGTGGAGGAATGGGAGAAGGTCATGTGGTCTGATGAGACAAAAATAGAGCTTTTTGGTCTAAACTCCACTCGCCGTGTTTGGAGGAAGAAGAAGGATGAGTACCACTCCAAGAACACCATCCCAACCGTGAAGCATGGAGGTGGAAACATCATTCTTTGGGGATGCTTTTCTGCAAAGGGGACAGGACAACTGCACCGTATTGAGGGGAGGATGGACAACGACCCGAAACACACAGCCAGGGCAACTAAGGAGTGGCTCCGTAAGAAGCATCTCAAGGTCCTGGAGTGGCCTAGCCAGTCTCCAGACCTGAACCCAATAGAACATCTTTGGAGGGAGCTGAAAGTCCGTATTGCCCAGCGACAGCCCCGAAACCTGAAGGATCTGGAGAAGGTCTGTATGGAGGAGTGGGCCAAAATCCCTGCTGCAGTGTGTGCAAACCTGGTCAAGACCTACAGGAAACGTATGATCTCTTTAATTGCAAACAAAGGTTTCTGTACCAAATATTAAGTTCTGCTTTTCTGATGTATCAAATACTTATGTCATGCAATAAAATGCAAATTAATTACTTAAAAATCATACAATGTGATTTTCTGGATTTTTGTTTTAGATTCCGTCTCTCACAGTTGAAGTGTACCTATGATAAAAATTACAGACCTCTACATGCTTTGTAAGTAGGAAAACCTGCAAAATCGGCAGTGTATCAAATACTTGTTCTCCCCACTGTATGTGGTAGTAGAGTAGAGGCCTGAGGGCACACACTTAATATGTTGTGAAATCTGTTATGAATGTATTGTAATGTTTATGCACAGGGCATAACTGGCAAAATGTGGACAACTTTCCAATTCCGTACAGTATGGTCTCTTTTATAGATGTTAAAATAAGGTGGTGATCCCTTTTGTTGGTTTTTACTTTATATATGGCTGTTTGTCTATGTTGATGGCATTCTTGAACTTGTACAGACTAAATAATTGGTCATTGATAGTAGACAGTTTGATGGCTTGGGGTAACGCAGCTCCACTGGAGGATAATGAGGGTGAATTAAAACAAAACATAGTGAATTAAAACAAAACTTGGAGAATAAGACTAGTCTGGTCCTGCTGATTACAGACTAGTAAAGTGTACTTCTGTATTCAACAATCTGAGGATGATGCAGAGGCACAAAGCACCTGGGAGGGATAGTAATTGTAATTACAGTGAAGTCATCGGGATAACCGCCCACATAGAAGACCACACTGTTGGTGTCCAGGTTAAGGAGGTTAACTGCTGTGTTGAGCCGGTAACTCTCCTTAGACATTTTGACAGGCTGTGATGTAAAGCTGTGTGTGAGACTGACCTCAGCATCTTACTAAACTTTAGAGAAATAGGAAGCAAATGGGATTACAAGGGAGCGCTTTCCATCATCTGCAAACTGTCATGTCATCAAGCTAGTACCAAATCCAGAATGTTTCCCCAGAGGTGTACCTGTTAAAGACAACCTTGTCAAAAACAGTGGAGTTCACTTTGGTTCTGGTTATGTGGTTGGTGTTCAGCTCATGTACGACTCCACCCAGCTTGTATGCACAGCGGAGTGTGTTATTCTTATAGCCATTCCAATGAAGTCTTTCAATGTATTTGAGTGTCTAAAGAACTGCAACGCTGCTGGGTTTTTCACATTCAACAGTTTCCTGTGTGTATCAAGAATGGTCCACCAGCCAAGGGGCATCCAGCCAACTTGACACAACTGTGGGAAGCATTGAAGTCAACATGGGCCAGCATCCCTGTGGAATGCTTTTGACACCTTGTAGAGTCCATGCCCCAACAAATTGAGGCTGTTCTGGGGGCAATAGGAGGTGCAATTCAATATTAGGAAGGTGTTCCTAATATTTGGTATACTCAGTGTATGATAAAATAATAGAATCTGGAATGTGTTTTATTGAGGGGCATACAATACTCTGTAGTGTGAATTGGCCTCAATCCCATCCATTAACAGGTTCAAAGTGCAAAGCTTTTTTCAACATCATACAGCAAAGCATTTGCCCCATATCATTTAGCAGGTTGGCATTATTGTCATGAATATTGCCCTCTGCAGAGTGGTCACTAGCTGGCATAGCCACAAAGTCTAAAATATTCAACCTAATCCTAACCTTAACCCTAACCTTAACCACACTGCTAACCCTAATGCCTAACCCTAACCTTAAATTAAGAGCAAAAAGCAAATTTTTGTTCTCATTAATATTTACAATATAGCTAATTTTGACTTTGCAGCTGGCCCATCTAAGGATAAATTGCTCAGTTCTGCCTCCATGACAAGACTCATGACAATAAATGTCGACCTGCTATCATTTCCTGGAAGGATTGAGAATGGGTCAATAGCATGATACATTTTGGTGCAATTCTTGTTTGTAATGTAGCTTTAGTGTCGTTAGAAAAACAAGAATTAGGATGATTACTACACCTTTGAGGTCCTTCTCAGCATTCATGGCCTCTGTCAGTAAGCTTCTTGCACTATTCTTTAGCTCCTCAGACCTGTTGGTCAGACCTTTCTCCTCCACATCCTGAAACATATCAAAGTTCTAGGAGATATGTGAATTTTTTTTGCATGGTATGTTAACTGTATTTTCCATGTCATTGTGAATTTAAAGTTCATGGTGGCTGTAGCATCCGGACCAGTATAATCACCTTCAGAGCTTTTTGGCTGCCTCTTTGGATTTATTGGCAGCCATCTCTGCTTCTTCAATGGCTTTTATTGTGCTGCTGTATGCTCTTGCGCTTTATGCGGCATGCTGCAGGTCAGAGCTGTTGGTGGCATTGTGTACTACCCTACAATAACAAGGAATACAACGCTCACAGTGGTCCATTCAAGCCCACACAAAGGTCCCGACATAGGAAACATCTGTGGGTTATGAAAAAGTAGGCCCCAACCTAAGAACGAACTAACTCTGTCTACCTCCATTTGTAGTTCCATTGCCAGTCTGTTTAGCTCCTCAGCTTTGCTTTAGCGATATCATTCAGCGTCTTGGTGAGATTGGGCTCCGTCTATCTTGGCTGCAAAGTGCTCGTATTCCTGAAAGATTTTAATAACATTTTTAATGTCTCCTTCATTACAAGAGAAAGAAGAATTTCCACTGGAAACTATTTGAATTCATCTGCTTCATACCTTTTTGCGGTCCTTCATAATTTCCAAAAGGTCTGTGATATTCTTCAATTTATCCATGGTCATATGGATGGATTGAATCACATTTCCTCTCCAGCTCATCTCTTAGTTGCTAGTAAATGTTCATATAGAGGGAGAACAGTGATCACCTCAGTCAAACACAACTTGTGCCATGATTTGGAAAAAGGAGGGATTCGTTTTTGTGTTGTATCTGAGATCTACAACATATTTCATAGATGTTATACTTCAGTTTTTGACATTACCATCGGGTCTCTTAGGAAGTCAGTACTGTTGGAGTTGAGGCTCCGTGTCCTGTTCACCAAATCCTCTGCTTGTGCCACAGCCTCTGCCAGATCACTCAACGCAGAGCCCCACGTCATCAGGGACTCATTGGCTACAGCCGTCTCATTGGCTACAGCCTGGTTGTCATCCAATGGAGCTGTCATATTGTTCCTGATGAAGTCCAATACTGAGAGGGACACATGTATTACACTTTGCATCTTGAGTCATATCTATCATACACAATGATTAAGTCAAGAACTTGTGTCACATTGATGTATAGAATTTCTCATTCAATAGAATGCTAATTAAAGTGCTGCCCTGTACTATAAGTGACTTTAGTCTAAGCCAAAAGGCCCAGATCTCACATTTGGGAGCCTTCTCTTGCTCCCTGGCAGCCTCCTTTGTCTGGTTACTGCAGCCAAGATGTCTCATCACATGCACCATGCGCTGCACCTCCTTCATCATCCTGGCCATCTCCTCCACTGCCACATTGATGTTGGGTACACTAGAGTTAGTCTCACTCAGCTGCCGAAGCAGATCTGAGCGGGCAAGACAAGAGGTGGGGATTATCGTGACAATGATGTATCATTATATTATCATAATGAAATACTATGAGTAATAGTTTACCTTCTATATGCATTAAGAGATATTTTGCTTCAGGGATAAGACACTCACGACACCCACAACCGGTCCTCTGGGCAGCATTGCCGTAGTAACCCTCCTTGCAGCGCTCACATCAATCCCCATCAGTATTGTACTGACTGTTCTGGAAAATAAAGTGTTCTCTCTGTTTATCAATGAAGCAGGCTTGTGGAATGTTGGTGGTATGGTTCATGATGTCATAGCACAGTAGTGAGAGGTAATGCAGTCTGGCATGAATGCTAATCTGTGGATATGACTGATATCCATCTGGATCAGCATGGTTTGGAAAAAGCAGAACTAAGCCATACAGTATGTTTACCTAACTGGTGAGTCAGGAATGATCTATCCTGCTGTGTGTGTGTGTATGTACGTGTGTGTGTGTGTGTGAGAGAGAGAGAGTGGTAGAGGTATAGATTAATAGATGGAGAGAGAGAAACCCACCAGACATCTCCCTGTTTGCTCGTCACATTCATTAGACAGTTACAGTTGCAGGGTACACACTGGCCCCTAGGAGGCCTTGTCATCTCTGTAGTATCCAGGGCCACATCTCTGTATGGATGGGAAAAGTCAGATGAGGTAAGGCAGCTTTTTGAATGCAAAAGTGTCTACTCGATAAAGTTCCAATAGAAAATACAGATCAGTTTTTGGACTCATGGGTTTGTGCTTTGCTTCTATGACATCAAAGCAGTATTTATTATAATCCTCAACGTCTCATCTTTCAGAAGACATTGGCTCTTCTCGATTTACAGCATTTCCGTCATTCAGACAACAACAAATGTGCAAAAAGTAGCCCAATTAGTGGGAGGGATGGGGGAATCTTCTTGTTGCGCGCGATGCTCAAGTTTATAATGGCTGTCAGTGAAAACCCATACAGCGCTGTGAAGTGGAGAAACTGAGCTCTGATGTCATGTATAGCATGTTTCAATTTAGGTGCTTATACGGGATGACAGGGGCTCTGAGTGTAACGGAAGGACTACCAAGACTATAGTGCTACGTGTTTCCGCCCGTCCTGACCTTTATGTAGCACATTCTTTAATTGAAGAAGGCTTGGACGGGCGGAAAGAAAGGTACAACAAGACCCTAGTTAGAAGGACATGCACTGTTTGTCTCTACTGTCTTGCTATCCAAAATAATTCATGAAATGTAAATATGGACTTGCCAAGCAACGCATTTTGTGTAAGTCACTCAGACACATTTGTGTTGTGAAAATTCCCAGAGGTTTCAATACAAAACCATTGCTTGTTTGAGTTGTAAATCAAGGTGTGGTATATTGTACGACTAAATCAACACATGACCAAAGAACAATGGGGATCACTTGAGGACACACCACCTGAACAGGAAAGTATCAAATGTGCTGTCGTCTGGACCATTTGGTCCCTTTAGAGAGGAATCAATAAATATTTTTCAAATTTTAATAATAATAATTATTATCATTATTATTTAAATTTTTAAGGCTGATCTGTCTCTGTTTGTGTACCCTGTGTGTAACACATGAATACATATATTTTTGTTGTTCAACACTTTCTTACTTAAACCTCTACTTGTAGTATGTGGACATACTCCATTAATATTTGCAATTAGCAGGCTTTTTTCAAATTGGTGGACTAACTGTTTTGCATGTCTGCAGTGCAAATCAAACTCAGACAGAAGCCCCTGACAACTATTAACAAATCAGTTACCCAACAACCTTAAACACAAGATCTATAATCTAGTACAGAAATACCCGGGTGATGGCTTCAGCTGACTGGCTGTTGAATGAGGGGTCACAGTACTTCCTGGGGATCCTGGGGAGCCAGGGATCCTTACTGCTCTGTTGGCTCTGTGCCAGATAGTTATACCTACAGTTTGGATGTCTCTGTGGTCCTCTCTGGCCATTTGTGTAGGGGCCAAATAAAGCACACCACAACAATAATCCCCATACTCCTCCAAACCAGCAAAAAGTCCCTTGCGTCATTTTCATACATCTGCAAGACAGCAAATCTACCTCCCACACTGTAGAGGAGCTTGGCTGTGGGAACTATGAGGGTAAATACCTAGGAGCTCCGCCCCCTGCAAAAGCTAGGGCCAGATAGAATGCCCCTATAAAAATAAACTGGCATACCTACAGGAAGACTGAGCATATCAGTATGCTTAGTTTGAGGTTGTTGAGGTTCAAAGATCACCTGGGTACCACTTCCTTTTTTTCAAAGGTGTTTGTGGAGCAGTAAGTTGGCATGGCATAGATCGTAATTGTACTGTGTACCACAGGTCACGTTTCACAGTTGTGAAACTATGTAAGGTGTAAACCTATGAACCAGGTGAATTGAATAACAATATAATACAAGGGAATAAAAGACAAACCAGAGTCTAGCGTTGCTTACAAACTGATTACGTTCCCACGCCTACGTCCCCTCCTGCAGACTGTTTGACATTCTTGCAGATTGAAAGGGCTTTTTCAAGATGCCTCGCTGTGCAAGGAAATACCTTCTTAATTCAACACAAGCAATCAGATACCTTGATGCACAATATCTAGTGCTATATCCAGTCCTGTATTAAACGCTATATCCAAAACATCCAATACTAACATCATAATTCTAGACCAGCCTGCCACAGTCGGTCGAAATCGAAAAACAATCACAGTCAAATGTCAATTCAATTGAGCTATATTCTCCATCACAGTGCAATACAGCCATAGCATTACTCAGAGTGTTACAGTATAGAAGAAAGAATACCTGGCACCATCTCCCCCACAAATAAACCAAATCAATACTTTTTATTAACCTCTGACAACCTATCCACCAAGATGATGTGTTCTGTCTCTGACACTTTATCACCTATATGGTTAATAAAATAGGGTAGAGAGCATAGCTTACGATGCCACAAGTGTTCCTACCATTCCGGATCATTCGTATGTAGCCACCCTCTCCCCATCCATTACCCCAACTGGGAAGAAAAGGAAAACAGGCACAGATTTATATACAACAAATACCCTTCATATACAGGAAACAGTAACCCCATTATAATATTTTGTGAGAATGTAAACCATGTTACTCCCACCTGTGATTCACCCACCTGGTTTTGACGATCCAATAGTCTTGTCCCCCTTCAGAGCCATAGCCAACCAGAAGCACCGCATGACTGAGGTTGTTGGGGTTACAGCTTGGTTCCTCATATATTCCTGTTTGACCAATAATAGCACTGGTTACAATGAGGGAAGCTCAGATAGGGCAAATACATTTTTTAATGGAATCAAAAACGTTAACCTGGACTATCAAAGTTAATATTATGTACAGCCATGGGAAACAAAACACTAAATGTAGCTGTCAAGGTTCAAGGTATGAAGACCAACCTGAACTGTAGAACATGAAGCTTGGGTGATCTGCATCCACAGCGATGGTGATTGGGCCAATGGTTGCCACAGCATCAGTTAGGGCCTGCTCATCTCCAGTGGGTATGAACATATAATCAGTGATCCTGGCAACTGACTGACTGCTTTCTTGAAACAGGGCTGGGTATCCTAGAAATACAGAAAAGTGTCTCACCCCTTGTACTTCTTAAATCATATGTTGCTATTAACATTATGTAACGTTGATCTACATGGACAGGGATGTCCCCAGTCAGACTCTTACCACTGATGTGTAGGGGTAGGTGTCTGTGGACTGAAGCCTATTCTGAACCACATAATCATAGGCATTAGCCATCCAGGCCCTGCAGCCATAGGTGCCATAGGGCTTGGAGCAGTCCACAAGGTTCTGCCCACTCAAGGATACCAGCTGACCTGTCCTCTTGAACATTTGTCCTTCAATGGCCCCCGTAGTGCTAAAGGCCCAGCAGGAGCCACAATAGCCCTGTGAGGAGAAATCAAAAGAAATCAAACTTCCTAGTTTGCACTGACGTTCTACTTCCAGAAGTTTCTAAAGAAAAGCCTCACCTGGTCTTTGACCTCAGTGACATAGCCCGTGGCTCTGTAGTCGACGGTAACAGCCCCTAACTTCCGAGCACTGGCACAAAGCTTTCGAGCTGATGCATCCTTCCCCTTTCTCTTTATTTTGCTATTTATCATGGCACCTTGCAAATGTGTGTATTCTTGCCTTGTCTACGCATGGAAGAGAGAAATTCCAAAGTGATTTAGTTTGAAATTTATAAAATAATCAATGGAAAATAAACGTTTCAATACACTAAAATTAGAACAATCTCTCATAATGTATACAAATGGACAGAAATTAGAACAGAAAGAGGAATGTTGCAGCTCTCAGACATTTGGAAATTGCTCAAAGTGGATCATGATAAGTAAGACATAGAAGTACCTTGGACTATAACATCCTGTACTAAACAGAAGTGAAGATGAGGATGATCACTTACCAGGTCCCCATATTTATTAATGGCCATGGTGAACATCCTCGTCCCTCTGAGGAAAACGGTTATTATTCTCATCAATCACCCTCATGTTGTCCTCCCAAATGGCCTTCCTCTCAATGTCATCCCGCTTCAGAATGAACTAACAAATAAAGTAGTTGATTATTGTGAAGGTGTGTGTCTGGGAGGGAGGGAATGAATTCTTGAATGTTTACAATGTGTCTTCATGTAGGCCTATATGCAGTTAAGTAGCCTAATCCTACAGTAACTATTGAGGTGTGTTTGTGAATGCAATCTGAGTCTATGAGTACGTGTATAAAATAACATCTAACCTTCTCATCGTAGGACACACCGTTGCTCCTCTTCCATGTTTGCCACTCTGATGGCCCCTGCACCTCCTCATCCGAGTCTGACGCCACGTGGAGAGGATCAGACAGGAGTATAGAGAGTAGCACAGCTCTCCCCGTGAGGCTGGCCCATTGGACTGGAGGGATGGATGATCAGAGTATAGTATTTCACCAAATGTGTTCTGTTGTAAATGACTTTGCTGCAATTTATACCATTCTGGAGAGAGAATTATATGGAAACACTATAAATGCGCTGAGATTCTGAATGTAATGTTATCAAATTAATGCAATCAAGTTAGGAAATGAGACTAAATTAATTTCAATAGCCTGGCACCACCTGCTGGAAAGTTGGGCTGTCTTGTCTTCATGTTCTGGGACTAATTCCACACTCCATACCGTGACCGGTCATCACCCCCTCTTTTATTGCCTGAGATGAAGGATGTGCTCCCCTCGGGGCTGTCTGAATCCCATCACCTACACACAAGAGGGAGGTGCCAACAGGGGAGAGAAAACCCCTTAATAGACAATCCCAGGTCACAGAGTGTAAACACAGTATGTCACTATTCAAAGTAGCATACATCAGAGTTTTTTGACACTCCTCACATCAATATCTTAGCGGTGCTAAGAAGATATGCTAGCATAAATACAGCCCATCTACCTGCCAATTATAAGCTTACAACTAAATAGTAATCAAACAGCTTCTCCTACACAGGCTATCTGCAATTAAACAGATAAAACAACACCTCATGGCACAACGCAAACTGTCAAGAGAGACATACACAAACACACACGCATACACACTCTAACACACACACTTTACACACACACACACACATTGAAGTATTGTAGTATTGCACATTTTTATTGTACATTTGTAATAATAGAGTAATAATGTAATCATGTCTTGTATGATTTATTGTTTTATTTATGATGTAGGCTGTTGTTGTGTTTTGTTGTGATGTAATTGTTTTTATCCTGTTTGGACCCCAGGAATGGTAGCTGATGCCTTGGTAGCAGGCTAGCAGCTAATGGAGATCCTAGTAAATACTAAAACATTATGCACCCCGATATTTTGGTATCAGGCTGTGCTGTTGTGTAGGCCCAGGCACCCATTGCATCATTGAAGCTTGTGCATTATCTTCTGAATGACCAGCATAGCCTGTGAAAACAGTCATGTTTCTTTGTCCCAAAGTTTGTCCCAAACTAATACCTTTGAAACAGCTGTGGCAGCAAAAGCTGCTTAACATGCAGGCATGCAGTGTAGCATGTGCCACAGTACAGACACTACTGTAAAATCCGAGTACAGGGGTGTGGCTGAGGACTGGATGGAGTCAAATAAGGTTATTCAACAAAATGAATGCATTAGCTATTAAGAAAACAGATAATTGGTTACTAGGTAAATAATTAAGTAAACACAGTTCTTTCCTCAAACACAGAATCACAGAATCACCACATTTTAGCAATATGTAGGCCTGTAAATGACTTTTAGCCTATAATCCAGGAAAATAATCCTACACTACCTTGAATAGAACAAAACCTTGTGCCAGGTATAACATAATAGCCTATGTTGCCTCAGTGTAAGCCAACTACTATCCTGGTTTTAATGTCTATGACTACTACCCACAAAATGAAACTGTAACAGAATCAAACCCGATGCATTTGTTTGAACAAACGACTTCAAGGAATTGATTCAGTGAGCAGACAGAGCGCCACACGGAATTGATTCAGTGAGCAGACAGAGCGCCTGTCTGTGTGGCGGGAGCGGCACTGCAGAGGATATACACATGCTGCGTGTTGTTTTTCCTTCAGCGCGCCAACACCCCGGGAGAAGTCACAACAAATAGTCAAAACAAATACGTTTTAGATAGTTATTACAGTAATATAAGGGCATACTCAAGAAAGATGAGTCACGAATGAGGTCTGCAGGATGTCGTTTACGGTAATCTCCACATTTTCCTGATTTTCTGCATAGGCTACTCTAACCAAGTTTGAAATGAAAAGAGAGAAGCCTAATCTACTCACTACGAATGTTAACTTTCTTTGCGGCCATCGCTCCTAATGTGTGTTATGAATAAGCCTACGATGACGAAAATGCGCGTGTAATATGCAGGGGGCTTGCGCGCAATAATTATGTATTTATGGAAATTAGATATGCTGCTTGACCTTCAGTTAGTGGTAATGGTCTTTCCGGACAGAGTCCTACCCTTATGACCTTACTAAAATCAGGTTGTCATGTCACTAGAGTAGAGAGACAGGTGTTGAGGTAGTTCATCATCATCTGGCCATGAGCAGCCTACCACAGCAGATCATGCCCCACCCACGTGCAATATTTGGAAATATCCACCAAAAATGAGTATGTCCACATTTGTATTAACTTTGACATTTTGAACTGTTTGGCCCCAGTCAATCTTACTGTTATTGCAGTAGAGTATTCCATACTTCTTATCTTTCTAACCATATAACTGGACTTAGTCATGATTCCTCATTAGTATTATTTGATTGACACATGATACAATGTATTATTTTGTCTTGTCTGTGTTAGGTTTACCCAGATTTATTTGGACCAACGTTGGTGGGTGGGAGCTAGACTGTTAGAGACCACACACAACCAGACCAGAGACTATACAACCACACCATACCCAATGCAAGAGCATAATCAATGTGCAAAGAGCCTCTGTCCATATTTATTGATATTGATTGTGAACAGGAAGAGCCTGACTGCAACTCATTTGAAATGGTTATGTCTATAACCTCAATTGTCTGATCAATACTAAACAAATTGCATGCCAAATTTGGAATTCTGAGATGATACTGTCGATCTGTTGTCTTTTAGTCTGGTTATAGGTCTGTTATCTGACACTAATGTCAAGTCGATGTTGTATCGTGTGTTTGCAGAAGGAGACGCCCCTGGCTAACGCCGTGTTTTGGGCAGCTCGTAAGGGGAATTTGGCCCTGCTTCAATTACTGCTCAACAGTGGCCGTGTGGATGTCGACTGCGGAGACAGTGTACGGACGCTGCATGCCCTGGTGGCTCAGCTGCACGCTTTACCCATAAACCACCTGTGGTAGGAGAGAAAGAGAGAGCTACAACCCTTCTGTCTGTCTCTCTGTGTGTGTGGATGTACAGTCGTGGTCGAAAGTTTTGAGAATTACACAAATATTAATTTTCACAAAGTCTGCTGCCTCAGTTTTTATGATGGCAATTTGCATATATTTTTTAACATTTTAGTCATTTAGCAGACGCTCTTATCCAGAGCGACTTACAGTTTAGTGAATACATATTTATTTTTTATACTGGCCCCCCGTGGGAATCGAACCCACAACCCTGGCGTTGCAAACGCCATGCTCTATCAACTGAGCTACATCCCTGCCGGCCATTCCCTCCCCTACCCTGGACGACGCTGGGCCAATTGTGCACCGCCCATGAGACTCCCGGTCGCGGCCGGCTGCGACAGAGCCTGGATTCGAACCAGGATCTCTAGTGGCACAGTTAGCACTGCGATGCAGTGCCTTAGACCACTGCGCCACTACAAACATATACTCCAGAATGTTATGAAGAGTGATCAGATGAATTGCAATTAATTGCAAAGTCCCTCTTTGCCATGAAAATGAACTTAATCCCCCAAATACATTTCCACTGCATTTCAGCCCTGCCACAAAATGACCAGCTGACATCATGTCAGTGATTCTCTCGTTAACACAGGTGAGAGTCTTAACGAGGACAAGGCTGGAGATCACTCTGTCATGCTGATTGAGTTAGAATAACAGACTGGAAACTTTAAAAGGAGGGATGTGCTTGAAATAATTGTTCTTCCTCTGTTAACCATGGTTACCTGCAAGGAAACACATGCCGTCATCATTGCTTTGCACAAAAAGGGAAGGATATTGCTTGTAGTAAGATTGCACCTAAATCAACCATTTATCGGATCATCAAGAACTTCAAGGGTTGAGTTTCAATTCCAAGAAAGTCCAGCAAGCGCCAGGACCTACTCCTAAAGTTGATTCAGCTGCGGGATCGGGGCACCACCAGTGCAGAGCTTGCTCAGGAATGGCAGCAGGCAGGTGTGAGTGCATCTGCACGCACAGTGAGGAGAAGACTTTCGGAGGATGGCCTGGTGTCAAGAAGGGCAGCGAGGAAGCCACTTCTCTCCAGGAAAAACATCAGGGACAGACTGATATTGTGCAAAAGGTACAGGGATTGGACTGCTGAGGACTGGGGTAAAGTCATTTTCTCTGATGAATCCCCTTTCCGATTGTTTGGGGAATCCGGAAAAAGCTTGTCCGGAGAAGACAAGGTGAGCGCTACCATCAGTCCTGTGTCATGCCAACAGTAAAGCATCCTGAGACCATTCATGTGTGGGGTTGCTTCTCAGCCAAGGGAGTGGGCTCACTCACAATTTTGCCTAAGAACACAGCCATGAATAAAGAATGGTACCAACACATCCTCAGAGAGCAACTTCTCCCAACCATCCAAGAACAGTTTGGTGATGAACAATGCCTTTTCCAGCATGATGGAGCACTTTGCCATAAGGCAAAAGTGATAACTAAGTGGCTCTGGGAACAAAACATCGACATTTTGGGTCCATGGCCAGGAAACTCCCCAGACCTTAATCCCATTGAGAACTTGTGGTCAATCCTCAAGAGGTGGGTGGACAAACAAAAACCCACAAATTCTAACAAACTCCAAGCATTGATTATGCAAGAATGGGCTGCCATCAGTCAGGATGTGGCCCAGAAGTTAATTGACAGCATGCCAGGGCGGATTGCAGAGGTCTTGAAAAAGATGGGTCAACACTGCAAATATTGACTCTTTGCATAAACTTAATGTAATTGTCAATAAAAGCCTTTGACACTTATGGAATGCTTGTAATTATACTTCAGTATACCATAGTAACATCTGACAGAAATATCTAAAAACACTGAAGCAGCAAACTTTGTGAAGACCAATACTTGTGTCATTCTCAAAACTTTTGACCACGACTGTATATATGTCTTAATAATGTTTTTGTAAGTCCACTCATGTGCTTGCAGTTTCCATGTGTGTCACATCTAATTGTTTATTGTTTGTGGTATTTGAAATGTAATGTTTTGTTCAGCTACGTTTCAGCAACTTTCTCTAGAGATTATGGCATGTGAATGATTGGAAGGAGCATCAGGCAAGAAGTGTTATTTTGGAGGGGTGTGTGTGCAATTAGATTGTCTGGAGGAGAACCAAAACACTTCCAACACTTTAAAAAACATGTACACCTCCATGTTTCTATCCTGTGCTATCCTAATGACATGTAAAAAAGGATCTGACTGGACTTAAGGACTGAGGTGTTGATTGATTGGGATGCCTTGATCTCTTTCCAGTTTGGCACCACAGCCCTGATGGTGGCGTCCTACAGCGGCAACTATGACTGTGCCAGGGAGCTGATCATGCAGGGAGCTGACATTAACCTGCAGAGAGAGGTACGGTAGATGACCACTTTACTACACCTTGCTGTCATTGTAAGACTTACCTCGGTTTTAGTGCTGCTCGTTGATAAACACTTTTCCATAGAGTACAGTACGGTGACTGAAACGGTCGTTGCATTATTGATGTTGCTTTGAGACAAATGTGGTCAAAGTAGAAAACAATAAGTAGTAAAGATGTTTGAAGCATTGAGAAAATGTGTACCGGTATGTCCATTTAAGGTCTTTCTGACATTTAATGTGTGTTTCTACCCTCAGACAGGCTCCACTGCCCTCTTCTTCGCTTCCCAGCAGGGACACAGTGAAGTAGTGAAGCTCCTCTTTGAATTTGGTGGCTCAACTGAATTCCAGACAAAGGTATGCTGTGTCACCTACTTGGAGACAGTGAGAGAGAGTCAGAGGACATCAGGGGGAGACAGACAGAATATGCTGACAGCAGTGATCCAGAGTGTTTGATGCCTGCTGTGTAAAGTCATATTCCATTGGCCAGTCACTCCAGGATATGTGGCTAATCTGTATTCTCATGGTTTGGCAGGACGGTGGCACAGCCCTCTCTGCAGCCTGTCAGTATGGCCACTCTAAGGTGGTGGACACTCTGCTAAAGAACGGAGCCAATGTTCATGACCAGCTGCATGTGAGCATCCCTAACACCTATCTCACACACACTGTCTGTTCTTTTCCACCCTCCTGCTGCCCTGCAGAACCCCACTGACAATGTCCACTGCTGTAGTCCACAAAACAACAAAATGACACTGGCAAACCCTCTCATGTTACCGCTGAGTCAGACATGAGATGCATTTTGTTTTATGCACTGTTAGGGCTGGGCGATATAGTCAAAATTTCACATCACAATATTTTCTAAATGTTTGATGGTATTTGAGGTTACATTTAGCTAGCTAGCTAGCTGGCTAGTAAGCCAGCTAATTAGCGATTAGCATTAGTGGCTAACACAATTTATTTTAGCCACAACTTGCAAAGAAAATACGAACTAGCTGTTTGCAGACAGTAAGATACACAAACTAACAGTGTAATTATAGAACACTTGTGGATTTATACTAAGAAGTGGAAAGCAGCATCATTGTCACCAACATCTTGTTGCATCTGCAACATTGACCATGCAGACTGTCACTGTAAGTGCAAGTGGTTGTGGCCAGTGTTGCCAACTTAGCAACTTTGTCGCTATATTTAGCGAGTTTTCAGACCCCTCTAGCAACACATTTTCAAAAAAGCGACTAGCGACAAATCCAGCTACTTTTTCTGGTGTTATTGGAGACTTTTGGAGACTCTGACGTGAAAGCACATATCATTCTTACTCTTCTCAACGAGCAGCGGGTGCTTTGTTACCCCCATCCCAAAGCACTCACTGGCGGCCCAGTTCTCGCGCAGCAGTCGCTCCCAGCTGCAGTCAGAGCAGAAGATGTCCAAACTGCAAATGAATTGCGCATGTGGGAAGCCGCTGCTGGCTGATCCCGCCCTTGTAAATGTATGGTGTTCTTTACTCACTTTTTGTCTCTCCCACGACGTTATTCATCTCTCCTACAGCGTCCATCCCAATGACATGCACATGGCCAATTATGCAAATTAGGTGATGATGTCATTTAGTGACTTATAGGACAGCCAATAGCTACTTTCCTTACTGAGGAGTTGGCAACACTGGTTGTGGCTCAAGGTTGAGTGACAGGGGGCAGGGCTTGGTGTGTGTACATTTGCTCTCCTTGAGTGACAGGGGGTGGGGCTTGGTGTGTGTGGAAGGAGAGAGGGAGAGAGAAGACTCAAGTAGCAAAACGGAGTACACTATAAAAACTGATATTACACACGGCATAGTGGCGTATCACATTTAACAAATACCGTTATACAAGGTAAAGTCAAAACCCAAACCGGTCCATGCATCAATACCGGTATATAGTAAACTACGGTACACCGGCCAGCCCTATGCACTGCATAGAAGTGTTAAGTTGCATCAATTCAAATCTGGTATTAGGAACAAAAGAGGTCAATACACGTCTTCTAAATAGACTAGTATTTTAATTAATGCAAAACCTTCAATGGTAAATATGACGTTCGTATATACGGGCTCCCTGAAATACCTCGCAGGGCAGACAGAGAACTAATCCATTGTTTCAGATTGTTCTTCAAATACTCTTGACAGTTCTCAGTTCCCGCTCTCTACTGGCCAATCAGAGTAGACGCTGAGCGTGGTTTAGACTTACTCAGCCAATCCGTTGGCGCACAGGCTAGTCCCAGGCCCTTGGCGCATCCCTGTTACCAGGCATACGTTTTTATCATAACAACCTGTCATGGTGAGAAGAGCCAGCTCCCCTAGACACCATTCCTACGTCCAAGGATGGTTCACAGACAACGGTTCACAGACAACAAAGAGGCAGTGTTCGTATCTGTAAGAAATACAAGTCTTATCTGTCCTTCCCCCTAACGTTCTTACATGAATCACAGCCTGTTATGTGAAACAATTTATATCAGTATAGTACAAACCTATGCTTATCATTAATGCATTCCTTCTAAGCTATTCATCCCATACAGATCCAATTATTAGAAAATAGAACCCCACAGAAGGAATTTGACTACTATGTTATATGTTTGTATGAAAATAATAGTAAGGCTTATATTCATTTCAACACAGTAGTGATTCTCTGCTCACTATTAGTTCTGATATTGCTGATTGACAATAGTGTGTTTTGTGCTTCATCAAAATATCAGCCACTGTGTCTCTCCTTTCTATAAGGCAGATAGCCCATCTATGACCAAGTGTTATTAGTCGTATGTATGGGATACGCATGGTATACATCGTCCAATGAAATGCTTACTTCCAGGTTCCTTCTAGACAATACAACAACAATAAGAAATAATAAAATATAAGAATACGAACATAAAGTAAATGGCAGTAGAATTTATAATAAACATTTGAGCATAAGTATAATACAGGAAGACACAATTTATAGTCATACATTGTCATACATAGGATCTGTTGTTACTATTCATAGGACAAGCCATACAGTGCATCGCTTTGTCATGCAGTTGTTTTGCTGATGTGACATGTTTCTAATATCATGTTTCAGGATGGTGCCACTCCACTCTTCCTTGCTTCCCAGGAGGGTCATGTGACTGTCATACGTCAACTTCTGTCATCTGGAGCCAAAGTTAACCACCCTAGAGAAGTGAGGCCACACTCCCATACAATAATAGAGGACCTCAATAGAGGGACTCACAACTTCATCTCTCCCTCTTCCTCCTTTTATTTGATCTCCATTTCACTTTTCTCCCCTTCTCTTTCTCCTCACCCCCCTCACTCCCCAACCCCACTCTCCAGGATGGCACAGCCCCCCTGTGGATGGCAGCCCAGATGGGACACATTGAAGTAGTTAAGGTTTTACTTCTGCGTGGTGCAGATCGGGATGTTGACAGAAAAGTATGTTGTCCTTTAGCAACCCTGTCGGTACCCAGTGGGTTGACAAAGACAAGATGATTGTCCTCCATCATGTGGTCATCTTTCAAATCCTCTTTCGGGGCTTACGCATATGGAAAATACATTTAAAAAATACATTAATATATTGAATCAAATCATTTATTTAAATGCATTTCTTTGTGTAAGGCTTATTATATATTGAATGGAGTTTTAAAATGTAAATGTATCATGTTTCTTTTGATCTCATTGAAGGATGGGTCAACTGCATTATTCAAGGCAGCTTTCAAAGGACACAACAGTGTCATTGAGGAGCTCCTCAAGTTCTCCCCTTCAATGGGCCTTCTCAAGGTAAGATAGATAGACAGTGATGCTTTCTCTTTGTCGTCTCCTGACTCTGGCCATGAGTATTTTTATTCAAAAGTATATTGTGAAACATTTGCAGTATTTTAGTGATAAGAAACCGCTGTTAGTTACAAGTGTCTTAACTGTTACATTTTTCCAGAATGGTTCCACAGCCCTCCACGCTGCTGTCATGGGTGGCAATCATAAAAGTGTAAACCTTCTGCTCGGGGAAAATGCAGACCCCACACTACCCAACAAGGTAAATCACTGTAGTGTGAACTAGGGGTAAGAAGGAAAGCAGAGGAGAAGGATGCATTTCAGGACATCTTTCAGGAGGATCATTTTGTCATGACTGGTTATGTTTTCTTTGCAGAACAATGAACTGCCAGCAGATCTTACAAAGAGCGATCGCATCCTGAGGGCTCTGCGACCGCAAATCTTAAATGGAAGTAGTTGATGACAACCCTAGTTGTCCATGGTTAGACCATGACTGCAAACCTTAGACTATGGTTGTTTTATGGAGAGAAATGCACTGAGGGCTCCGAACAACAGAAAACAAACCAACAGGATTCAGTCACACTCAACAACAATATTAATATGGTGCTTGCTTTCAATTGCAGCTTCAGACAATGTTATTTGGAGTAACCATAACTGGACATAGCTAAGAGAATGGTTCAATATGTAGCCTACTACAAAAATGCATCCGTTTGTGGCAATAGTTATTTTGCCATGTGCATCCTTACCTTTAAGGTGTTGTTATAACTTTGCTGTATAGTTTCTGTTTCTATAATGTTTTATCCCTGGTGCTGTAATATTTCTAAATATTTTGCTTTTTTTTTCTGCCATTTTAATAAATGTAAACTGTAAATTTGTTAAATAAAATATGTGAAATAACTCATATTTTGTCCTGTTTCTCAGGCAATAACATGTGCTATATAACAAAACGTCACTAGAGGTCACTGTACTCACCAAGAAACGGAATCCTTGCAAATCTGTCTGATCTTCTTGGTAACCTTATTTCGAGCATATGCAATGGACATACATGTTATGGTTTGTTAATTAGAGTACAGATAAGAATAGGCTGTGAAATTGACCGCATGAAATTGACAGTAAAGGGTCAGACAAAGCTTTACTTGTCTCTTTTTGTGTTGCTGTCTCGTGTACATCCATAGGCGGAAGTGACACTCGACATCTTGATGCGGAAGAGATTCCGAACAATTGAAGAACTCACCAAAATGACAACAGAATACTAACCAGAGCTAATAACGTCGTATTATAGCTATTACACGTTGATCTATTGAGACTAGAGCGAAGTTTTACGGTGTGTTATTTTGACCATCGTACGTATCCAGCAACCATGGCTAATAATTTACAGGTGAGTGAGTGTCCAGCCAGGGACAACAACAAACGAAATTAGCTAGCTAACGTCAGCTAGCTAGCTAGGCTTGCTAGCTAACACTGTATTGAAGTCTACTGTGGTTTCGGATAGCTTGATTACTTACATTTGTCTAGCAAATATGACTCTTAACCCGGCCAAATAATTTAATGAATTCGCATCAACTAAGTGTGTGTGTGTGTGAGAGAGAGAGAGAGAGAGAGAGAGATTTTGTTTTATTATTTACTAATGGCATTTTAATATACCTTTCTAAAATAAGGTACACCAAATGACAATGTTGATAACTGTCAGAACAAGATCATGATGTCATGCTAATGCCCTTCCTTCTTTTGTTATGGCTCTTCTATAACATCGCCCATGCACTGTGTTACAGAAAGCAATAGATCTTGCAAGCAAGGCTGCAGAGGAGGACAAAGCAAAAAACTATGAGGAAGCTCTCCGGTTGTACCAGCATTCTATTCAGTACTTCCTTCATGTTGTGAAGTGTGAGTTGTCATATATCTCAGTTCCACTTGCTGTTTACTACTGTTTCCAAGTCATCATTTGAAAAATATACTGCAAACACAGAACATCCGCATACATTGTTTTTTTATTCACTTTCATTTGCTAATATACACTCACAAGGTGTCGAAACGTTCCACAATTATGTTGGTCCATGCTGACGCGACGGCATCACGCAGTTGTTGCAGATTGGACTTCGCGTCAGCATAGACCAACATCCCTGTGGAACGTTTCCGACACCTTGTAGAATGCCCTGGAGAATTCAGGCTGTTCTGGAGGCAAAGGGGGATCCGACCCGGTACTAGATGGGTACATTCATGCTGCGAACAGCCCAAAATATGCTCTATTGGGTTGAGGTCTGGGGACTGCGCTGGCCACTCAAGTAAACTGAACGCGCTGTCATTTTCCAGGCGATGTTTTTCCACTCCTCAATTGTCCAGTGTTGGTGATCAGGTGCACACTGGAGCCGCTTCTTCTTGTTTTTAGCTGATAGGAGTGGAACCCGGTGTGGTTGCTGTGCTGCAATAGCCCATCCGTGACAAGGATCAACGAGTTGTGAATTCCGAGATGCTGTTCTGCACACCACTGTTGTACTGCGCCGTTATTTGTCTGTTTGTGGCCCTCATGTTAGCTTGCACAATTCTTGCCATTCTCCTTCGACCTCTCTCATCAACAAGCTGTTTTCACCCACAGGACTGCCGCTGACTGGATGTTTTTTGTTTGTCGCACCAATCTCGGTAAACCCAAGGCACTGTCGTGCATGAAAAGCCCAGGAGGGCGGTCGTTTCTGAAATACTGGATCCGGCGCGCCTAACACCGATGATCATACCACGCTCAAAGTTGCTTAGGTCACTAGTTTTGCCCATTCTAACGTTCAATCGAACAGTAACCGAATGCCTCAATGCCTGCCTGCCTGCTTTATATAGAAAGCCACGGCCACTTGAATCGCTGTCTGTAGGAGCTATCCATTTTCGTGAACGGAGTGGTGTACCTAATAAACTGTCCGGTGAGTGTATGTGTGACTGAAATGAACTGTGCACCTTTGACCTTAAAGTTTGGAATGGACTTGGAATGTCCACAGTAGGAGCTCTGGATAAACATAAATCATTTCTTCAAGAAACTGCTTTAAAAGTTTGGTTTCACTTTCACGTTGAATGACTGAAGTGTGAGGTGACTTAGGGCATAATGTGACAACCTGTGGTCCATTTCCTTTTCCTATAGATGAGGCCCAGGGAGACAAGGCCAAGCAGAGCATCAGGGCAAAGTGTGCAGAGTACCTGGACCGAGCAGAGAAGCTGAAGGAATACCTTAAGAAGAAGGAGAAGGCTCCTCCAGCCAAGCCTGTCAAAGAGTCTGGGTCTGATGACAAAGGGTGAGTCAGCTGCATAGGGCTGTGGCGGTCATGAAACTTTGTCAGCTGGTTATCGTCATGCAAAAGACTGTCGGTCTCACGGTAATTGACCGCTAATTAACATAAACACCATTAGCATCTCCAGGCCCACTGATGAGCGCCTTTGGAACGTCTACTTTAAAAAAGGTCTAATAAATCAATGTAATATGCATCATCACAGTAAATCCATTATTTATTTTAGTCAGGTCTAAAGAAACATGATGATATGAAGAAAATGTATTTCAGAAGAACAGAATATGAGTTAGCCTACTGTAGGCCTATGTTATCTGGCTATGCTCCATGCCATAGGCTGTAGGCTTGTTCATTTAGCTGACATGAAATGCTTATAAGTCCCGTGCCATTATTTTATGAATATAATTTAACTTAGCTGAGTAAAATAGAAAGGATATTTTTATCATTGCGGAGCGAGTGTGCATATGAAGTGGCTATGTTCAGTGTAAAAGTGATAATTTGAAACAGGTCCTATATGCTAGATTTAGAGTTATTTGACAACTTTAGTTGTGAGTGATACAAACCTTAGAATGTGTTAGAAATCAAAACATACAGTGCATTCGGAAAGTATTCAGACCCCTTGACTTTTTCCACATTTTGTTACATTACAGCCTTATTCTAAAATGGATTACATTGTTTGTTTTCTTCATCAATCTACACACAATACCCCATAATGACAAAGCAAAAATGTATTTTTAAAAAACCTCGGAAATATCAAATTTACATAAGTATTCAGACCCTTTACTCAGTACTTTGTTGAAGCACCTTTGGCAGCGATTACAGCCTCGAGTCTTCTTGGGTATGACACTACAAGCTTGGCACACCTGTATTTGGGGAGTTTCTCCCATTCTTCTCTGTAGATCCTCTCAAGCTCTGTCAGGTTGGATAGGGAGCGACGCTGCAAAGCTATTTTCAGGTCTCTCTAGAGATGTTCGATCGGGTTCAAGTCCGGGCTCTGGCTGGGCCACTCAAAGACATTCAGAGACTTGTCCCGAAGCCACTCCTGTGTTGTCTTGGCTGTGTGCTTAGGTTCGTTGTCCTGTTGGAAGGTGAACCTTCACCCCAGTCTGAGGTCCTGAGCGCTCTGGAGCATGTTTTCATCAAGGATCTCTCTGTACTTTGCTTCGTTCATCTTTCACTCAATCCTGACTAGTCTCCCAGTCCCTGCCGCTGAAAAACATCCCCACAGCATGATGCTGCCACCACCATGCTTCACCGTAGGGATGGTGCCAGGTTTCCTCCAGACGTGACGCTTGGCATTCAGGCCAAAGAGTTCAATATTGGTTTCATCAGACCATAGAATCTTGTTTCCCATGGTCTGAGAGTCCTATAGGTGTCTTTTGGCAATCTCCAAGCGGGTTGTCATGTGCCTTTTACTGAGGAGTGGCTTCCGTCTGGCCACTCTACCATAAAGGCCTGATTGGTGGAGCACTGCAGAGATGGTTGTCATTCTGGAAGGTTCTCCCATCTCCACAGAGGAACTCTGGAGCTCTGTCAGTGACCATCGGGTTCTTGGTCACCTCCCTGACAAAGGCCCTTCTCCCCCGATTGCTCATTTTGGCCGGGTGGCCAGATCTAGGAAGAGTCTTGGTGGTTCCAAATGTCTTCCATTTAAGAAAGATGGAGGCCACTGTGTTCTTGGGGACCTTCAATGCTGCAGAAATGTTTTGGTACCCTTCCCCAGATCTGTGCCTCAACACAATCCTGTCTCGGAGCTCTACAGACAATTCCTTCGACCTCATGGCTTGGTTTTTGCTCTGACATGCACTGTCAACTGTGGGACCTTATATAGACAGGTGTGTGCCTTTCCAAATCATGTCAAATCAATTGAATTGAACACAGGTGGAATCCAATCAAGTTGTAGAAACATCTCAAGGATGATCAATGGAAACAGGATGCACCTGAGCTCAATGTCTTGTCTCATATCAAAGGGTCTGAATACCTATGTAAATACGTTTTTTCTGTTTTTTATTTGTAATACATTTGCAAATATTTCTAAAAACCTGTTTTCGCTTTGTCATTATGGGGTATTGTGTGTAGATTGATGAGGAAAACATTTAATTAAATCCATTTTAGAAGAAGGCTGTAACGTAACAATGTGGAAAAAGTCAAGGGGTCTGAATACTTTCCGAATGCACTGTATATGGGCTGCATGGTGCGACCATCTATTTATGATATGAGAAAGTAAAAAAAAAGGCTTGTGCTCTGTTCCTTGCCTCAGGCTGCACAGCTGTTCTCTCATGAAATGATCATATTTTGACCCATCAGACTATTCTCAATGTAATCTTGTCTTTACTAATATGTCAAATTAGTTTTGATTTAGAATGGGCAGGAACAATGGCAGGTGAAAAAAGACGTCACTTGGTAGTGAGTGTTGCAACCGAGGACAGACAAGTTTTACGCGTTACGCGCTTCTTATTTTATTTGCCACATGCGCCGAATACAACAGGTGTAGTAGACCTTACCGTGAAAATGCTTACTTACAGCCCTTAACCAACAATGCATTTATTTCTTAATAAAAAGTAAAATAAAACAACAACAACAAAAAAGTGTTGAGAATAAAAGAGCAGAAGTAAAATAAAATAACAGTAGGGAGGCTATATACAGGGGGGTACCGGTGCAGAGTCAATGTGCGGGGGCACCGGCTAGTTGAGGTAATATGCACATATGGGTAGAGTTAAAGTGACTATGCATAATACCGAGTATCACTCGGCGGTCCTGTTCTGTGAGCTTGTGTGGCCTACCACTTCACGGCTGAGGCGTTGTTGCTCCTAGACGTTTCCACTTCACAATAACAGCACTTACAGTTGACTGGGGCAGCTCTAGCAGGGCAGGAATTTGACGAACTGACTTGTTGGAAAGATGGCATCCTATGACGGTGCCACTTTGAAAGTCACTGAGCTCTTCAGTAAGGCCATTCTACTGCCAATGTTTGTCTTTGGAGATTGCATGGCTGTGTGCTCGATTTTATACACCTGTCAGCAACGGCTATGGCTGAAATAGCCGAATCCACTAATTTGAAGGGGTGTCCACATACTTTTGTGTATATATAGTGTAGTTAGCGAGTTGGGTACTACCAAAGCATGACCAGAATCATAAAAGGAGATTACAGTAACTCAACGGTCACGTGGAATTTTACTGTGGTCATGACTCATGACTGCCAGTGTGGCGGTAATACGGCCCTAAAGGAGCCCTAAAGGAGCGTAATGAATCCTGAGATGTGTTATAATCCTCACCAATCCTTCATTCGGTTCTGATTCTTGAGTCTTTTGGACTGTGTTTATACTTTTTGTGTGGCCTAAGGTGGGCCTCCTTATCAGTACAGTGAGGTCAAAACGACTTTGCTTTTTCTCTTGCAGGAATGAGAGTGATGAAGGTGAAGGTGACCAAGAGAAAAAGAAGTTCCAAAATCAACTCTCTGGTGAGTTATAGCATCAAATACCCTTTTCAGCATTTTTGGTGTGGCTCATACAAAGCTTTGATGCAGCCTTGTGACACTGAATCTGCATTTGATTTGTATGAAAAAAATTGATATAAGCCGTACTACATTTCACCCACTTCTATCTATCTACTATCTATCTTACAGGTGCCATCGTCATGGAAAAGCCAAACATCAAGTGGAATGACGTAGCTGGGCTTGAGGGTGCAAAAGAGGCCCTTAAAGAAGCTGTCATCTTGCCCATCAAATTCCCTCACCTCTTCACAGGTAAGGATTATAGAATTCAAGCAACACATAACATTCTAGATAATAGCGCATGTATTGTGACTTACAGCAATGCATCTGAAGAGTAAATAGTTTTAGTCTTGAATAGTATTAACTATATAAGTCACAGGATAAGCCATGTAATTAAAGAATACATAAGTATGTTTGTCTTTGGTGTCCAGGAAAGCGGACTCCATGGAGAGGGATCTTGCTCTTTGGTCCTCCTGGTACAGGAAAGTCTTACCTGGCCAAGGCTGTGGCCACAGAAGCCAACAACTCCACCTTCTTCTCTATCTCCTCCTCTGACCTGGTGTCCAAGTGGCTGGGGGAAAGTGAAAAGTGAGTGATGGTGCAAAGAGGGTGGGCTATGCAATCAAATCAAAATAATATTTGAAAGGATATTGCTCATACGTACCCTTCTCTATCCTCCTCTGTATTCTTCCCCCACATCATCCATTGGTCTCATATTCACTCTCCACCACTCTTTCTGTCTTCAGGTTGGTGAAGAATCTGTTCAGCCTGGCCAGGGAGAACAAGCCCTCCATCATCTTCATCGATGAGATAGACTCTCTGTGTGGCTCCAGGAGTGAGAACGAGAGTGAAGCAGCCCGCCGCATCAAGACTGAGTTCCTGGTCCAGATGCAGGGTGAGCGAGCGAGCATGCCACTGGGCTGACAGACTGTACAGTTTACGCAAAGCCTGGCCTCAGATCCTGTTTACCTCGTACCTTGAGTATTGACACAACTGCTTTGTCCACTGTGTCGTTTAGCACTGAACCTTTTTGTTTGTACGGTATCACCAAACAAACTAAACTACAATTTTTGGGCCTAGATTTTGGCTTTCCAGTTGACTGGATCAGCTGTCTATTTAAAGTGTTTTTTCTCTCTTCTCCCAGGTGTTGGAAATGACAATGATGGAGTCCTGGTTCTAGGAGCCACAAACATCCCCTGGACATTGGACTCTGCTATTAGGAGAAGGTCAGTGTATATTTATATTCTGATGGTCTCAAGTCCTTTATCTTATTGTAAAGATGTATTATTCACCATTTTTTGACCCATTGACTCTTATTAGACAAATTGTTAAAGATTAGAAATAAAGAATGAGATTCCCTCCTGTCCCTTGCTGCATCACCATATGTCATTCCCATGTTTCTGTGCCTCAGGTTTGAGAAGCGGATCTACATCCCTCTGCCTGAGGAGCATGCCCGCTCCTTCATGTTCAAGCTGCATCTAGGCTCCACCCCCAGTGAGCTAATTGAATCAGACTATGTGATCCTGGGTAAGAAGACAAATGGCTACTCTGGAGCTGACATCAGCGTCATCGTAAGGGACGCCCTCATGCAGCCAGTCAGGAAAGTGCAGTCGGCCACTCACTTCAAGCGGGTACGTGACATTCAACAGAGACAGGGCTCACCTAGGTGCAGCGAATCTTAATTGATTTCCTTTTCATCATCTGATAGTTGTGAAGGAAGCATTGAGTCCTCTGAATGCTCTGTCAATGAAACATCAGTAATCACATCAATTTCTGTCCATGTCTTCTCCTGCAAACACCCAGGTCCAAGGATCGTCATGGAACCATCCCAACCTCGTGGTAGACGACCTCCTGACCCCATGCTCACCAGGAGATCCAGACGCCATAGAGATGACCTGGATGGATGTTAATGGAGAGAAACTCATGGAGCCTATTGTTTGCATGGTGAGAAGAATCCCAAAAACATTTTGGTTTTGAACATGAGGAAACAAGTATGTGATGCTAACTGATAGGGCCGGGACGATACCTGTATCGTGAAGTGGATTTCACTTTTGGGGGGGAAACAGCCCTAATGTTGGGAACAAACATCATTATGTTGTCATCCAGAGTCACATTTAGTTATTTTCCAAGCTATATCACACTATATTTTACATACAGCAGGTTTTTAAAGTCCAAACAAAGATTGCTTGGTCTGCTTCGCGTTTGCATTTCTGCCATGGAAAAGTGTGAGATACTGGTATCATCCCGGCCTACTAATTGACCCTTGTGATGTGCTGTTTACAGGCTGATATGCTGAGGTCACTGCACAACACCAAGCCAACCGTGAACGAGCAGGACTTGGACAAGCTCAAGAAGTTCACAGAGGACTTTGGTCAGGAAGGCTAACACTGCAAATAATGCAAACACAACTTTCCTTTCTCTTATCCTTTTCCTCCACTGGTTCCACTCAGGCCTGAATTTACTACTTTCTCTCCAAGTTGCAAAGAGGCTTCATGTATGTTTATTTGTTTGCTTACTCTGTTAGTTGTCAATACATACCCATAGTATATTACTTTTTCTTCTTTTTTTTTACAAAGACATAAGGTTGATTAATGTTTAAGATGGTCTCAAAGAATATGGATTCAAGCAATGTATTTATAATTTATGCTTTAAAACACTAAAGTGTCTGTTTTGGCCTTGATTGCATCAAACAAACAATGCATGTCATGGTGCATTACAGCAACTCCTCCAAAAGGCCTTTACTCCTTGAAGTGAATCTATGGTTTGACAAGATAGATGAGGATTGCAGGTTTTGTTGTACTGGATGGTGTTAGGACCTAGTTAGTTTAACCCAAGTTTTTATTTATTTATTCATGTTCTATCCAAGAAGGGCTAAGTCTGTAATGTTTACTCTGTGTTGGTGGAGTAGCACTCATTGAAGCGGACCATATCATGATTAACTATCAGCAACTTTAATTTGATTACAACTTCCTTTCATCTGTTTTTTGTACAATATTCATATTGTTTGGCTGTAGGCTGTTTTTGAAAGAAGACGTTAGTCTGAGTGCCTTGCTGGTCAAAAGCAAGTAAAAGTACTTTGGGGTGGGTGGGGGTATGTTATAATGAAATAAAACCCAATGATTGATCTGGAAGATAAATCAGTAATTGAGTAAGCAATAATGTTTGGTCATTTTTTACCTGTACCCCTTCAATTGTACTTCCCACATCTTTGCTCACTTCAAATGTTTTGTATAAGTTGTGCCTTGAAGGAGAATCAATGTATATCCTCTCACTTACCACTAAAGCCAATGAAACTTCAGACACCCTATGAAAGAGACACATATTCAGACAGTTACTTACTTGGTTGTGATTGTATACAGCTGTATTTCTATAACTTTTCTTTTGGAAAAAAAAAAATATATATACAAATCTCAATGTACAGTATAGTCTTTCATTCTCTCATTTGAGCTGTTCACAAATATTGTCTGGTCACTGAGGTGAATATAGCGTTGAACAATGCTGAGAAGGGAGGTGTTTGTCTTTTAAAAGAAGAACGGTCATTATGTTTTCTTTTGAAAATACTGTTAACATCTATGGCTGTGGGGTTTCCTAGAAATATGTGTTCAGGTTTATTTTCTGGGATTTTCCAGATGTATCCAGTTTGTTGTTCTAATCTTGAGCATATATGTAAATAAAAATATGACTTAATGAAATGACTGTTTGGTTTTACTTTACTCATCTTTGGATGGATGTATATTTCAATATATACATATATCCAACTGCAATTCTAATCTAACATATAGAGGGGGTCCAATCTGGCCCGTGGGTGGTTTGAGAAAAAATATGTAAAAAGGGGGAAACTAACTCAATCTACTTTAAATGACTGAAGTTGAAACTGTAGAAATTATAATGGACCTACATTCATACAGTTTCTTGACTGTGTCCAGCTCGCTAATAATCACCTAAATGAAAGCTAGACAGTCAGGGAGCATCGCAAATTCCAAGTTATTGAAAGAGGACTATTTTTTGCAAATTTTGATGGCAAGGAAATACAACCACTTTTCAATGCGGCCCTCTGTACCTCATTGAAGACCGAATGTGGCCCCCGGGGCAAAATGAATTTGACACCCCTGATATAGCGTGTCATTCACAAGACACTGGGATGTGACCACAATGCATAATAGAGTAATATTCTGATATTAACAGTGGTGTGAAATACCAGGGAATGGTGTTGAGACAAGCGGTTTGTCCATAGACCCAACACATAAGGCACTGTCATGCCAAAATGTGTAAATAATCTATGGAATGTGTGTATGAAGTAGTCTACATTTCATACTAACTAGGCACTATTACTAATTTGCTCTGGACTGTGTTAAGAGCATATCATGGTTAAAAGTTATGTTTTTCAAACACCATGTGACAACAAGTGGCTCACCTCGAGCCAAGGTGGAACTCAGAAGTTGCTAGGTTTTACAAATAGTTTCCAAAGTGAATTCATGTGGATTTAAATAAATTGTTAAAATGTCATACATTGCTAAAGAGCAATAAACTAATTTATTCTGCATAACAAAATGTTTTCCATTTGAAATGTAAGGTATAATGATATTGTGATTACATGAAAGCAGTTTGCCCCATAAAGCTCTTTACTTAATTTGATATCAAATAAATATAATCTGATATCAATTACTGTATACAATGTTCATGTCAAAAGAGGAAACATTATCTAGTATTCCAAATGTCTATACAAAGTGGTGTAACGGAGTTAAGACTTTGAAATGGAATATAAAAGGTTAAAAAGGTGAGAAACCAGTCTCTCTGATGTTTTCAGTGACAAATAACAATGAGGCCACTCAATTTAACATATCCACTTAACCAAAGAGCACATAATGTAATGAGTCAATAAATATCCATAAATATCAGTAACATATTTAAAAATAATTTTAGGAGTGAAGTCAAAACAATTGAAATGTCAAGGAGTACCATTCAGTTCTCTGTCGTAGCAGCTTTTAAACTTAAGATGAACCTGATGTTTGTGCATACCCTAATTTACGCATGCATCTCCTGAAAATAAAATACATGGTTCAACAGCTGACAATGGAGTTATAGGAAAACCAAGCAATAATGACTGTAGTAAAGAAAACAAACCCCATATTCACTTCCAAATATATCCAATATCCTACCATGTTCAAGGAATGACAATAACCAAGTAACAACAGATGAAGGCAAGTAAAAACACAAAGGCAAAGTAGATGAAAAATGAGTGAAATCCCTCAAAAGCACATTGGATTTAAGACAGAGGTGTAAGTTGAAGAATCAGGATGCACAATGCTTAGAAAGGGAACAAAACATGATTATTTTTTACAAGCTCAGGCATGTTCCACTAATCAAACTCTATTCCCACTCTTACTGACCACTCTACTATATGGGGCATCAGTTAGAAGACTTTACATTTGCTAGACCTGAAAAGGATCAAATAAGTCTAAATATATCAAAACCTTCTCTCTTCAAATGTGCGTTAGAATTTCACATTATAATTTGTGTTTCTTCAAACAAAAAGGAGAGGTAAGCTGCATAATAGCTACCGTGCCTAATAGAAAGTGCTAGAGCGTTAATATACATCAAAAGCTTTGATAAGGACACAAAAGGAGTAATTTACAGGCACATCACAATCACGCCTCATAGGTGAACATAGCCCAACCATCACATACAGTGAGGGAAAAAAGTATTTGATCCAGTTCTGATTTTGTACGTTTGCCCACTGACAAAGAAATGATCAGTCTATAATTTTAATGGTAGGTTTATTTGAACAGTGAGAGACAGAATAACAACCAAAAAATCCAGAAAAACGCATGTCAAAAATGTTATAAATTGATTTGCATTTTAATGAGGGAAATAAGTAGTTGACCCCCTCTCAATCAGAAAGATTTCAGGATCCCAGGTGTCTTTTATACAGGTAACGAGCTGAGATTAGGAGCACACTCTTAAAGGGAGTGCTCCTAATCTCAGTTTGTTACCTCTATAAAAGACACCTGTCCACAGAAGCAATCAATCAATCAGATTCCAAACTCTCCACCATGGCCAAGACCAAAGAGCTCTCCGAGGATGTCAGGGACAAGATTGTAGACCTACACAAGGCTGGAATGGGCTACAAAACCATCGCCAAGCAGCTTGGTGAGAAGGTGACAACAGTTGGTGCGATTATTCGCAAATGGAAGAAACACAAAAGAACTGTCTCCCTCAGCCTGGGGCTCCATGCAAGATCTCACCTCGTGGAGTTGCAATGATCATGAGAACGGTGAGGAATCAGCCCTGAACTACACAGGAGGATCTTGTCAATGATCTCAAGGCAGCTGGGACCATAGTCACCAAGAAAACAATTGGTAACACACTACGCCGTGAAGGACTGAAATCCTGCAGCGCCCGCAAGGTCCCCCTGCTCAAGAAAGCACATATACATGCCCGTCTGAAGTTTGCCAATGAACATCTGAATGATTCAGAGGAGAACTGGGTGAAAGTGTTGTGGTCAGATGAGACCAAAATGGAGCTCTTTGGCATCAACTCAACTCGCCGTGTTTGGAGGAGGGGGAATGCTGCCTATGACCCCAAGAACACCATCCCCACCATCAAACATGGAGGTGGAAACATTATGCTTTGGGGGTGTTTTTTTCTGCTAAGGGGACAGGACAACTTCACCGCATCAAAGGGATGATGGACGGGGCCATGTACCATCAAATCTTGGGTGAGAACCTCCTTCCCTCAGCCAGGGCATTGAAAATGGGTTGTGGATGGGTATTCCAGCATGACAATTACCCAAAACACACGGCCAACACACAGTGGCTCAAGAAGAAGCACATTAAGGTCCTGGAGTGGCCTAGCCAGTCTCCAGACCTTAATCCCATAGAAAATCTGTGGAGGGAGCTGAAGGTTTGAGTTGCCAAACGTCAGCCTCGAAACCTTAATGACTTGGAGAAGATCTGCAAAGAGGAGTGGGACAAAATCCCTCCTGAGATGTGTGCAAACCTGGTGGCCAACTACAAGAAACGTCTGACCTCTGTGATTGCCAACAACGGTTTTGCCACCAAGTACTAAGTCATGTTTTGCAGAGGGGTCAAATACTTATTTCCCTCATTAAAATGCAAATCAATTTATAACATTTTTGACATGCGTTTTTCTGGATTTTTTTGTTGTTATTCTGTCTCTCACTGTTCAAAAAACCTACCATTAAAATTATAGACTGATCATTTCTTTGTCAGTGGGCAAATGTACAAAATCAGCAGGGGATCAAATACTTTTTTCCCCTCACTGTACATTTAAAATGTGGGAATGGTGCATGTCAGTTACATTGTAAACTGTTCCTATGAAGACATTAGAAGACAGAGAAGAGAGAACCAAGAGCCAATCCAGTCATAGCTCCAGCGAGCATGCCGAGAGCCACGCCTTCTCCATCATCACGTTGACGCTCGTGAACAATAACCTGGTTCTTCCCTTGGGGATCCCTCATAGGATATGCTCCTACAAACCATGGTGGGAAACATGAACTACAGTTAGAATGGTGAAAACTGCTAATGATTACATCCATTAAAATAATGTATTTTTTTTTAATTCAATGTAATTATCAAATGTAACCTTTGGTATTCCTTCAGGAGCATGCAGACTTAAAAGTGGGCATTCACCCTGTGCGTACCTTGGTACTGATAGGGGTATGCAACCGCATAAGGCTGCCCATCAGCTGAATAAATGATCTGTGTGCCATGGGAAGGAGGAGCTGGGGCATAGCCTCCATAAGCATCCGGGACATAAACCTGTTGGAAAGGCAGAAATGGCTTGTGTCACTATGGGAGACCACCACCACTACTACTGCCCTGGTATCTAGAAAGCTGATGCAAGCCGTATTGTAACATGTATCCTAAAACACAATATATAACATAAACACCATGTTATATAGATGTATTATAAACTAAGAATTTATATTGGTTTCACTAAATCAAAGTAAGTACACTGAACAAAAATATGAAACGCATCATGTAAAGTGTTTCATGAGCAGAAATAAAATAACCCAGAAATTTCCCATTTGCACAAAATTATTATTTTGCTCTATTTTTGTGCAGAAATGTGTTTACATCCTTGTTAGTGAGCATTTCTCATTTGCCAAGATAATCCATCCACCTGACAGTTGTGGCATATCAAGAAGCTGATTAAACAGCATGATCATTACACAGGTGCACCTTGTGCTGGGGACAATAAAAGGCCACTCTAAAATGTGCAGTTTTGTCACACAACGCCACAGATGTTAACGAAGCATGCAATTGGCCTGCTGACTGCAGGAATGTCCACCAGAACATTGAATGTTAATTTCTCTAGCATAAGCCGCCTCTGTCATTTTAGAGAATTTGGCAGTACGTCCAACTGCCTACAACGTGTAACCACGCCAACCCAGGACCTCCACATCCAGCTTCTTCACCTGCGGGATCGTCTGCGACCAAACTGTGGGTTTGCACAACTGAAGAATTTCTGCACAAACTATCAGAAACTGTCTCAGGAAAGCTCATCTGCGTGCTCGTTGTCCTCACCAGGGTCTTGACCTGACTGCAGTTTGGCGTAGTAACCGACTTCAGTGGGCAAATGCTCACCGTCGATTGGCCACTGGCACGCTGGAGAAGTGTGCTCTTCACGGATGAATCCCGGTTTCCATTGTACCGGGAAGATGGCAGACTATGGCGTCGTGTGGGCGAGCGGTTTGCTGATGTAAACGTTGTGAACAGAGTGCCCCATGGTGTCGGTGTGGTTATAGTATGGGCAGGCATAAGCTACGAGCAATGAACACAATTTAATTTTATCAATGGCAATTTGAATGCACAGAGATACCGTGATGAGATCCTGAGGCCCATTGTCGTGCCTTTCATCCGCCGCCATCACCTCATGTTTCAGCATAATGCATGGCCCCATGTCGCAAGGATCTGTATACAATTCCTGGAAGCTGAAAATGGCCCAGTTCTTCCATGGCCTTTATACACTCACCAGACATGTCATCCATTGAGCATGTTTGGGATGTTCTGGATCGACGTGTACGACAGCGTGTTGTAGTTCCTGCCAATATCCTGCAACTTCGCACAGCCATTGAAGAGGAGTGGGACAACATTCCACAGGCCAATCAACTTTATGCTAAGGAGATGTGTTGCATGCATGAGGCAAATGGTGATCACACCAGATACTGACTGGTTTTCTGATCCACGCCCTCTGATCCACGGCCCTACCTTCTTTTTTTTAATGGTATCTGTGACCAACAGATGCATATCTGTATTTCCAGTCATGTGAAATCCATAGATTTCCTTAAATTAACTTTAACTCGAAATTGTTGCATGTTGCGTTTATATTTTTGTTCAGTGTAAATGTCAAGACAGAATTCCAAGTGAAAGCGCAAAAGACACTGACACACTGACTGCTCAAAATATATTCACAAATGTAAAGGCTATGCAGCAGGCTCACATGTACTTACCGGGGGTGGAGGACCATATTCAGAATACGGAGAAGGGGCAGAAGCAACAATCTGCTGCGCAAAGCCAATGTGAGGCAGAGCAACCACCTAAAATATAGATCAAGGTTATCTCCATGGAATGTTTTGAATGTGAATAAAAAAAATTAAACGAATCAATTAAGACCTGAGCTACAATACTGTCCATAAGAAGACTAGGATATGAAGGCAGAGGGTCTTGGCAGACCAGTAGAAACTCACAGAGCTGATTCTGGCATCCTGGAGAGCCATGGTCCATGCCCTGAAACAACAATGAGAAAACAAAATTGACATTACTTATCAGCAGGCTATCCCATATAGACACAACTAATCACAGTCATATTGATTACAATGCTAGAGCTGTCTTACAAAGAATAATCTGCACTGTCTCCACAAATGCTGATGACCCGTCCGTCTATGCAGACTATCTGGACCAGGGCATTTCGACTCCTGCCCTCTGGTGGGTTCAGATCTATGGACAGTGAAAAGTTGGCTGGAACAGGTGATTGATGGGTTGGTGCGGATAAACTATCCTATGGCAAGTTGAGAAGATAGGATAGAAAAGTATAACAGATGTAGTCAAGTACCTTGACATGCAGTTGCACTACGAATGTTAATGCAATCCATTCTCATGTGAATCTCATCCTCCATATCTCGCCGGTGCTCGTCATCATAGAAAACCAGCCACCCATCAGACCACAGGTCAAACCAGTTTCTCTTCCACCGCCGCAGAATAGTGCCTGTATCAATTTTATTAAAATATTGTATCACTTTGTGCAAACACAGGTCTAAGCCCCAAAGTCAAAGAGCAATGAGACCATGGTGGTATGGAAAACCTCCAAGAGGAAATTCCGTGAAAAGTGTCAGGAATAAACATTCAACTACAGAAATCAGACTTATTCTTGACCACGCCTAGTACCTGTCACATTGGTAGTTGGAAACATGACAAGCATGATGCATGGCTAACAGGTTTGTGACATTTGTGTGCTATACAGCTCCACTTACTCTGCCGATGAAGGAAGCCACTTTTCACAATCGACATTCTTAGGTCACTCTGAAAATAAAAATATAAAAATTTTGAAACAAACAATGCTTACTGGATATAGCAAAATCCATTTAGCTACAAGGACCTTCCTAAACCATCACTGATTCCTGTCTAATTAGCTAGCTGATTTAAACCATCATAACCATAGACAATATATCAGTTCTATATCTATGATCATAACACGCACAGCCTACACCAGAGAGGAAATTAACTATACTTACCTACACTCATTGTTTACAGCGCCGGGTATGCTAACTACTGTACCTAGCTAGCTGATCGAATCTATTTACATTGGCATTTGGCCCTTTGGTAAAACTATAACGTTACTTTGAAGCTTATGCTGACAATATTGCTGGAGATGATAATATGACTACACATTCCATACCTGTATCTAAAATACCTATTGTGGAATGCTGTCTTCAAAGCCCTGAGACAATAAACGTTAGCTAACTGCCTTGTTTTGAATGACGTAATCAATTTAATCATTCTTCTGTGGTTTGTATATGGTGGTTGGCATAATCAATAACAGTTGGCTGGTCCTTAATTAGAATGCTGGGAATTGTAGTTTTACTCAAAAGCGTGGCAGTGGGAGAAGATGGAACGAGATGGATTTTGGTAGACATTCTGCAAATTTTCTCATCGATTAAACATTTGATTTCAATACAGTTGTCTGTTCCCAAACCTTAACTCTGTTATGAACATAGTGGAAATAAGGGAACAATTGCCAGAGAATAGCCTAACATTCCATTTTTTAAGTTCATCAAAGTGTTTCTTGCTCAGATATTTCGAGATCCTCTGTCCAACTTTCCACACTCAAACTCTCCTGTCAGATTTATCTTTAGCTATACACATGCGCAAAAGGGATTTTAATTATAAACGGGTTCAGCCCTGAATGCTGATTGGCTGAAAGTTGTGTAATGCATAAGAACAGCCCTTAGCCATGGTATATTGGCCATATACCATATCCCCTCATGCCTTATTGCTTAATCATAGCAGTCAACCAAGTTAAATTGACATACATTGATGGAAAATGATCTGGCAAGTTTAATAAGGGCAAATTATCTTCTCACTTGCGACATATTGAAATTAATTTATTACGTCATGTCATAGTTCGCAATAATTATTATTTTGATGAAAACCGAATTTAGCTTTTAACGCCGTTACAAGTTACGTAGATATTCCTTCTTAATTGGCTCGATAACATAATGAAAAAACGTTTTATTGTATAAATGTGCCAACTCCTCTCTTGCTGTAGGAAAAAAAATGTGGGCTAGTTTTCAGGCATTTTGGCCTTGTTTTGGGTGGTCATTGTATACAAATGTTGGTTAAACCTGGCAACCCTGAATGCAAATGAAGAATGGCGTCATTTTACGGACTTCTAACCAAATTGTGCTATTTTGTGTGTTTTTTCGCATTGTTTGTAACTTATTTTGTACATAATGTTGATGCTACCGTTTCTTATGACCGAAAAGAGCTTCTGGATATCAGAACAGAGATTACTCACCTCGAACTGGACAAATATATATTTTTTAATGAGTCTGACGCGAAGGATATAATGTTGCGCCGGGCCAAGGCCCAAATCCCCGTCATTCGCATAAAGAAAATATGGAAATACAGGGGGCGCAGATCAGGGTGCCTTTTGAGAATTCGTCAGCGAATGGGTAACCCGCCTCTACCATCCATTCTATTGGCCAACGTGCAATCACTGGAGAATAAACTGGATGGGCTCCGTTTGAGACTATCCTACCAACGGCACATTCAAAACTGTAATATCTTATGTTTCACAGAATTGTGGCTGAACGACGACATGGATAATATACAGTTGGCTGGGTTTTCCGTGCATCAGCATGGCAAAACAGCTACATCCGGTAAGACGAGGGGTGGGGGTGTGTGTCTATTTGTCAATAACAGCTGGTGCGTGATGTCTAATATTAAGGTAGTCTCGAGGTATTGCTCACCTGAGGTAGTACCTCATGATAAGCTGTAGACCACACTATCTACCAAGAGAGTTGTTCATTGACTACAGCTCAGCGGTCAACACCATATTGCCCACAAAGTTCATCACTAAGCTAAGGACCCTGGGACTAAACACCTCCCTCTGCAACTGGATCCTGGATTTCCTGACGGGCCGCTCCCAGGTGGTGAGGGTAGGCAACAACACATTTGCCACGCTGATCCTCAACATGGGGACCCCTCAGGCTTTTTTGTTTCACCTGCCAGTTGGAAGGTGGAGACTGCGGTATCAGAGAGGCAGAGGGACTGTTCCTGACCACTGCTGTTGTGTGGTTGATTATCTGGCTGGTGCTTTACCTCAGCCGAAGAATCACCCAGGTGGGTGCTACGCTGTCGGCCATGGGGGATCAGCTAACTACAAAGGAGCGGCTACTATGGAAGAACTGGGAACGTCAGACAAAGTGATGATTCCTGATGAAGAGCCCCTGGCTTGTACTGTACAATCGATGCGCCCTGGCTGTACTGTACAATTGATGCGCCCTCCACTCAAGCCATACTGACTTTTGCTTTTCACAAGCTCAGAAATAATGCTTTTAGGTCGCATAGGCAGAGAGCTCCTGTACATTTTTTGTGTTGTGACAAAGGGGGGGGGGGGAGAAGATAGCCCTATTTGGTAAAAGACCAAGTCCATATTATGGCAAGAACAGCTCAAATAAGCAAAGAGAAACGACAGTCCATCAAACGACAGTCCATCATTACTTTAAGACATGAAGGTCAGTCAATACGGAACATTTCAATAATTTTTAAAGTTTCTTCAAGTGCAGTCACAAAAACCATCAAGCGCTATGATGAAACTGGCTCTCATGAGGACCACCACAGGAATGGAAGACCCAGAGTTACCTCTGCTGCAGAGGATAAGTTCATTAGAGTTACCAGCCTCCGAAATTGCAGCCCAAATAAATGCTTCACAGAGTTCAAGTCACAGATGTGGTCCTCTGTAGCTCAATTGGTAGAGCATGGCGCTTGTAACGCCAGGGTAGTGGGTTCGATCCCCGGGACCACCCATACTTAAAAATATATGCACACATGACTGTAGGTCGCTTTGGATAAAAGCGTCTGCTAAATGGCATATTGTATTATACATATTATATACATCTCAACTTCAACTATTCAGAGGGGACTGTGTGAATCAGGCCTTCATGGTCGAATTGCTGCAAAGAAACCACTATTAAAGGACACCAATAAGAAGAAGAGACTTGCTTGGGCCAAGAAACACGAGCAATGGACATTAGACCAGTGGAAATGTGTCCTTTGGTCTAGAGTCCAAATTGGAGATTTTTGGTTCCAACTGCCGTTTCTTTGTGAGACGCGGTATGGGTGAACGGATGATCTCCGCATGTGTAGTTCCCACCGTAAAGCATGGAGGAGGTGATGTTATGGTGCTTTGCTGGTGACATTGTCTGTCATTTATTTAGAATTCAAGCACATTTAACCAGCAGGGCTACCACAGCATTCTGCAGCGATACGCCATCCCATCTGGTTTGGGTTTAGTGGGACTATCATTTGTTTTTCAACAGGACAATGACCCAACACACCTCCAGGCTATGTAAGGGCTATTTTACCAAGAAGGAGAGCGATGGAGTGCTGCATCAGATGACCTGGCCCCCACAATCCCCCTACCTCAACCCAATTGAGATGGTTTGGGATGAGTTGGATGGCAGAGTAAAGGAAAAGCAGCCAACAAGCTCAGCATATGTGGGAACTCCTTCAAGACTGTTGGAAAAGCATTCCAGGTGAAGCTGGTTGAAAGAATGCCAAGAGTGTGCAAAGCTGTCATAAAGTCAAATGTTGGCTATTTGAAGAATCTCAAATATAAAATATATTTTGATTTGTTTAACACTTTTTTGGTTACTACATGATTCCATATGTGATATTTCATAGTTTTGATGTCTTCACTATTATTCTACAATGTAGAAAATAGTAAAAATAAATTAAAACCCTTGAATGAGTAGGTGTGTCCACACTTTTGACTGGTACTGTATATATTTTTAAGAGAAATGCCATGGCGGCCGCGGTGCAACATAAAAGTAGCCCAATACATTTTCATCCGTGACATCGTTTTCAAAGTAACTGCGGACATGGGAAAGTCTTGTAACTTTGACATTGAAGACCACCATATTTATGTGATCAAAAAGTTGTTTAAAACATTTCACAAAAAAACGCTAACAAGTTATTAAATATTTACAAAATGTACAGGAACTCTCTGCCTATGCGACCTAATGGCGTTATTTCTTAGCTTGTGAAAAGCAAAAGTACATTTTTCTAAAACAAATAGTCATAGTAGTAGTTATTCGTAATGTTACAATAATAATGTGTGTATATTCTTTACTTTTTGAAGCGTTTTAAAATATGAAGGAGCCACACCTTAAAGCTATCCAACCAGAATAACATATTCAAACCTGTGTCTTTTAAACCAATGAAAATGGAGGACGTCATGAATAATTAATGTCCCTAGCGTTCGGCTAGTTAGCTGTAGTTTAAAAAAAACGGCTAAACGTTTACTAGCTAGTCCTGTAAAATACAATTGAAAAGATGGCGACGGCAATATACCTGGAACATTACCTTGACAGTGAGTATCTAGCTAACTTAATGTGATCCGTTGTGTAAATTGGCTAAATACATTTCCAATCGTGTTTGTTTTTCAGTCTCGAACTTCTAAAGCTAACGATAGCTTGGCGAGCTAGCAAGCAAGCCACACATGTTGTGTCGTTAGCGAGATTACAAGTTTTCGGCATTACTAACTAGCTAGTTAATTTACTATTATAATTTTTGTTAGTTTTCTAGTAACTATGTCATTGAAGTTGTACGTTAGATGAAATGCTATAAATTGATGATTTTATCTAGTGCACTAACGTTAGCTAGCGAACTAAGGAGGGGCTATTTTTCTGCTTTCTCTTGGCTTGTAGCAGTAAACCAGCAACAGGTGATGTTCTAGCTAGTTAGTTAGCTAAACAGCAACCTGTACATTCATCTCAGTGGGGCATGCCAGGATCATAAAATGTCGTTGATAGCACTAGCTAGTTTGCTATAGCTACGTTCCGAATAATGATTGTGACAACTTTCCTGAGCAGAGAGCACTTTCCTCAATACAACTTTAGCAAGCAAGCGGGGGACGACAGCGGCGCAACCTCGTTTTCTTCCCGGAGTCAAGCGTACACAGGGCGGGATGTTTGATTTGAAAGTGCGTCACAAGCACAACGTATACCCAAATTCCAGTTTCACTTCCGCCTAAATAATATTGTTTTCCGGTCGTCACTAGTTACCACAGTCATAATAATCACTGCTAAACCCCACATATTTCTACAATTTCTCTACTGATTTTAAATGTGACCTTAACCACACTGCTAACCTTATGCCTAATCCTAACCTTAAATGAAGACCAAAAAGCTAATTTGTTTTCATGAATTTTTACGATGTAGCCGATTTTGTGGCTGTGGGTACTAGTGATAACCTTGTTTACCAGGGGGGGGGAAACGTTTAGGTTTAAGTTATTTTGGTAGAACAGCAGTCGTGATCCAGCTACCTTGCTAACATTATCTATTTTGGATGTGGCCACCTGTTATCTAGTAACGGTCATCAGACTGCAGTGTATTCATTGTAGAAAATTGCACAGGAACCATGAGCTGTCAGCTGTGTGTTACCATCAAATCCTATCTTGTTTGATGAAATATTGTAGATCGTGTATATGACTGCGTTTAACATATCATGACATATTCCTCCAGGTATTGAGAATCTGCCCTGTGAACTACAGAGGAACTTTTCACTGATGCGGGACCTGGACAATAGAACTGAAGGTACAATACATGAGATTGACATCAGTTAAACCACACAATAAATATATTACACATTTTATTAGTTTTGATCACCAGATTTACTACATGGTTTCATGTCCATCACTATTATATTGTTCAGCATATTTCCTTTTCCAGTATTTAAATGTTCCTACAATTGTGTAGAGAAAAAAGGAGAGATCGACAAGCTGGCGGAGGAGTACATCTCAAGTGTAAGGAACTTGGCTTCGGAACAGAGGGTTGAGCACCTGCAGAAGATCCAGTGTGCTTACAGCAAGTGCAAAGAGTTCAGCGATGACAAAGTGCAGCTTGCCATGCAGACATATGAAATGGTCAGTGCTCCAACACTGTCATATGAGTACATAAAGACGTCAATACTTTCACTATTGGTTGTATAGTGCTCTAAACCTGTCATATGAGTACAAATGTGTGTCATACTGTCACTATTGGTTTAGCATTATCTATTGATCTATCTAATTGTTTGCATGTCATAGGTGGACAAGCATATCCGCAGGCTGGATGCAGACCTGGCTCGATTTGAGAATGAGCTGAAGGAGAAGTTGGAAGTGAGCAGCTATGACAGTCCAGAAGGAAGAGGGTTAAAGAGTAAGCAGGGAGACTGTCGGGGGGAAATACTTCTACAGCACATTTACGACAGGTAACTAACTTCCATGTGCACATCTGTGAATATCTGCTTCAGAGGGTGAAGGTCGGGGACTGAGGGAGAAGCGTGGACCCAAGGGGAGAGGCAGGAAATCATCAGATGAGGATTCTCCCAGGAAGAAAAAGCTTAAAAACAGGTACAGAAAATGTTGTACAAACAAAGTACTATTTATGTGTGTCTGCCTGGTTTTCACTCCAACTCAATATCATTTAACCCGTTAATATCTGTAGCCCAGAATTGAGTGACGCTCTCCTGCCAATGCAACCGTCAGATGTTTTGGACATGCCAGTTGATCCAAATGAGCCAACATACTGCTTGTGCCATCAAGTGTCGTATGGAGAGATGATTGGATGTGATAACCCTGATGTAAGTTTTTATTGGTTGTCTTGTTATTCCAAAGAATGCTTTGAAATTAGTGGAATTTTTATATAGATCCAAGAAGTTAATTGAAAGATTACTGTAATGTGAATGTCTTCTTACCAATGTTTTCACTTTTCAAACAGTGCCCAATTGAGTGGTTTCACTTTGCTTGTGTTGATCTTGCTACAAAGCCAAAAGGAAAATGGTAGGTGAATCTTTTACAAAGATTGATAAAAGTATATTATATATGTTAATTAAAGCGGATGAATTTGGGAATGTTGGTGATTACACGCATTACCTTTTTGTACATCTTGTATTTAGTCTTATCTCTTTCAGGTTTTGTCCAAGATGCACCCAGGATAAGAAGAAAAAATGATATTTCTTAAAAGTATTTTTCTCTAAATGTGTTCTTTGTCTATGTAGTAAAATAGTGTAATATATTTACAAATATTTCTCTTTCTTTTATGGCTGTGCATAAATATGATGGTCTAAATACAAAGCTTTTATTCAAAGTACTTGAAATATGTAAAAGTTTTAGTATTTGACAAACAAATTCAACTGCTGTTGTAATTTTCTCCATGGTTAAGTTTTATTTTTTTATTCTGTCCTCACTCAAATAGGGCCAGTGTTAGGATCTCATTTGTGTCAGCATTTTAGTTACCTAGCTACCTCTCGGTTCAAGCACACACATGCAGAAATGATGTATACTGCAATCTTGAATCCTGCCTAAAAATGTTAAACCAAGCAAAGAAAAACGTTCACTCTGTCCAGTCTTGGACTAATAAGCTATCTGGTAAAAGGTGTACTATATTTTTATATCGACTGTCAAAAGCATTTGCCCACTCTTGAATGTAGGAAGCTACTGGTATCTCTTTGCCAACATAACCAGCAAGCATTAAAGCACTTTGTATGAAAATCAGCTGTTCACCACTATAATGCTAAACAATTTAACAGTGCCTAGATTTAAAAAATAATAATTGTGGGGAATGGCGTTCCAAAGATATCGTATTCAAGCTGCTGTAAAGTACGAAAGAAAGACAAGCAGTAGCTAGGTTTCCATCCAATTGGCGAATATTCTAAAATCTGCATAAAAACTGCATTTTCCCCTCCAGAGGGGTGTTTCCATCAAACTAACTGGTTATGGATAAAAGGCTGTGCGTGATGATGTAGTTCACATAAAAAAACACTTTTGCGGTTAAGTTCCCATGTAACGAATTAAAAAATCTACATTTTAAAATGGGTTTCCATTGCATTTTAAACTCTACCGATGGTTTTGTCACAAAAACTGTTGCAATAATATAGCAAACTTGCCCAATCTGGTTTTGGCGCATGATCTATAGACAGTTCGGACAGGGTAGGTTATATGATGAGATGTGGATAAAAGCCAGATTACTTTTAATTGATAATTAGCAGCCAAGCACTGATCATCATGTCACCAGCATCATTCAAATTATAGCCTTTAGTGGAAATTTGCATGAAGTTCATCACCATACACTTAGATTTTAGATTGAGATTTTAGTCATTCAGCAGACACTCTTATCCAGAGTGACTTACAGGAGCAATTCGGGTTAAGTGCCTTGCTCAAGGGCACGTCAACAGATTTTTCGGCTCTGGGATTTTTTTTGGTTACTGGCCCAACGCTCTTAACCGCTAGGCTACCTGCCGCCCACTTAACCACCATAAATTATGACGTTTATGAAATAAGTTATAAAGTTCGTCATAACTTATCTGTCGATAAACTCTGCATGCTTTTTCACGTCATGTTAGTAGTACAACGAAACATATCATCGCATGACTTCAAGTGTACTGCGATATGGTTTTTATATGTCAATATTTGCGCATAAAAACGTTTCCACCGCAATTGTCGCAATCTTTTTCACCGACAAAAAAAAGATCACCTTGTCTTGCGTATTTTGTTTTGGCAACATTGGCAAATGTACCGTTTCCATAAGGCCTGTCGTGAGTTTTTTTTGTTTTTATGCATCAGGTAATTCATCTGCATGAAATGGTTGGATAGAAACCTGGTTATTTTAAGAGATTGAAAAAAAATGAAACGTTAATGATTGAGCAATTATCCACTGTAAAAGACCACTGCTATTGCTTTTGAATATTTTGTTGACCTAAAATTTAAAATGTTTAGAATTTCAGATGATATTTGATAAAGTTGTTGCATGTGCCACTTTTTATTCTAACCTTACACAAAATACTATTGTCCTTGATATAGGCTACAATGTTGACAACAACATGTGACAACCACAAGAATATTCCTTTCCAAAGATTGTTACTTTAGTTAATTAATTGTTCGGGATTCTTAGGGGTTTAGCATAAACGTGTCTTTATTGAACTGTGAATATATCAATCTTGTACAAGTATAATGCTGTTGAAACAGAGGGTTAAGGAGCCAAAGTATTTGTATTTTGTAAATGTCAGTTTCATATCAATAAACATGTACAACTATTCAATAGCATCTGTAAGGATATTATTTGTTTTTTAAAATCCATGTCCAGTTGGATATGGTTGTCGATGATGGCTTAATTGAGCAAAGGGCCAGAATAACAACTGCCCTATGCAAAGGAATGAGTATTGTTCAATCACGGAAGGTCAGGCAGGGTGCTTTGCTGACAAACTGAAACACTCCAAGTCTGATCTATGTGTTCTTTTAAAACCCATCATCAGACTCCTCTTCATCCCAGCTGCAGGGTTCCCGAGCAACCTCCCCTTTAAATTCCACCTCCAGGTCATAGACAAAGTCAGGGTCATCTTTCCGCCTTCGGTTGCGTTCAAAGAGTTTGTCCATTTGGGCCTTCTTGCGCGCAAGCTCCTCATCATCCAGCTTGTTTAGGTCCTCCTCAGGGTCCAGGCGGAGGGAGGCTAGAGTGTGCTCCAGGCTGTGGCCCTGCATGTGATCCCGCAACACTATATGAAGCCTCTCCAGTTGCCCCAATGAAACACTCTCCAGGTATGCCCTGTGCCGAATATGGTGCTTCATTCTCTCCGCAGCCATGCAGCAGTCTGTGGATGAAAGGTGGATAGTGGGTGAAATATAACTAGATTACCTCATGTTTTAAGTATATGGGTAAAACCGTAGTGGTGGTCACCAACCATAAATTCTCAAGAAGAGTGCAGGCGTTCCCTCTTCCCATGTTTTTAGTGCTGGGCTTGTAAAAAAAACTGCACACCGTGCAGCTCTCAAATACTAGTTTGGAAAGCATATCCTATGATCTATCTGCCTTGTGGGTTGGCCATGTAGAATTTATCAGTTGCATTGGACAAGTTAAGTATAGCAATGTGTTGCCATGTGTATTGATCTGACACTAAAATAACTTCAGAGATCACTATGCCATCTGAATACTCCATAACAAGAGAGACCAGGGCAGCGTTCCCCAAACTCGGTCCTGGTTATTGCCCTAGCACTACACAGCTGATTCAATTAATAAACTAATCATCAAGCTTTGATTATTTGAATCAGCTGTGTAGTGCTAGGGTAAAAACCAAACACCCCTTGGGGTCCCCAGGTCCGAGTTTGGGAGATGCTGGACTAGGGGATGCCCATCTTTCCTGTGATAAGCAATGTCCTGTCGAGTTTTCCTACCTGAACATTTCGAGAAGTTCCTCACAGGTATGATTCTTTTACGCATCTTGTTTGTATCCTTAACGTTACTTTCATAAATTAAAACGATTGAAGGTGGGCTGAATTGCACCCCGCATCGTTTAGCCACAAAAGGCATTGTTGAAGATTATTTTATTCAATTTATACGAACGTTTTATGTAGAGATTCTCAAAGTAGCTCGCTAGGTAATTAGCTAGCAAACATGTTTGACATGCATACAATCTTGAGTTTTGAAAATAAACAAAATACAGCAAGCCATGCACGCTAAAAATTCAAAAGAATCGACGCTAGTTTCTCACAAATCTCCTCGTCCAAATCCTGGGGTACAGTCTCTAATTGCCTGTGCGCTTTGGCGTGTATACCCAGTTAGTTATGTGGTAATAAACATAGCTTCTACTTTTGTTCACAGTAGGTAAATAAAATGTCTTCACCGTTTAAAAATGTTCTATATAGTTATCGTAATTCATTTGAATATTAAAATAATGTATTGTTGTCTGGCTTTATAATGAACCGCATATGGAATGGAATGGGTCCTTCATTTAAGTTTATCCGTAAACACATGACGTAGCTGGCTGAAATTTCTGGCGTTGCCCAGCGTTTTTGGAAAGCAATTTACTCATGTTTGTATTTTTCAGCACATGTACTGTTTACTTGGTTATTTTTGGATCAACGCAAGCAGGTAAATGATAACACATCAAAGAAAGTCATTTTGAATAAATCCGGCAATGTTTATTGTGGCTGGGGGAGTGAAGGGTGATTGCTAACGTTACGTTAAATAGCTAGCGCGCGCCACTAAGATACAAGTGATTTTCGTAGCAGGTAATTTAGGATAGAATTTTCCCTAACCCCTTTCTTAACCTCAGTCTCCTAAACTGGTACGTTAATAATCCTAACCTGCTACAAAAAAAGTAAATGAGGTATTGAAGTGGCGTGGAGTGTTTCCCAGCTAGTTAGCTAACGTTACATGTCAAATGTGTCATGCCATTCGTTAAACCACGGTCTTTTGACTTTCCGCAGGTAGCTATGCACAGTAGCTAAGTGATGGGCATGAATCGATTATTTATCTTCAATGTAGGAAGTTATGTGCAAACAGCAGACCCACACTGGGTTGTCATTGTCAACCAACAATGTCCACAGTCACTGACCCTATGCTTTTAGATGGCAGCTAGTTTTTCATGTGATGTACAAAGCCTCTGTGACCTTTTTTTTTTTGCAGAAGAGAACAGCTGTGGTTTGTCCAGTACATGGCTGGAGACTGTATCAGTAACGATGGATGTCAGCAAAAGTGGTTTTCACAGGTAACTAACTGTAAGATGATCGTCCGGGGAATAGACCTCTGCAAGGTTATCAAGAGGAAGGGGGCATAGCTAATAAATGCAATTGAAAGATGTTGACAACCTGAATTTTTTTTTTTTTATGACGCCTAATCCTAATCTTTGGTTACTCTGGGGCCATACTTGCGAACATTAGAAAGAGTTTAAATTTAAACAGTTTCTCCGTCTCAATGCGCATCAGCCAATTCAAATTGTCGACATTGTAGCTGGTCCGATTGGATAACCTGGCACACGTTAGACCTCTATGCTAACCAAAGCCGCGGGAAATAGGGGTGCTGAGGGTGCTGCAGCTCCCCCTGAAAAGTCGGAATAAAACAATTATATTAATTAAAAAATATGTTATTCTTTCTTCACAGAGGTAGTGCATTGGGCCTTTACTAGTCCTGTATTATTTCTGCGTTTCGCCCACCAAGCAAGGAGTTTTTGTATGGAGGTCAATGAGTGTCGATTTTGGTCACCAAAAAAAAATGAATGGCTTATTTGCTACGTAAGATTTATTTGATCGAATATACGTTTTGTAATGCTTAAGTTGTTATGAGTGTACTGATAAGTAGGACACTTTATATCGGCGTTGTCTCGAGATGGCTATTTATATTCATGGCATGAGGCTAGTAGCATAGCATCCCTCTCCATCGAATACAGGCGGTTGACGTCAACAACCGTCATCGAATATTCAAAAAAGGGTTACAATGATGAGATGTATCCACCAATCCAAAGAAAGGATAGGTGGTAGATATACAGCCCGCCGTACCGCTTTGTGGACAACGACTCCCATTGCTAGGGCGGAAAGACGTGTCTTGTCAGTATATCCATAATCTTTGGCTGACCTCAACAGATGACAGTGATTCTTTCCTGGATCAAGTTGTGCATCAGCCAATTACAAATGTTAACGTAGATTGACTTGAACTGACACTTTTCCATAAGAACATTATCATCCTACAGATTGCAGTATTGCAGAAATTGTTTTAGTTATTTTAAAGAACTGGCTCCCCAGTGGCTGCACCCATTCCAGTCATGTGAAATCCATAGATTAGGGCCTAATTCATTTGATTTCAAATGAACTAACTCAGTACAATCTTTGAAAAATTTTTATTTTTTTTATTTTTCAGTATGAAATCTCAAAGCACTTCATAGTTGACAGATGTGAGTGCTACAGGGCGATAGTCATTTAGTTCAGATGTCTTCGCTTTCTTGGGTACAGGAACAATGATGGACATCTTGAAGTGGGGATAACAGACTGGCATATGGAGAGATTTAATGTCCGTAAACACTCCAGCCAGTCTGCACGTGCTCTGAGGACGCGGCTTGGGATGTCGTCTGGGCCAGCAGCCTTGCAATAGTTAACACGCTTAAATGACTTACTCACGTCGGCCACGGAGAACGAGAGCACACAGTGTGTCATTGCTTGCCTCGTTGCTCAAGTGATTTCCATTTTTCAAATGGTTAATTCCTTTTGGATATTTTTTCACTCTCTCTGTCTGTCCTGTGCAACTACACTGAACAAAAATATAAACACAACAATTTCAAAGATTTTACTGAGTTACAGTTCATATAAGGAAATCAGTCAATTGAAATAAAATGAATTAGGGCCTAATCTACAGTGAGGGGAAGAAAGTATTTGATCCTCTGCTGATTTTGTACGTTTTCCCACTGACAAAGAAATGATCAGTCTATACTTTTAATGGTAGGTTTATTTGAACAGTGAGAGACAGAATAACAACAAAAAAATCCAGAAAAACACATGTCAAAAATGTTATAAATTGATTTGCATTTTAATGAGGGAAATGAGTATTTGACCCTCTGCAAAACATGACTTAGTACTTGGTGGCAAAACCCTTGTTGGCGATCACAGAGGTCAGACGTTTCTTGTAGTTGGCCTCCAGGTTTGCACACATCTCAGGAGGGATTTTGTCCCACTCCTCTTTGCAGATCTTCTCCAAGTCATTAACATTTACATTTGAGTCATTTAGCAGACGCTCTTATCCAGAGCGACTTACAGGAGCAATTAGGGTTAAGTGCCTTGCTTAAGGGCACATCAACAGATTTTTCACCTAGTCGGCTCGGGGATTAGAACCAGCGAAAATCTGATTTATTTGCCCTCAAGTGGTTTTTAGACTTATTTGGCATACTCTTATTTTGACAAGAACATATGGTAGCTAACTAGCTTGTTAATTGTTTACAAACAAACTTGTGGATGCGCTAGAAAGCTTAACAGCTAGCTAGTTGACTGCTGTGGCTAGCCAAAAAGGACATGTTTTTAAAGTTGGATCTTATCCTTTGAGGCTTTAAAAGTGTTCATACACTGATTTTATGAACATTCAAAGCAACTGGGAAATGTCCATGGCAGGCATTGTCACCTTAGCTTGCTAGTTGCTACATAACATCTGAGTGATAGGAAGCACCACCAATCAGCCTACACCACTGTGCACACACCCTTCGTTACTATGACAACTAGCGTAGCCATGTCTGCAAATGACTGCTGTCTGAACACATCTGATTTGGACACTTGCAACTTGCTGTTTGGACAGTCAGTAATCCAAAACGAATTTGAGCATTAAGATCTGCAGTGTGAATAAGGCTTTAATGATAGCAGGGTAAATTACAGCTATTTGACAAGACCATGAGCGTCTTCAACCTTTTTTTATGTTGTATAATCACATTTTATTTGTCACATGTGCCGAATACAACAGGTGTAGACCTTACCGTGAAATGCTTACTTACAAGCCCTTAACCAACAATGCAGTTTTAAGATAAGAGTTTAGAAAATATTTACTAAATAAACTAAAGTAAAACAAGTAACACAATAACGAGGCTATATACAGGGGGTACCGGTACCAAGTCAATGTGTGGGGGGACAGGTTAGTTGAGGTAATATGTACATGTAGGTAGGGGTAAAGTGACTATGCATAGATTAAACAGCGAGTAGCAGCAGTGTAAAAAAATAAGGGGGGGGTCAATGCAAATAGTCCAGGTAGCCATTTGATTAATTGTTCAGCAGTCTTATGGCTTGTGGGTAGAAGCCGTTAAGGAGCCTCTTGGACCTAGACTTGGGGCTCCAGTACCGCTTGCCATGCGGTAGCAGAGAGAACAGTATGATTTGGGTGGCTGGAGTCTTTGAATTTCTTTGGGCCTTCCTCTGACACCGCCTAGTATAGAGGTCCTGGATGGCAGGAAGCATGGCCCCAGTGATGTACTGGGCCGTACGCACTATCCTCTGTAGCGCCTTACGGTCGGATGCTGAGCAGTTGCCATACCAGGCGGCAATGCAACCGGTCAGGATGCTCTCTGGTGCAGCTGTATAACTTTTTGAGGATCTGGGGACCCATCCCAAATCTTTTCAGTCTCCTGAGGGGGGAATGGGCGTTGTCGTGCCCTCTTCACGACTGTCTTGGTGTGTTTGGACCATGATAGATTTGTTGGTGACGTGGACGCCAAATAACTTGACGCTCTCGACCCTCTCCACTACAGCCCTGTCGATGTAAAAGGGTGTGTGTAAATCTAGGCTCCAGTTGCAGAGGGAGGTGTTTAGTCCCAGGGTCCTTAGCTTAGTGATGAGCTTTGTGGGCACTATGGTGTTGAACGCTGAGCTGTAGTCAATGAACAGCATTCTCACATTGGTGTTCCTTTTGTCCAGGTGGGAAAGGGCAGTGTGCAATTGCGATTGCGTCATCTGTGGATCTGTTGGGGTGGCATTCGAATTGGAGTGTGTCTAGGGTTTCCGGGATGATGGCGTTGAGGTGAGCCATGACCAGCCTTTCAAAGCACTTCATGGCTACAGTCATTTAGGCAGGTTACCTTGGTGTTCTTGCACACAGGGACTATGGTGGTCTGCTTGAAACATGTAGGTATTACAGACTCAGTCAGGGAGAGGTTGAAAATGTCAATGAAGACACTTGCAAGTTGGTATGCGCATGCTCTGTGTACACGTCCTGGTAATCCGTCTGGCCCCGCAGCCTTTTGAATGTTGACTGTTTAAAGGTCTTACTCACATCTGCTACGGAGAGCGTGATTACAGTCATACGGAACAGCTGGTGCTCTCATGCATGCTTCAGTGTTGCTTGCCTCGACGCGAGCATAAAAGGCATTTAGCCCGTCTGCAAGGCTCTCATCACTGGGCAGCTCGCGGCTGGTTTTCAGATTCCTCCGGAATCTGTATTGCTGTGAAAGCACACGAACGTGTGTGAAACAGATAGGCAAAAGCCTGGGATTTTGTCATGAATGCGAAAATTTTGTCTGTTAGTGCTAGTAGCCTATTCAAGGATGCATCAATGCAATATTGTCACCAACATTTTGTCACAGACCAATGGAACAAAAGTAAACCAGAATTTGTAGGTTTAAAATCTCTCTCTGGTGGCCAGGGTTAACCTATTTTAAGAAATGCCGTTGGTGGATATAAAGTCTATCTTTGATAGGCTGACGCAGAATAATCAGTTACAGTGGGGAAAAAAAGTATTTAGTCAGCCACCAATTGTGCAAGTTCTCCCACTTAAAAAGATGAGAGAGGCCTGTAATTTTCATCATAGGTACACGTCAACTATGACAGACAAATTGAGAAAAGAAAATCCAGAAAATCACATTGTAGGATTTTTAATGAATTTATTTGCAAATTATGGTGGAAAATAAGTATTTGGTCACCTACAAACAAGCAAGATTTCTGGCTCTCACAGACCTGTAACTTCTTCTTTAAGAGGCTCCTCTGTCCTCCACTCGTTACCTGTATTAATGGCACCTGTTTGAACTTGTTATCAGTATAAAAGACACCTGTCCACAACCTCAAACAGTCACACTCCAAACTCCACTATAGCCAAGACCAAAGAGCTGTCAAAGGACACCAGAAACAAAATTGTAGACCTGCACCAGGCTGGGAAGACTGAATCTGCAATAGGTAAGCAGCTTGGTTTGAAGAAATCAACTGTGGGAGCAATTATTAGGAAATGGAAGACATACAAGACCACTGATAATCTCCCTCGATCTGGGGCTCCACGCAAGATCTCACCCCGTGGGGTCAAAATGATCACAAGAACGGTGAGCAAAAATCCCAGAACCACACGGGGGGACCTAGTGAATGACCTGCAGAGAGCTGGGACCAAAGTAACAAAGCCTACCATCAGTAACACACTACGCCGCCAGGGACTCAAATCCTGCAGTGCTAGACGTGTCCCCCTGCTTAAGCCAGTACATGTCCAGGCCCGTCTGAAGTTTGCTAGAGTGCATCCAGAAGAGGATTGGGAGAATGTCATATGGTCAGATGAAACCAAAATATAACTTTTTGGTAAAAACTCAACTCGTCGTGTTTGGAGGACAAAGAATGCTGAGTTGCATGCAAAGAACACCATACCTACTGTGAAGCATGGGAGTGAAAACATCATACTTTGGGGCTGTTTTTCTGCAAAGGGACCAGGACGACTGATCCGTGTTAAGGAAAGAATGAATGGGGCCATGTATCGTGAGATTTTGAGTGAAAACCTCCTTCCATCAGCAAGGGCATTGAAGATGAAACGTGGCTGGGTCTTTCAGCATGACAATGATCCCAAACACACCGCCCGGGCAATGAAGGAGTGGCTTCGTAAGAAGCATTTCAAGGTCCTGGAGTCTCCAGATCTCAACCCCATAGAAAATCTTTGGAGGGAGTTGAAAGTCTGTGTTGCCCAGCGACAGCCCCAAAACATCACTGCTCTAGAGGAGATCTGCATGGAGGAATGGGCCAAAATACCAGCAACAGTGTGTGAAAACCTTGTGAAGACTTACAGAAAACGTTTGACCTGTGTCATTGCCAACAAAGGGTATATAACAAAGTATTGAGAAACTTTTGTTATTGACCAAATACTTATTTTCCACCATAATTTGCAAATAAATTCATAAAAAATCCTACAATGTGATTTTCTGGATTTCTTTTCCTAATTTTGTCTGTCATAGTTGACGTGTACCTATGATGAAAATTACAGGCCTCTCTCATCTTTTTAAGTGGGAGAACTTGCACAATTGGTGGCTGACTAAATACTTTTTTTCCCCACTGTATCTGGTGAGGTTAGCATAGGGCTAACGTATGCCAGGTTATCTGATAGGACCAGTTACAATGTTGCTGGTCCTATCACATGCAAGTAAATCGACAATTTTAATTGAATGACGCACATTTTGAGACAGAGAAACTGTTGACATTTTAACTGTTTCTAAGGTTGCAAGTATGGCCCCTCTGTGTTTTAGAGAGCTGGTCACCACAGTTCACTTCGGTCCTGGTTTTCCAGATGGCCTCGAGGCTCTGCTGGTTCACAGACTACCCAGTGGGATCTACATTGATCAATACCAACTTGCGTCTCTGAAAGAGGACACTGGTTTACAGGTAAAAAAATTACAATGGCCGTAGCGTTATACAACCACAGTAATGAAAAGCACAGGATAAAATATTATTTTGCACAATATACCCAACTCCATCTGCAAATTCTGAAAGCCATGTTAGGTCAAAACGTATACATGGTATGCTAAGTAACAAATTTGAACATATTTTTCTGTTAGGTGCTTTTGGGTTCAGAGGTTGACTTGGAGGCTCCAGCACACATATCTGATGAATTAATTGTTCTTGTGTATCCTGCTGTGGACCAAGGAAGTCTCAAAGCAACACTCCCTATCCATGGCCGTTATCACAAGCCCTCTCTTGCAGGAAAGAGATTTGAACTTGTCTTAATTGAACTTCCAAAGCTAATACTCAGGACTGATACATGTGAGTTATTGTGTTTATACCCTTTACGCATGACCATACTTCCAATTTCCTTCAGAGATTCTGCTGTGTCTGTAAATAACATTAACCTTTGGTAATTGGAAGTGGACCAACTTATTTTATGGCAAATATGCTTGTTTTTACCATTATAACTAGTTTTTTTTTGTTTTAAGGTACACAGCTCATTTCCTTCCCTCCTTACAAAATTGTGGATGCACCCTGCACTGTCCACAACTTAAGCATGTGCCAATGGCTTGAGATCCAACATCTACAGGTAAATCAATCAGCCAATGACAGTCACATACACTACATGACCAGAAGTATATGGACAACTGCTCGTCGAACATCTCATTCCAAAATCATGGGCGTTAATATGGAGTTGGTCCCCCCTTTGCTGCTATAACAGCCTCCACTCTTCTGGGAAGGCTTTCCACTAGATGTTGGAACATTGCTGCGGGGACTTGCTTCCGTTCAGCCACAAGCATTAGTGAGGACGGGCACTGATGTTGGGCGATTAGGCCTGGCTCGCAGTCAGCGTTCCAATTCATCCCAAAGGTGTTCGTTGAGGTCAGGGCTCTGTGCAGGCCAGTCAAGTTCTACCACACCGATCTGTATGGCCCTCGCTTTGTGCACGGGGGCATTGTCATGCTGAAACAGCAAAGGGCCTTCCCCAAACTGTTGCCACAAAGTTGCAAGCACAGAATCGTCTAGAATGTAATTGTATGCTGTAGCGGTAGGATTTCCCTTCACTGGAACTAAGGGGCCTAGCCCGAACCATGAAACACCACCCCAGACCATTATTCCTCCTCCACCAAACTTTACAGTTGGCATGATGCATTCGGGTAGGTAGCATTCTCCTGGCATCCGCCAAACCCAGATTAGTTTGTCCGGACAGCCAGATGGCGAAGCGTGATTCATCACTCCAGAGAACGCGTTTCCATTGCTCCAGAGTCCAATGGCGGCAAGCATTACACCAATCCAGCCAACACTTGGCATTGCACATGGTGATCTTAGGCTTGTGTGTGGCTGCTTGGCCATGGAAACCCATTTCATGAAGCTCCCGACGAACAGTTCTTGTGCTGACGTTGCTTCCAGAGGCAGTTTGTTACTCGGTAGTGAGTGTTGCAAACAAGGACAGACAATTTTTACGCACCAAGTGCTTCATCACTCGGCGGTCCTGTTCTGTGAGCTTGTGTGGCCTACCACTTCGCGGCTGAGCCGTTGTTGCTTCTAGACGTTTCCACTTCACAATAACAGCACTTACAGTTGACCGGGGAAGCTCTAGCAGGGCATGCATTTTACGAACTGACTTGTTGGAAAGTTTGCATCCTATGACGGTGCCACATTGAAAGTTAGTGAGCTCTTCAGTAAGGCCACTCTACTGACAAATGTTTTTCTATGGAGATTGTATGGCTGTGTGCTCGATTTTATACACCTGTCAGCAACGGGTGTGACTGAAATAGCCGAATCCACTCATTTGAAGGGCTGTCCACATACCTTTGTGTGTGTAGTTACAGTAAATGTGATAAGGTTTGGAGTCCACATTTAGATTAACATAGTGTTGAATGTATAATTACTATCATACTTAGTAACTCCTTTATTTATTTTCTAAAACAATGTTTCAAAATGTAACAACAAATGGTGAATATGAAAAAGACTTGAATCCCCTTACCCCAATGTTTCTTTCCTTTTAGGAGCAGGATCCTGTGAGTTTGGAGATACCGCTTGGTGATGGGTCTCTGGTGGAGCCTGTGTGTGCTGGAACTCTGCTTGTTACGCTGCTGTGCTGCGTTATCCTTTCAAGAAGTATCTGGAGGCATGGCGTTTTTTAGACAATGTAATACTAACTTACTGATGTACTGCACAGAAATAAGAAAGTACAGTAAGAAATCCCCAGGGATTCATTTGCAACGGACTGTTTAGTTTTTTTTCTATAAGTTGATGGACCAATGACTTTTTAACATCTATTTATAAAATAATTGGCACACTGCTTCCATGTGTTTCTGTGTTATCAAAGAACAGTTGATTGGATCCTTGACAGTAATGTACCATACATAGACTCTAGACCAGGGGTACTCAACTCTTACCCTACGAGGTCTGGAGCCTGCTTTTTTTCCTCTTCTACCTGATAATTAGTTGCACACACCTGGTGTCCCAGGTCTATATCAGTCCCTGATTAGAGGGGAATGATGAAAAAATGCAGTGAAACTGGCTTCGAGGTCCAGAGTTGAGTTTGAGGGCTCTATACTGTAAAGTACTGTAGGCCTATAGAAATGTAGAGTTGAACTACATCACCCAAAATGCTGTTCGAACTTGGGTTCCTTAACTTCACTAATAAACTGTACTGCAGACAAGTTATAATTTTTATCACCGGGCATGTACACACATAAATAAATGTGTTTTGATTTTCGATCAAATCAATCACCAGCCAGATCTTATAAATATATAGTTGGTACCCTTAATATAATTGTTACACTACACGCCAGGGCGGTAGTTCTGCTTCCCTTCGCCATAGTCATATTTGTGGAATTATTCCCGGGCTGAAAAGATTGAAGAAAAAGTTATATAGGGAACTGTTGAAAACATACAATGGATTACTCTGTGTAATTCATGCAAGCGCTACATAATAGCGTAACTTGTGTAGCGTCTAGGGATTGGACCCAAGTTATATTCAACTTTTCTGTGGAGTCTTTCTGGTAAGTTGCGAGTCGCATAACAACGTCATTAGCAAAGATAGTAAAGACCGTTTTAGCGATTGCCGGTACCGAGGACACGCACGATCTAGCTAATCAATGCATTTGTTGCTTACCAAATGTACATGTGTATTATCAAGCAGGGTTCGTTATTGTCGGGCTTTCGTGCTACTGTACTAGTTGGAGAACTAGCTTGCCAGTGTAGCGCTAGCATAGCTAGGTAATTCACTCTCATGCACGCTTTTCTTAACAGTGCTAGCTAACGTTAGTTAGCTATGTGCAATTAGATTGCTGGTTAACTTAGCCTAACTAACCTGCGTTAGCTATCTTAGTTGAATAGCTAAAATAATGAGCTAACTGGCACTAATATAATCGTGGAATCATGCCTAACTATTTAGCCTGCAAGACGACAGAGCATCTGATCTTTCATCATACATCTGATCTTTAACTGTGACTTCTAGAATAATTTTCCATCTTGCAAATACACTTTTGGAACTTGGGGTGATCTGGAATGTGGAACTAGCTAGCTGACGTTACTATGTTGCACATTTCAGAAACCTTGGACTAATGTTAGGTAAATGGTATTGAATGTGGGGAGTGAGTGAGAGAATTGATATGTATGCCTCTACTTCTCTCCTTCCTAACTAGATAACGTTGCTGATATTGAAAGTTGATTATAATGGTCATCATACCAGTCCATTTCATGTGTTTCACGATAGTCTTGACATGGCTTCCTCTCTACATTTACTCTCTTTCATCTGATCTGAGAAGATGGATAGGTGTGAGAGCAATAGTGGAATAAGATGTCCTCCAATTAATTGGCTTTCCCCTGGCCACTTCTCTCACATCATTAGATGAAGGAGATAGCAAAGGATACAAATGAAAGGGAGACAGTGCCACACTGGTAATGTGGCTGCTTTTTGTGATGCTGCTTCTTTACTCAAGGTATTCCCTCTACTACAGAAATTATTAACCCTCTAAAAACCCACCACAGTCTGCACTCGCAGTGCTTTCCATAGCTCTGTATCACTCATCTTTCTGATAAATGACCGTGATTGCTGCATATCATCTATTCTAGACCCTACTGATCATCTTATCCAGTCCCTACATATCACCTCTACACCACACCCTATCCAGTGTTGTTATTGTACCCCACTCCCTCCTTCCATATAGACAGTTATGTTTAGAGTGTGAATGACTGTGTGCTATGATAATAGAGGAAATATGGTCTATGCTCAAATCTCTCCATAATCTCAGTGGAATGCTGAAATCATGCCAGGGAGAAAATGACCTCTGCAGGACAGATCTTCCTGTCTACATAAAGGTGCTTCTCAGCTGTGTAAAGTCAGTGTCACCCACAGCGATGTATAGAGGCCTCTAGTGCCCAAAAGCCCATTTTAGCATGGGCAGTGCCATTTAAGACTTTCACAATTTTTGAAGTAATCAACTGGGTGGGAAGGATCACAATTTCATCCAGGTCATCAGGAGGGATCAGCCAATGAATTATACTTGTGAACACAAATTCCATAAGTGCAGGTGGCAGTAAATTGCCAACCATGGCTTTATACCTGTTCAAACAATACTCATAGAAGTAGTAGAAGAAGAAAATGTACGACTTCAACATGGAGATGACCTCAATTGCGCTGCCCCTGCTCCCACAGACTCCGTAATGGGACAGATACAACTTTGCGATATCTATACATATCTATGTGTCACCTCAAGATCAAAATTCACAGGTTTACAACCACACAACTGAACTGGCCTCCAAAAGCAAAACCACCTAATCTGTTATGCAATGTGCATGTGCTCTTGTTCACCTGTCATTTGTGTGCTGAAGCTGATTATGTCTCTGTTTGTCTTGCAGATATCACTCCGCACTCTCCTTCTATTCTGATTCCCATTCCTGATCTCTCTGCACACACCTCTGTCTATTCTGCGCACTCTCGCTCCCTGTCTGTCTCTTTCTGTTACCCTCTCTGTCCTCCCCCTCCCTGTGGCCATGTGTGATAATGGTGATCCCGAGGACAAGCCCCCTGCCCCCCCGGTCAGGATGAGCAGCACCGTCTTCAGCACAGGCTCCAGCAAGGACCTGCTCTCAGCCAATCACAGCTCTAAGCCCCTGCCCTCGGTTCCAGAGGAGAGGAAACCCCGCAAAAAGATCATCTCCATTTTCTCAGGCGCAGAGAAAGGTCAGACGAGTCCATAGAGGTGGGGCACTGGGAGGGGCTCTAAAGCGTGGGTCAGCTGTCCCATTTCATTTTTTTAACACTAGAGAACCACTGGGCTTCGAGCCCCCCCCCCAGTCATTATGGCTGCAACATTCTAACAGTGTAATTAATACATTTCATAAACCAGGTTTCCATCCAACCCTTTTATGCGAGTGAAGTACGTATTTTTTTTTATGACCGGCCTGAATGAAACATTTGTCGGGACACTTACCAAATGTTGACAAAACAAAATACGCTAGACAAGGTGAGATCTTTTTATGTCGTAAAATGAATTATGCAAGAAATATTGGTGGAAACACTTATGTGCAAATATTCATATAATAAGCATCATATCGAAGTAGACTTAGAGTCACGCGATGACGTGTGGTCCTCCCACTACGGCTCATTGGGAAAGCATGCAGTTTTTTAGGCTACAGATGAAATAAGTTATGATGAATTTCACAGGGTGGTGAAAGTGCAAGGTGATGTTCGCATTCAAAAATTTGTCGCCAATTGAATGGAAACCTAGTTATATATGTTATCGCAAAAATAATTAGTTGGTTGTGTTTATGAAGGACTTAGATAACATAGAAAATAAAATAAAATAACACACTAGCATTTTCATTAGTTTCTGTTCCTGTAGGCTATATGTAAAAAAACTAAAAAACACATTCAAGTGTTCAATACATTTTTATTAGTGGAGTGCTTTTGTGACAACTATGAAACAGAAAGCATAGGCTATGTGTTGGAACGTGGTAACAGCTTATTTTTATAACAACAAAAAAATACCCCAACCACCAAGATGCGTGTCAAATGATGAAAACATCAGTAGCCTAATAAGTGCCACCTGTGCTTGAAATCATTAGTGGAAATCATCACAAAAGCAATAATAGCATTATAATCAATGTGTCTGACAGCAGTCAAATATTATCAGCTTGTGCTTACATGGTGTGCGTCTAAACGCAACAGCATCAGTTGGAGCATGTCACATAAACAACGAAAGCTGCTGAGTGCGTTGCTGATGTTTTTTGCTTGATGTGTAGGGTCTGCTCTCTCAGTGCTGATAATCGGCCCGTAGCATTGTAACCAGTATGGTCTATCCGAACGGTGCCGTCCCTTCCTCTCTCCTGTCTCACCGTTCCATTTGGTGGTGGCGCGGGCACCTGCTCATTTTTTTTAGGCCTCAGGTGTAGGTTCTGGAGAATAAGAATCATCATCAGAGATGCATTGATTCATTTCTTCCCCACCATCTGAGTTGTTTGCATTCAGATTTTGTAGTAATGCTGACGCAGCATGTGAATCCATTCATCTTGGTCTTCTTGCCATTGTAAATTACGCACACTTTCACTGTGTACTCCAAGTAGGCCAGAGTAGACTGATAAGACTGCTTGGATTCAATAGACTGATATAGGGTACATTCCATTTTGAGATCAGAATAGATCAATACAATAGAATGTCCGGCCCTGTTCTTCATTCACAATTGGTGATTTACATAATTATGCATTGTCAGCTTCCCCTCTGTAATCAACTCCCCCTTTCTCCCCCATCATACGTTACTTCATTTATTTAATTTGTTGATGTGTGAAGTTAATCTCATTCTCAGCTATGTAACAGGAACACGTAATGATGCCCTTAATCTTAATAGCCTTGCCCGTAATGGGGTGATTGAACATTGTGCATTTGCTAAAGTTACACTGGGTATATCGGCCACATCTATAATTACCGTCCGGCACATTGTCTAGGAAGGTACTATGTGGCACTGGTGGAAGATCCGACATCACCACCATTTGACTGATGTTGGGGGCGTGTCTGAAGACTACCCGCGGGGGTTCTTTAAACTTATTTTCCAGTTGTAGATCAGTGCTCAAGATGTGCCAGTGTTTTTTTAATGATGTGGTCGAACTGTTTACCAAGTGGGGAGTACTGAAGGAAGCACTGAACGCGTTGGTCAGGAGGGCGGGGTGGTTTGGGCGTGTGGCTGTCATCCTGGGTCATATTTTTTATAACGATCACTTGCGTCATGCAGCCATTCTTCTGGGTAATCCTGCTGTCTGAAATGCTCATCCAGATAGTTGGCTTGTTTGTCATAGTCACTCTGTGTACTACAAATCCTGCATATGCGACTGTATTAGCTGACGGGGAGGGTCTTTTTTTAGGGGTGTACAGTGCATTCGGAAAGTATTCAGACCCCTTGACTTTTTCCACATTTTGTTACGTTACAGCCTTATTCTAAAATTGATTAAATTGTTTATTCCCCCCCCTCATCAATCTACACACAATACCCCATAATGACAAAGCAAAATCAGATTTTTTGACATTTTTGCAAATGTATAAAATAAAAAAAACATTACATTTACATAAGTATTCAGACCCTTTACTCAGGTGTTGAAGCACATTTGGAAGCGATTACAGCCTAGAGTCTTCTTGGGTATGACACTACAAGCTTGGCACACCTGTATTTGGGGAGTTTCTCCCATTCTTCTCTGCAGATCCCCTCCCAGTCCCTGCCGCTGAAAAACATCCCCACAGCATGATGCTGCCATCACCATGCTTCACCGTAGGGATGGTGCCAGGTTTCCTCCATTTTTTACATTTACATTTTAGTCATTTAGCAGACGCTTTTATCCAGAGCGACTTACAGTTAGTGAGTGCATACATTTTTATTGTATTTTTCATACTGGCCCCCCGTGGGAATCGAACCCACAACCCTGGCGTTGCAAATGCCATGCTCTACCAACTGAGCTACATCCCTGCCGGCCATTCCCTCCCCTACCCTGGACGACACTGGGCCAATTGTGCGCCACCCCATGGGTCTCCAGACGTGACGCTTGGTATTCAGGCCAAAGAGTACAATCTTGGTTTCATCAGACCAGAGAATCTTGTTTCTCATGGTCTGAGAGTCCTTTAGGTGCCTTTTGGCAAACTCCAAGCAGGCTGTCATGTGGCTTTTACTGAGGAGTGGCTTCCATCTGGTCACTCTACCATAAAGGCCTGATTGGTGGAGTGCTGCAGAGATGGTTGTCCTTCTGGAAGGTTCTCCCATCTCCACAGAGGACCTCTGGAGCTCTGTCAGAGTGACCATCGGGTTCTTGATCACCTCCCTGATCAAGGCCGTTCTCCCCCGATTGCTCAGTTTGGCCGTGCGGCCAGCTCTAGGAAGAGTCTTGGTGGTTCCACACTTCTTCCATTTAAGAATGATGGAGGCCATTGTGTTCTTGGGGAACTTCAATGCTGCAGACATTTTTTGGTACCCTTCCCCAGATCTGTGCCTCGACACAATCCTGTCTTGGAGCTATACGGACAATTCCTTCGACCGCATGGCTTGGTTTTTGCTCTGACATGCACTGTCAACTATGGGACCTTTATATAGACAGGTGCGGGTCTTTCCAAATCATGTCCAATCAATTGAATTTACCACAGGTGGACTCCAATCAATGAAGTGTTTCAGGGTGCACCTGAGCTTAATTTCGAGTCTCATAGCAAAGGGTCTGAATACTTATGTAAATAAGGTATTTCTGTTTTTTATTTTTAATACAGTGAGGGGAAAGAAGTATTTGATCCCCTGCTGATTTTGTACGTTTGCCCACTGACAAAGACATGATCAGTCTATAATTTTAATGGTAGGTTTATTTGAACAGTCAGAGACAGAATAACAACAAAAAAATCCAGAAAAATGCATGTCAAAATGTTATAAATTAATTTGCATTTTAATGAGGGAAATAAGTACTTGACCCCTCTGAAAAACATGACTTAGTACTTGGTGGCAAAACCCTTGTTGGCAATCACAGAGGTCAGACGTTTCTTGTAGTTGGCCACCAGGTTTGCACACATCTCAGGAGGGATTTTATCCCACTCCTCTTTGCAGATCTTCTCCAAGTCATTAAGGTTTCGAGGCTGACGTTTGGCAACTCGAACCTTCAGCTCCTTCCACAGATTTTCTATGGGATTAAGGTCTGGAGACTGGCTAGGCCACTCCAGGACCTTAATGTGCTTCTTCTTGAGCCACTCCTTTGTTGCCTTGGCCGTGTGTTTTGGGTCATTGTCATGCTGGAATACCCATCCACGACCCATTTTCAATGCCCTGGCTGAGGGAAGGAGGTTCTCACCCAAGATTTGACGGTACATGGCCCCGTCCATCGTCCCTTTGATGTGGTGAAGTTGTCCTGTCCCCTTAGCAGAAAAACACCCCCAAAGCATAATGTTTCCACCTCCATGTTTGACGGTGGGGATGGTGTTCTTGGGGTCATAGGCAGCATTCCTTCTCCTCCAAACACGGCGAGTTGAGTTGATGCCAAAGAGGTCGATTTTGGTCTCATCTGACCTCAACACTTTCACCCAGTTCTCCTCTGAATCATTCAGATGTTCATTGACAAACTTCAGACGGGCCTGTATATGTGCTTTCTTGAGCAGGGGGACCTTGCGCGCACTGCAGGATTTCAGTCCTTCACGGCATAGTGTGTTACCAATTGTTTTCTTGGTGACTATGGTCCCAGCTGCCTTGAGATCATTGACAAGATCCTCCCGTGTAGTTCTGGGCTGATTCCTCACCGTTCTCATGATCATTGCAACTCCACGAGGTGAGATCTTGCATGGAGCCCCAGGCCGAGGGAGATTGACAGTTCTTTTGTGTTTCTTCCATTTGCGAATAATCGCACCAACTGTTGTCACTTTCTCACCAAGCTGCTTGGCGATGGTCTTGTAGACCATTCCAGCCTTGTTTAGGTCTACAATCTTGTCCCTGACATCCTTAATAATAATAATAATAATAATAATATGCCATTTAGCAGACGCTTTTATCCAAAGCGACTTACAGTCATGCGTGCATACATTTTTTTTGTGTATGGGTGGTCCCGGGGATCGAACCCACTACCTTGGCGTTACAAGCGCCGTGCTCTACCAGCTGAGCTACAGAGGACCACTCTTTGGAGAGCTCTTTGGTCTTGGCCATGGTGGAGAGTTTGGAATCTGATTGATTGATTGCTTCTGTGGACAGGTGTCTTTTATACAGGTAACAAGCTGAGATTAGGAGCACTCCCTTTAAGAGTGTGCTCCTAATCTCAGCTCGTTACCTGTATAAAAGACACCTGGGAGCCAGAAATCTTTCTGATTGAGAGGGGGTCAAATATTTATTTCCCTCATTAAAATGCAAATCAAATTCTAACATTTTTGACATGCGTTTTTCCTGATTTTTGTTGTTGTTATTCTGTCTCTCAATGTTCAAATAAACCTACCATTAAAATTATAGACTAATAATTTCTTTGTCAGTGGGCAAACGTACAAAATCAGCAGGGGATCAAATACTTTATTCCCTCACTGTACATTTGGTAAAATTTTCACTGTATCATTATGGGGTATTGTGTGTAGATTGATGAGGAACATTTGATATTTAATCAAGTTTAGAATAAGGCTGTAACGTTACAAAATGTGGAATAAGTCAAGAGGTCTAAATACTTTCCGAATGCGCTGTAGTGTGGAAGCTGTCTCCGCATAACAGGGAATTCCTGTCCGTCGGCTTCCTGTATTGGTCCGTGCTAAAGCCACCCCCTCCCTCTTAATCAAAATGTCAAGAAGGATTCTAACAACGACAGTATGTTATATAGACTTATTTAGGAAAAGTCAAGGACAGAGAGGGGCATGACTTTAAAAATGGCACAGTAATAAAAAAGATTACATGAATAAGCAGTCCAAATGACTGCTTTAGCGGTTCTGGTGTTAAAGGTACATTACCAGTAGAGGCTACATTTCATTCAGTGTATCTCAGTTCAGAACCAATCCATCTTATATTAGTTTCCATCTGTGTGCATCAGACTATCTAGTGGCAGTAGAGGTTGAATTTCGGTATGTCAAATCAAATGTTATTTGTCACATGCGCCGAATACAACAGGTGTAGACATTACAGTGAAATGCTTACTTACAAGCCCTTAACCAACAATGCAGTAAAAAATTAAATAAAAATAAAGTGTTCAGTAAAAAATAAAAGCAAATAACTAAAGAGCAGCAATAAAATAACAGTAGGGAGGCTATATACAGGGGTGTACCGGTACAGAGTCTATGTGCGGGGGCACCGGTTAGTCAAGGTAATTGAGGTAATATGTACATGTGGGTAGAGTGAAAGTGACTATGCATAAATAATAAACAGAGTAGCAGCAGCGTAAAAGAGGGGGATGGGGTGGGTGTGGGGGGGCAATGCAAATAGTCTGGGTAGCCATTTGATTAGATGTTCAGGAGTCTTATGGCTTGGGGGTAGAAGCTGTTAAGAAGCCTTTTGGACTTAGACTTGGCACTCCGGTACCGCTTGCCGTGCGGTAGCAGAGAGAACAGTCTATGACTAGGGTGGCTGGAGTCTTTGACAATTTTTAGGGCCAATTTCAGTCTGTTGTTGGATCTGATTACGTTTCAGCCCATTTATTAACAGAGAATGTAATGATGGTTTATTTGATGACTTTCAGGTGGTAGAAAGAAAGACCGGGACAAAGAACGACCAGAGATCTCTCCGCCTTCAGACTTTGAACACACCATCCACGTTGGCTTTGATGCTGTCACTGGGGAGTTCACTGTGAGTAGCCACACTATCCTCCGACTCTTCATCTCTTACTCCAGGTATACTCAAATCCCAGCCTGGAGGGCTGTAGTACTGCTAGTTTTCTTTCCTACCGGAGTTAGTTGCTTGACCCCTGACCCCCCCCCCCCCCCCGTATCCTCCTTGCTGATAGGGCATGCCAGAGCAATGGGCACGACTTCTCCAGACGTCAAACATCACCAAGTCCGAGCAGAAGAAGAACCCACAGGCTGTTCTCGACGTGCTCACATTCTATGACTCTACGGGCAACGGCCGCCAGAAATACCTCAGTTTCTCCTCCCCTGGTGAACTTTCACATGGATGAGACTTTACTGTTTTCTGTTTGTTACAGACTTTTTAAAGATTGCAATTGTTTCCCTTTCATTTTTAGAAAAGGATTGTTTCCCCGCAGGACCCCAGTCTGTAAGTACTACATTTGTCCTAGTGATGACTTACTAGCTACCTGAATAATATGGTGCTGCGATTTCTTGTTCCTTGACCTCACTCATGGCAGCCCAGAAAATATGTGAACAAAATATGTGTGGGCTATGTATGAAATGTGTATTATATATTTTATTCTGCATTAGCCGGTCAAAAATGTCACGGAACCCTCATCGACCAATATCAAGGACATTGATAATGATGATGATGATGAAGCTCCCCCACCCATTGTGGCACCACGTCCGGAATACACTAAGAGTGTGAGTAATTTTGACGGTTCACAACCTCAACTTCTCTTTCGCTCTTGCTCACTTTCTCCCTTATTCTCTCATGCTTATTTATTGTGTGTGTGTGTGCATGTGTGTTTGTCCTGCAGGTGTACACTCGCTCCGTCATTGACCCCATCCCCGCTCCAGCCGCATGTCCAGATGGAGACTCGGCCTCCAAGGCTGTAGACAGACAGAAGAAGAAGGGAAAGATGTCAGACGAGGAGATCATGGACAAACTGAGTAAACAAACAACATTTCTTACAATAGCAATGTTACAGGTAGTAAGACCCTTTTGTCAGGGGAAATCAGTATTGGTCTGGTCTGTATAATCATATATTTGCTCACAGGAACTATAGTCAGCATTGGAGATCCCAAAAAGAAGTACACGAGATATGAAAAAATTGGACAGGGGTAAGTGTAAGTTTATTTAAAGGTGGTAATTGGGGTGTATTTGAGTGCACTGTGTATGGGGCCTTATTTGTGCATGGGAAGAGAGGGTGTGTGTGACAGACGTGTGTGTCCGAGTTATTCAAAAAACGTAAACATTGTCCACACACAGGGCTTCGGGGACAGTGTACACAGCCATTGATGTCGCCACAGGACAGGAGGTAAAGGGGAATTAAGGGTTGTCATTGGTTGACTGACCGGGGATGGATAGAGGAGAATAAGTGAAAGGAAGGAGACATTGAAAGACAGTTGAGGAATGACATGTAAGGGGGGGGCAGAGACTAGATACAGAGAGACAGAAATGGGGAAAGAGTTTGAGAACTGTTAGCCTGGCAGCAGATGTGAGATTGCAAGATAACTAATCACTCTCCCATTTTAGAGGATCATTTTGAACCTTTCCTTCTTTCTGGGTGTTTCTCACAGGTGGCCATTAAACAGATCAACCTACAGAAGCAGCCCAAGAAGGAGCTGATCATAAATGAAATTATGGTGATGAAAGAGTTAAAGAACCCGAATATTGTCAACTTCGTAGACAGGTAATAGAATGGTCAAATATATATAATTAACCTTAACAGCACTAACTTTGGTGTAAGTTAGATGTACCAAACCTCACCTCCTGGTGATGGTGAGACTCTAGAGGTCCTGGAACACATTGGGTGTACAATATTGTACAATACAATATACCCTAACGACCTCTCTGGCTTTGGTGTCTGTGTGTTTGTCAGTTTCCTGGTGGGAGAGGAGCTCTGTGTGGTGATGGAGTACTTGGCTGGTGGCTCGCTGACTGATGTGGTGACAGAGACCTGCATGGATGAGGCTCAGATAGCTGCTGTCTGCAGAGAGGTGACCAGCTCTTATACGGCACACAGCGTTAACCTTTACATGTTTACCCTTTAACACTGGCTGGGTGAGAAACTTGTGTTTGTTCACATGTAGAGCCTTTATTTTATATGGAAATATTGACTTTTTTCCTTCATAACCATCCCTCTCTCTGTCTCTTATTGGTTTCCCCATCTGAAGTGTTTACAAGCACTGGAGTTCCTTCATGCGAACCAGGTCATCCATCGTGACATCAAGAGTGACAACGTGCTACTGGGGATGGATGGCTCTGTCAAGCTCAGTGAGTCTCCCGCTACCCCCTAAACAACCCCAGGCTGGTCATGGTCTATGTAGAGTTGTAGAGGAAGTAACAGCACTAATAGTTGGGGGTAGATATTTAACTTGTTGACCGTCTGTGGTAGTGGTGCACGAGTCAGCTGTTTGTTCACCAGCACCCGCCCACAATGGCTAATAACCCATCCTCAACCGCCTGACTATACAGTGGGGAGAACAAATATTTGATACACTGACGATTTTGCAGGTTTTCCTACTTACAAAGCATGTAGAGGTCTGTAATGTTTATCATAGATGCACTTCAACTGTGAGAGACGGAATCTAAAACAAAAATCCAGAAAATCACATTGTATGATTTTTAAGTAATTAATCTGCATTTTATTGCATGACATAAGTATTTGATACATCAGAAAAGAAGACTTTAATATTTGGTACAGAACCCTTTGTTTGCAATTACAGAGATCATACGTTTCCTGTAGGTCTTGACCAGGTTTGCACACACTGCAGCAGGGATTTTGGCCCACTCCTCCACACAGACCTTCTCCAGATCCTTCAGGTTTCGGGGCTGTCGCTGGGCAATACGGACTTTCAGCTCCCTCCAAAGATTTTCTATTGGGTTCAGGTCTGGAGACTGGCTAGGCCACTCCAGGACCTTGAGATGCTTCTTACGGAGCCACTCATTAGTTGCCCTGGCTGTGTGTTTCGGGTCGTTGTCATGCTGGAAGACCCAGCCACGACCCATCTTCAATGCTCTTACTGAGGGAAGGAGGTTGTTGGCCAAGATCTCGCGATACATGGCCCCATCCATCCTCCCCTCAATACGGTGCAGTCGTCCTGTCCCCTTTGCAGAAAAGCATCCCCAAAGAATGATGTTTCCACCTCCATGTTTCACGGTTGGGATGGTGTTCTTGGGGTTGTACTCATCCTTCTTCTTCCTCCAAACACGGCGAGTGGAGTTTAGACCAAAAAGCTATATTTTTGTCTCATCAGACCACATGACCTTCTCCCATTCCTCCTCTGGATCATCCAGATGGTCATTGGCAAACTTCAGACGGGCCTGGACATGCGCTGGCTTGAGCAGGGGGACCTTGCGTGCGCTGCAGGATTTTAATCCATGACGGCGTAGTGTGTTACTAATGGTTTTCTTTAGACTGTGATCCCAGCTCTCTTCAGGTCATTGACCAGGTCCTGCCGTGTAGTTCTGAGCTGATCCCTCACCTTCCTCATGATCATTGATGCCCCACGACGTGAGTTCTTGCATGGAGCCCCAGACCGAGGGTGATTGACCGTCATCTTGAACTTCTTCCATTTTCTAATAATTGCGCCAACAGTTGTTGCTTTCTCACCAAGCTGCTTTCCTATTGTCCTGTAGCCCATCCCAGCCTTGTGCAGGTCTACAATTGTATCCCTGATGTCCTTACACAGCTCTCTAGTCTTGGCCATTGTGGAGAGGTTGGAGTCTGTTTGATTGAGTGTGTGGACAGGTGTCTTTTATACAGGTAACGAGTTCAAACAGGTGCAGTTAACACAGGTAATGAGTGGAGAACAGGAGGGCTTCTTAAAGAAAAACTAACAGGTCTGTGAGAGCCGGAATTCTTACTGGTTGGTAGGTGATCAAATACTTATGTCATGCAATAAAATGCAAATTAATTACTTACATACAATGTGATTTTCTGGATTTTTGTTTTAGATTCCGTCTCTCACAGTTGAAGTGTACCTAATAATAAATAATAATAAGCCATTTAGCAGACGCTTTTATCCAAAGCGACTTACAGTCATGGGTGCATACATTATTTTTTTTTGTGTATGGGTGGTCCCGGGGATTGAACCCACTACCTTGGCGTTACAAGCGCCGTGCTCTACCAGCTGAGCTACAGAGGACCACTTATGATAAAAATGACAGACCTCTACATGCTTTGTAAGTAGGAAAACCTGCAAAATTGGCAGTGTATCAAATACTTGTTCTCCCCACTGTATATGATAAAGTGAAAATCTGAGGGCCGCACCCGACCCTAACTCGCTAATTTAGAAAATGCACTGTACACTACCTATAGTCAGAGACCGCAGAACGATTTTTTTGACAGGGGGTGCAGGATTTGTTTTGCCTGATTTAGATATGTTTCTGCTTATAATATCTGACATTTTGGTAGGCTATTTGTTAGTCAAGCTTCTCTTCTGTCATTATAGGTTGTCCTAGAAGACTAAATAAACCCTTGCTCACCAGGATGTCATAAATGAATAGAATTAATGCTTCAATCTAGTTGACATCTGTAAAGTTTTCTCTGTCATATCTGCTTATTTTGCGGAGCAAAGACGTTTAGGGACCTGGGGAAAAAATGCAATAACAAATAAATTAATAAACGGAAAGGTTGTCTGTGGAAAATGTCCAAATGACATCAATTTGATCGGTTGTGTGGAAAAAAAGATCTGTGAAAACGACCCAACGTGTTTCTGATAAGATTTCAGTTTGGCTTGGATGCATGTTTTATGTGGTTGAAATACTATCAGCTTTTATGATGCTGATAAAGATAGCACATCTACAGATGGTATCTAACTGCGCATTCTCTCAAGATGCTGAAATAAATAAAAAATATTTCTCCACTCCTTTTCCCAAGTCAAAATGTTGCCTACATTTGGTGTATCATTTTACTGCAAGAAATGCTTAATTCTGCAGTAGTTAAATTAAGCCTATGTGAAAGGTTATAGACCTACAGTCAGTGTCCAGATTTCAGTTTCCATTTAACCCATCTGAACAGTAGGCTACAGTTCCCTTGATGTGCCATAAGCCTATTTGAAGTCCTGGTCTTGTGATTGTCGAATTTGTATAGCGCCTCACAATCATCACACATAGGCCTAACATAGCCAGCACTGCTATCATCCTCTTTTATCACCTCAACAAATCTTTCACAAACATTGATTAACAAATAGCCTATCAAAATGTCGGAAATTATTACCATAAACATATCTAAATCGGGCAACAACAACAACAACAAACTCCACCCCCTGTCAAAAAAAATTGTTCTTTGACTGTAGCCTATAGCACGTTTTCTATATTTGTGGGTTAGGGTATGGTGTGGGCCTCAGATTTCCACTTTATCACATATAGTCGGGCGGTTGCGGATGGGTTATTAGCATTTGTGGGCAGCTGATCCGCGCACCACTAATCTACATCCTATGAAAGAGAAGTACCATTTTGGCAAGGATAGTTAACAAATGACTATTATAAGCTAGTGCTGCTGTTTGTAGTGCTACTATTCAGTCTCCATCTCTCTTTGAGTTCTCCCACCTCCCATTTCTTTGTGCAGCCGATTTTGGTTTCTGCGCCCAGATCACTCCAGAGCAGAGCAAGCGCAGCACCATGGTGGGTACGCCTTACTGGATGGCACCTGAGGTGGTGACCCGGAAGGCCTATGGGCCAAAGGTTGATATCTGGTCCCTGGGCATCATGGCCATTGAGATGGTTGAGGGGGAGCCTCCATACCTCAATGAGAACCCGCTAAGAGTAAGTGAATCGAAGAGTAGCACCGTCCTAAAATGCGATTTCTTTGTTTTACTATATCATAGTGCATCAAAAGCTAGTTCCATAGTGATACAAGACTGACATGGATGTAACAGGGAGACTTTTCCAGCACATTTGTAAGGTATCTCACAGTTCTAGTCTTCCCCTCTGCCCTCTCTCCTCTCCTCCCCACAGGCACTGTACCTGATTGCTACCAATGGCACTCCAGAGCTGCAGAACCCAGAAAAGCTGTCCCCCATCTTCAGAGACTTCCTTAACCGCTGCCTGGAAATGGATGTGGAGAAGAGAGGCGGGGGCAAAGAGCTGCTGCAGGTGATGCCCCATTTTATCTATGGCTTCCTTTTGTGATTTGCTCTTCTACTCTTGTGTACTACAATAGAGATGAGCTCCAATGTTAACCATACTCGCTTTCCTGTTTGTCTAGCATCCCTTCCTGAAGCTGGCAAAGCCCCTCTCCAGTCTTACACCTCTCATCTTGGCTGCTAAGGAGGCCATGAAAGGCAACCGTTAACCGAACAAACAACCATGCCTTCCCATACTGTGCCAGATTTGAGGTTTTGTGCCAGACAATAGACTGAGTGACACGCCCACTCTATATGCTCCAGCCTGATAAGCCCTTACAAACCTCACTGTGAAGAAGACCAAAAACATCCAGAGCTGGCCATATGAACTCTTTGATTCTCACTCAAATGTTTGAAGACCACTCAAATGAAAGTGCTTATGTTCAAAGCCAGGCTTCGTTATTTTGTACAAGAAAACATTTTTTTTGTGGGGGGCACGTTGGGGCTAGATTTGTATTTAACATGGAATGAAGATATCTAGTTCTTACTTTTTGGAAGAAATATTACTGCCTTAAACAAATGTAAAACATTGCCTAATGTATTGTTGATTGTATCAGATTATGTTTCTTTTCCCATATATATTTTGTTCCTTGTCGTTTTTACTTTCTAGCTTGTTAGTGTCCTCTTAGGCATTTTGATACTTGAATTTCATTTGTGTCCCCACTGTGATCATGTTATGGGCCTCTCATTTAATGAAAACTGTTTATCCCACCTGGTGCCACATTTAATCTTTGGTCTTTTCTCATTTGTTATAGGACAGACATTTCAAAACATTCCCATGATTACAGTGAATATGGTGATATTGATGACGATATAGGGTTGCCTCATTTGGCAGTGCTACGAGTGTTTTCCCTCCTGTATCATTAGTCCCTTGGTAGTAGATGTGCACCTTATGGGCAAATTCAATGGTAGAATGACAGGGAAGTTCTTGCTTGTGCAAATGTTCTTTGTTCTTATAATTTTTTTAATCTATATTGTACACTTTTTGTGTAATTTAGGACTGTAGCTTAGAAATGTGCTTGTTCATGTGTATATTGTGTACCTAACTAGACGGAAAACAGTGGATATCAGGCCCGGGTACCTTTTTTATAGGCTAGAGAAGGCAATGTATATTTACTGTTTAATTTTTTCTATTTGGATGACTAACAATCTGACAATTGTATGCAAATTCAAATAAATGCAGCTGTTTTTGTCCTTATTCTTGATTTCAAGAATTCTTCTTTCTGTATACTAGGATTCTAACTTGAATGGAGACGTGTGAAAGCCACACTTTGTAAGATACCATCAGAGTGGGCTCATGGAATGACATTCCACGAGAGCATTATTCTAAAACAAGATTGGGAGCCATTACATTTTGTTAAAGTAGCCCAAGAAAAACAAAGATGTCATGTTTTTGGTTGTCTTATCTTGTGTATGTATGCATGTATAATAAGTCAGATTGTTCAGTCAAGGGTTATTTCATTAATTGAAAATCTTATAGAATGAATTAGTGTGTGTGTGTAGATATCCTGGGTAACTCCCACTACTGTAGATGGGAGTATGTCCAGGCAGAACCATTCTACCCGCAGGAACGTGGCACCGGTACAGCGCCTGGACTGAGAGGGTAAGGTCTGCCAGAACCTGACACACACACACACACACTCTTGATCTATACTTACTCATAACAATGTCCTGACCTTACCAGGTACATACAGAGAAAGATCTACGATTTGAGAAGGAAATGCGCCACACGCTACTATTTTTCTTGCCAATGCAATATCCAATTATCCAATCAGAAGCGTGTCATAGACAGTCGGTCAGATACTCACCAAAATTGTCTTGCCAACATTTCGTCGTCGAGGAGCTGTTGGTGAACATGACTCTTTAAAATAATGCATGGAAATTAGTTTTTGTAAATAACTAGAACAAAAAGATTGAGGCATTTAATTGATTTCTGCGCCATGCGCTATTTTCAGGAGCATTATCAAGAAGGGGCACATGCACCTTCACCAGAAATATGGCTTGTCATCATTTGACCCTTGGTGAGCTGGAAATACATTAAATCTATAGTTGATACAAAATCTATAATTGATACAAGAATGACCACTTTACTCCAAGCATAGTCCATGTAAGATTTGCAAAGGTTGGTTTTTGTTTACACAAGGTTTCTCAATGCAAAGTCTGTTCTCTGCTAAATCTATTCTCTGCAGCGAGTCTGCACATGTTGGGTGGCAACAGTTATTTTGAGAAATTGGACTAGGATAATGAGGATTAGTCAACTAGTTAGATATCAAAAGATGAAGGCCTATTATAATTTGAACTTTAAATTATTTTAATCCGAATGTGAACGTTGTGAACCTTGCTGGCGCACAACCTCGCCCTAGGGCACAGGCCAACATGTGTAGAGTTGATTCTAGGATTAGAATTGATTTTGCATATCAAATGAACATGAATAATGACCGCCTACACAAAAGTTCCCAATGCGAACTGGACTAAAGATTGTGTAAATCATATCGAGACTAAAACATCAGTAATCTTATCGAGACTAAAACATCAGTCATTGTGTGGCGTGTGAGGAAACAACTTGGCCTCACCATTGTTAAAATCAACAATCGCTTTTGACAGTGACACTGAATAGATACACTTGCGATTTGCTCCAGTCACTTTGTATCCATCTGTTGTTTTGTTTGGACTGAGCATTTTATGATTAAAGTTTTGTAGAAATTGCATGATTAGAAAGCTACATTATTCTCTCCAGCGTAGTCTGCAGGTCATGGATGCGGTGGCAACAGTTTTGTGGATAAGTTATTTTGGCCTCCCAAGTTTAGGCTATTTCTCCGTGCTAGAGTGCCACCTGTTGGTCATACTATTGATATATTTTTGTATTTATTGAATTCTAATCTTTCTCATGACGTTTACAGCTGTCCAATTGAGATGCAAATGATGAGTGCAGTATTACATGTATGCTGTCATGCATAAATGACTGTTGTATGAAACGATGTATAGACCTATGTTTTTATGTAGAGATAAGCATTGGTGGTTCAGTGGTAGAATTCTCGCCTGCCACGCGGGAGGCCCGGGTTCGATTCCCGGCCAATGCATTAACATGTTTTGCTTCGGTCACCGATGTTATTTTTGTTTATAGAAGGGTTGGTTGTAGCCATGAAGTGCTTTGAAAGGCTGGTCATGGGTCACATCAACACCATTATCCCAGAAACCCTAGACCCACTCCAATTTGCATACCGCCCCAACAGATCCACAGATGATGCAATCTCTATTGCACTCCACACTGCCCTTTCCCACCTGGACAAGAGGAACACCTACGTGAGAATGCTATTCATTGACTACAGCTCAGCGTTCAACACCATAGTGCCCTCAAAGCTCATCACTAAGCTAAGGATCATGGGACTAAACACCTCCCTCTGCAACTGGATCCTGGACTTCCTGACGGGCCGCCCCCAGGTGGTAAGGGTAGGTAACAACACATCTGCCACGCTGATCCTCAACACGGGGGCCCCTTAGGGGTGCGTGCTCAGTCCCCTCCTGTACTCCCTGTTCACCCATGACTGCATGGCCAGGCACGACTCCAACACCATCATTAAGTTTGCCGACGACACAACAGTGGTAGGCCTGATCACCAACAATGATGAGACAGCCTATAGGGAGGAGGTCAGAGACCTGGCCATGTGGTGCCAGGATAACAACCTCTCCCTCAACGTGACCAAGACAAAGGAGATGATTGTGGACTACAGGAAAGAAAAGAGGACTGAGCACGCCCCCATTCTCATCGACGGGCTGTAGTGGAACAGGTTGAGAGCTTCAAATTCCTTGGTGTCCACATCACCAACAAACTATCATGGTCCAAACACACCAAGACAGTCGTGAAGAGGGCATGACAAAGCCTATTTCCCCTCAGGAGACTGAAAAGATTTGGCATGGATCCTCAAAATGTTCTACAGCTACACCATCGAGAGCATCCTGACTGGTTGCATCACCGCCTGGTATGGCAACTGCTCGGCCTCCGACCGCAAGGCACTACAGAGGGTAGTGCGTACGGCCCAGTACATCACTGGGGCCAAGCTTCCTGCCATCCAGGACCTCTATACCAGCGGTGTCAGAAGAAGGCCCTCAAAATTGTCAAAGACTCCATCCACCCTAGTCATAGACTGTTCTCTCTGCTACCGCACGGCAAGCGCTAGCGGAGCACCATGGCTAGGTCCAAAAGGCTTCTCAACAGCTTCTACCCCCAAGCCATAAGACTCCTGAACAGCTAATCATGGCTACCCGGACTATTTGCACTGCCCCCCCACCCCCACCCCATATTTTTATGCTGCTGCTACTTTGTTAATTATTTATGCATAGTCACTTTAACTCTACCCACATGTACATATTACCTCAACTACCTCAATTAGCCGGTGCCCCCGCACATTGACTCTGCACCGGTACCCCCCTGTATATAGCCTCCCTACTGTTATTTTATTTTATTTCTGCTCTTTTTTTCTCAACACTTTTTTGTTGTTGTTTTATTTTACTTTTTTATTAAAAAATAAATGCATTGTTGGTTAAGGGCTGTAAGTAAGCATTTCACGGTAATGTCTACACCTGTTGTATTCGGCGCATGTGGCAAATAAAATGTGATTTGATTTGATTTGACAATGAGCACTTGTTGTCTCTCAAATATATTGTTACAGTTGTTGGTTAGCTAGCTAGTGAATTTTAGCCATATTAGCATAGACGTGATATCAGTCAAAACACCTCAAAACAAGACATGGTATCAAGAACAAGATAAAACTAGCTGAAACGAGCCACCTATGATTCCCTACATGGCAGCTTCTTGTCATTGTTGCTAGTTATCTGGCCATCCAGAATCACAACAACATACTGACTTCTGCCCCATTGAAGCGTGCGCATCGTTTTCGTGACGTTGTCAGCTAATCCATCTATTTTGTTGTTATCCGTTCTTCCCTCTAACACTTCTTGTAGTATGTTTACCTGCTTCGATCCCTGTGGTTAACTTATTTGCATTTATTATGGATCTCCATTAGGTTCCTTATAAAATTTTAAAAACATAACAATACATTCATAACAGATTTCACAACACACTAAGTGTGTGCCCTCAGGCCCCTACTTACAACACAAAATCCATGTGTACATGTGTGTATAGTGCGTATGTTATCATGTGTGTGTTGTA